ATTTTTTTAAAATTTAATAAAATGTTAATAGAACTGTGCAGCAGTAAGAACAAAAGTTGATTTTAGAATGTTAATGGATTTTTTTCTTCTTTCTTATGATTCTTTCTCTAGCATTATTATCCTGATGGAGGTAAGCTTTCCCACTTTAAAATAAATTCACGAATGCTATAATTTAAGTTTATTTAAGCTGTAAGCTACTTTCATTCTTTTTTCTTTCTTCGCCAGATTGGGGTTGGATTGTATGCAGCGTGGCATTTCTTGCTCATATTTTAACAACGGGATTCCAGTTATCATATGGTTTCTTATTACTTTATGCTATTAAGCATTTAGGACAAGATGTAGTAATGGAAACGAGTGAGTTGATTGATTAAACATTTCTATGGAAGATTTTCTTGCTTTGAATGAATGCTTGAACGATTTCGTTTAATTTACTTTCGATTATTAATTTCGAATACCTTAGTGACGGGAAGAATTTGTCTCAGATGAGTTCCTTTAGCATTCATCTCGTACTAAGTTCCTAGCAACAAAAGAAATTTTTTTCTTTGTATCTTAAGAATTTTGTGTGAAGACGACGTCTTCAAGACGTGGCATGCAAGTCTGATGTAATGGATAAGATGTCAAGTTAACATGATCGAGGATATATGACATATATCGCGACATTGTTTGGCTTTGTCAGCAATTTGTTGGTACATGATGTTTCGTATTCTGTACAACAAAGCTACATAATCATTATTTAATGTTTTGGACGAGAACCGTAAAAAGTTGAACACTAATTATACGAATATAAACACGAAAACACTCTTATACTTTTTACTAACATATTAAAATACCTTAATTCGCGAATTTCGACAGCAAAGCTGTCATCTTCAGAAGATTTCGATTCATACTGATAAAATCACTTCTGACGTCATCAATCGAGAGATGCAAATTTGAAAAGATTCGAAGAGATGATTTGTTCGTTAATGTTGACAAGGTTCTTGTCGTTGTGCACAATTCGTCCAACGATTCATTCCGAACCACTCTTGTCACCCTTTCATACATAAAATGGCGGCTTTTCAAACAATGACTTACAGATTATTCAACACACCATTGACTGATGAAAGATTTAAGAAAGAAGAAAAGTTTATTGTGGAAACAGCAATCATTAATGGATACGATGAAGAAATGATTCAAGGATTGTTCAAAAAACATAGATGGAAGAGGAAAATTGAAGAAACAACAACACTTCAACCTCAGAAAAAAGAAAAGAAGACAATTACGATGAAGAATGGGAAAAAACGAAATATATTTGTTGAGCTCCCTTTTTATAATCCTTTATCATACAAAATTGATAAAGTTTTAAAGAAACACAACATAAATTGTTATTATACGAGTCGAGGAAATTTAAAGGACTTATTAGGAAGCTCGAAAGATAAAATTCCAATGGAAGAAAAATCAGGAATTTATGAACTGCTTTGTAAGAACTGCCCAAAAAAATATATCGGTCAAACAAGTAGAAGGTTTGATGAAAGATATAAAGAACATAGAAGGGCTTTTAGATATCAAGATGAAAAAAGTTCAGCAATGGCAGCACATTGCATCGACGAGGAACATTATATGGGAGAAGGAAGGATAATCGAGGAGGTGAGAGACAACAATAAACTTGACGCTTGGGAAAGTCTCTATATGGACAACGACAAGAACCTTGTCAACATTAACGAACAAATCATCTCTTCGAATCTTTTCAAATTTGCATCTCTCGATTGATGACGTCAGAAGTGATTTTATCAGTATGAATCGAAATCTTCTGAAGATGACAGCTTTGCTGTCGAAATTCGCGAATTAAGGTATTTTAATATGTTAGTAAAAAGTATAAGAGTGTTTTCGTGTTTATATTCGTATAATTAGTGTTCAACTTTTTACGGTTCTCGTCCAAAACATTAAATAATGATTATGTAGCTTTGTTGTACAGAATACGAAACATCATGTACCAACAAATTGCTGACAAAGCCAAACAATNAAGAAATTTTTTTCTTTGTATCTTAAGAATTTTGTGTGAAGACGTGGCATGCAAGTCTGATGTAATGGATAAGATGTCAAGTTAACATGATCGAGGATATATGACATATATCGCGACATTGTTTGGCTTTGTCAGCAATTTGTTGGTACATGATGTTTCGTATTCTGTACAACAAAGCTACATAATCATTGTGAGATATGTGATATGTTTTCATTCTTTACTTAAATTACTCTTTAGGCGAATGTTTCAGTCCAAAGTTTCTCCTTGCAATAAAGTTTTTAATTATCTTCACGTCCGAATTTAATAATTTAATTATTTTAAAAAGTCATCATCTCTATAGATTTATATTTAATTAAATTTGATCTGTCAACAGCTTAGCTTCGAATATCCTTGAGAGATGAGATTGACCATGTTTGCAATATCTGTGGAGTTTACATCAGAAAATGTTATATCAAATTACTCAACTGTAGTAAGACAAACATGAAGCTTCATTGATTATTTCCATCTTTTCCTCACAGAGCTAAATCATGAGAAATCAAAGCATAAGTTTTGTTATTTATGTTAGACTTATCCAACATTGCACATGCTGACTCATAGGTTAATAATGAAATGGAAAGCAAATTTCCCAAACTGAAACTGTTTACTTCATCTGCATCTTCGTCAACGCTATAAAACCTTTTTTCAAATAGTTTCGAAAAATTTTGTCAACAAGAATATAAACTAATTAGTATTGTAATTGATTCTCCGAGAAAAGATTTCAAAAATCTAAATGGGAAATATTTTGTTGACGCAATCGATGTTTCTCCTCTTTTTTGCAATCCGGTTGTGGAATCATGTGATTTCTGAGAATATTTACCGGCATTTCTCTTAGCAACTAATAACTGTCGTTGGAAAAGTTTGGATGTTTAAAACTTTGAAAACTTATCATTTAAAAGATAATTTTATTCACAACAAACTTCGCTTTACTACGATCCTTATCAGTATTTTGGGGGTGGAATCGTTTCATTATATTTTAGGTGCAATCCATTTTAAAACTTGCATCAAAATGCAACGTGATACGAGACACATTAAGGTTCTCTCTCTCAGAAGTTCACTGACATCTAATCGCGTCTGTTTGTTGTTTTCTTACGTAAAAGTTGTCCTCTGTGATGCTCGATAAACTTGTTGTTGAACGTGAGATTTCACATGCACTTAAATGCTTAAATGAAAAATTCAAATGTGCGACATCATTTCGAGAACTTCGATAAAGATTTTTAGTTTTCTTTTTATTATGATAAATGAATGGAAAATTTTCTGATGTTCATAATTTTCAAAAGCTAGAAAAGTGGACAAAGATTTAATGACTCTTCCTAATTCAAGAACAAGTAGGTTGTTCTCCGTCGTTTGACCGTGGAAAAAAATACCGGATTCGAAAAAAAAAGATTCACAAAACGTTTTCAAGTCATCACAAAGAGAATTTGCATAAAAAATAATAAGCCGAGATAGTGGTGGGGGTAGCAGGTAAAAGATTGTATAAAAGAAAACACTCTTGGCCATCATCAGCTCAGTTTCAATTGGAAATTTCTTTGGAAACGATTCAAAAGATATTTAATTATTTCACGTGAAAACCTGTTTGCAACAGCAAAAAGAAAGCAAAACAAAAAAAAAACCCTAAAAAAGTATCAAAAGTTTCAAATTATTTCTTAAAAGTGCTTTAATGTTTAACACATTTTGTTTGTTAAATATTTTGGAACAAATTGCAACATAATTTGTGTGTCAATGATAACTCACGACTCGACTCTTCGACAGAGACAAAATATCATTTTCGATTTCTGGTAAGCTGATTGATGTTGATGAACAGTGCTGATTAGAATTTCTCTTCGATTTGATTTGAAGTCAAATGAGTCACTTCTAAAAATTCGAAAGTGAATTCATCCTTTGACTTCCATTTCCATTTCATCGATTTATCCCATAAGAAATCAGGTTTTCCTACAACCTTTTTTATTTTTATATTGTGACAGTCAACGTTTAATATTCGCATATGAATATTTATGAACAAACTGCTTTGCTTATACGTAAAAACTTTTTATTGGCATATCTTATGAGATTATCAAAACAGCACAGTTGAAAATGGCTGATGTAACATCAAGTTTGGATTTACTCATTCAAATAAACTTTTATTTCTCGTTCGACAGCTCTTTGAACATCAGAAAAGGTTCCCGTACTGGTAACTCCGGCAACAATCTAGAATTTTCTGTTCTAACATTGCGTACCTACGTCCCATGATTGAATCGCTTAAACCGACAAAAGATTCATAAATTCTAAACACTTTATTGAATAAACTTTTACTAAGAAGAATAATAACTTGCACATTTTGAAAATGGTTCAAGGACAAACCAAACCAATTTATAAATCGGCTGCCTTTGCTACTAGCGAGCCAGCGAACTTGAAGAAGTCGCAGTGTGATTATAAAGCACAGGAACGAAAAGAGATTCCAAAAATGAACGTTGAAAAGAAGGCAGATCCATGGGGAAAGATCTTCAAGAACGAAAAGCATTTCAAGAGCTTCCACATTTGCTAAATTTTAGGAATCATTTTCTCCTTAGTCGCACAACTAAATACTTAAAATGTAACATAAGTTTTAAGGAATAAGGAATAAGCTTAAATACAAGCATCGAAGAAAATAAAAGGAAAAGTTTTAAAACTTTTAAAGATGGCCATACTTTATATCAGATTTGTTCTTAATTTTATTCAACATAACAACAGTGACAAAGTCCATTATTCGTCTTTAAAATATTCTCAAGAACTTGTTGTGGATTTTTCTAACTTTATTAAGACCCTGACCTAACACTACGCAAATGTCTGCCATGTTGTCGGCTAAGAAGCAAAAAAAACTTTTTTCATTATGAATTATAGAGTTGAAGAAGAATCAACGACAATATTTTTTCTTATGGTAATCGACAAGCTGATTTAAATGTTTTCAAAGCTTTAAATCTTCTTTGTGAAAAAGAAGACATGAAAACTTTTTTTTAAAGATAAATAAGAAAGTTTATTGAGCTGTTTTCATCCTAACAGCTTTGAAAATATTGCTTCACATTAAAATCTAAATCATCCACGCTTTATCATTTGTGTTGGTTGTAGTAAATTGAAAAAAAGAAGAAGAATTTCGCATCGATGCATTTGACCTATTAAATTATGCAGTAAACTTAAATGTGGAGTGCACAGCTGCAAGGTGCTTAAAGAATTTTATTCATTGGTTATGACAATCGCTTGTAGTTAGTTCTTAGCATCATTTAACATTCATACATATTATCAATTGAGGTCAAGTCGGTTACAATGACTGCGAAATCTTGTTGACATTTAACTAATGACTTGCGAACTCTGTCAGTGTCGTTATGGCTAGTAAAATTCATCACCACATTTCAGTAACAGATAGCTCAACATTTAAAAAGCAATTTACAAATTTTCTTCTTAGAAAATGAAATATATCAATCTTATTCTTGATCCAAGATCTCAGCAAGTCACAATAGAGGGATGATAAATAAATATTTAAGATGATAGGGTGTGTGAACTTTGTGGATTCTTTATCGCCGTTGAGACATGATTTATTTCGGTAAAATTTAAATTTTTTGCTATAATTTTGGTTTTGGATGAAAAAGCTTTCGCCCATGACAACAATCTCTCTTTAGGAAAGGAAATAAAAAACGTAGAGGCATCTTGGGGAATATCTTTCACTGTAGAAACTCAGGAAAGCCTTTATGAATCATTTTTATTTTAGTATTTAGTAAAGTGGAAGCATCTAATGTAGAATTAAGTTGTTTTCCATGTTTCCTTCTCCCCGGGACAACTTATTCTTTTATGCTTAAACAACAAAGATTCCATGTAGATAATCGTGTCGTTTGCTTGTTGTGACAAAAAAGGAAACCGCAGTCGGTCTTTTGATTAAGATTGATAATAATTTTCCTCGTCTTGAGTGGTTTTTGACCAAAATAACTGCTGGGAGAGTTTGCACATTTGATGAAATTTTAAAAGCATTTCACTTGAATGAGAAGGAAAAATGTAATTAAAAAGTTGATGAAAGTTTGTAAAAAAGAACAAACTTTGAGTACTCTCAATTAATAATCTACATCATTTTTAGTCATATTCATATTTTTCATTCAACATCACCATCAAATTAAAAGCCGAAATAATTTCATTAAGCGAGAGGTTGAAGTAACAACAACAAAAAACGTTTTGTTAACCTCGAGGTTTTCCAAGTTTTTTTTTATAAAAAAAGGAGGAAAATCTTTTCTATCGTGAATATGAATCCCGAGGCGAGAACGTGCTGAGATTACTCATTCAATTATTCACATCAGAATGTTATTGTTCCGTTTATGTAGTCGAATAATTTTACTTAATAACAACTCTTTGATGGAAAACCGAATGAACTTCGGAATATTTAATTTTTGGTTTAATAATTTGTTTCAAGTTAATCATTTACCAACAAGTTAGTTAAATCACCACAAATATGTACAAAGTTTTAAATATGAAATAACTTTGATTAAATACTCGGAACTTTTATAAATATTCCCTGCTTTTCCATCATACTCATAGACATTTAATCATGTATCATGACAACATTCAACAAGTTATGTTTTTACCCTAGAGAAAACGTAATTTGTCATTGATTCAGTCAATAACGTCTCATTTGTATTCACTCGATTCATGTCTTGCTACAAAAACATTTAAAATTGCTTCAAATTCAAATTTGTACAAGAAGAAAATATTTGGCGTTTCCGTCTGCTGTAACTAGATCAATATTGACTTTATCCGTTGTTACTTTACAAATTCTTCTTACAAGTGAATGATATAAAAAGATAACTTTTCAAAGAAAGAAACTTCCCAAGTATCTTTCTTTTTCCTTTTTGATCGCGCTCATAAAACTTTCTAAAATGAAAATCTAAATCAACAATGACAGTTCTAGCGAGCATCAAATTAAAAAGTTTCACAACACGAACACCCAAATTTGAATAAATCCTCAAGCTCTAAAGGTTCAACAAATACTTGAGAAAGAAAAACTTTATTGATATTGCGTGGGTGTCTCACATTCTTCAAATGAAAAGCTTCAAGTCTCACCTTTTTATGTATCAAATGGCAAGAACTTCGTTGTTGGGTTATAAAAAATTCATTCCCAACTTGTATCCCAACCAGTAAAAATAAAAAAGATTCTTGACTTTAAATTTATTTAACGCAATCAAGAAAGGTTTAGTAAACAATACAATCGAAGAATGATTTTTATGACTCAAATAAGAATTCAAATCGATAGTGATTTATGATTATTACGAAACATTTTCTACCCATGAATTTCATTTCGCAAACTTTATTCGGAAAAATTCTTTTCATGTCGTTTTAAACATGGACGTCGACTTATCAGAAAATTAAAATAAAACTTTCATATTCCTTTTATTTACCTTTAGTTGAAATCTATGCTGGGATTTATCATTTTCCTTGAAGCTAAATATTCATGAGATCTTCATCATTTCTAGAAACTTTCCGTTGCTTTCTTCAAAAGTTCCTCCCATATTGATTTTCGTATTAAAATGGATTTGGGAAACCTTTAAATTTTCATTGCGAAAAATCCTTTGTTGGGATCAACAAACAGATCAAATATATTCAGGAACAACATTACCAATATTCGATTCTTTCATTTTATGAGAAAAGTTGAAGGATTTATAAAGTTTCATGCTTTGAGAACGAAATCTCTTTAATTAAAGTTAATAAAGGAAAATGTAAGGTAATTGACAAAAGCTTATCTAGTGTTAAATATTTATGAAAGTGCTTAAAAGATTATAAAATAAGCTTTCGAGCATTTATAGTTATTAACTCTTTAATTATCAGGATATGTGTTGATCTATGTTTCTGAACTAAAGCAATAAGCTTTAAAGTTTTCCTGTGCTCTAATTTAGAAAAACATTTAACGTAATAAACTTTCTCTATAAAAAGGTTTTTATTTGTTGATGGGATTCTTTGGCAACGGATGTTTAAATATTAAAATTCAAAACTGTGACTAATTATCCCTTCAAGCATTATGACTCTTAAATTGCTTCATGTTTATTTGAATTTGAATAAATGTTTGTTTATTTCTCATGCTTTACTTTCGAAAGTGGCTTAAGAGAAGGAAACCTAAAAAAATTAAAAAGTTTGATCTGGAAATACTCATAAAACTTTCATAATATCTGTTAAAATGTGTCTTTATGTTTTCATTAGAACTGAAAGAACATTTGAACATAAAAACCTTTTTTCGTAGCATTTAGTGTCACATGAAATAACGTTTATGCCTTCGCTGCTTTCAGATCAAATGTCAACGACAGATACAAAATTGAATTAGCTTAGCAATGTTTTCATTAAAAATATTAAGCTTATACAATAGATTCAGTGAGTGTAAGTAGCTAAGCTGCTTGAGATTAAATGGAGGTTCATTCTTTATGACAACATTCTTATGAAATCATAATGAATTTTCCTTTCTGATAAGGAACAAAGAAACGAAATCATTATTTTCGATGTGTTTCGCTTCACAAAGTTTTATTTCAACTTGAAGATCGATAAAAACTTGCGTTTTCCTTAAACTTCCTTGTGTTCGACAACGAAAAGTTCATTAACGGTACAAGCTTTTAAACGAGTAATCGAGCGTAACCAGGCTAAATTGACTTTAAACTGCCGCGAGAATCGTGTAACAATTCAAACAAATGAGCCTTGAAGTTGACGCAGTAATTGAAAAATGAAACATCATTAAAATGAAAATATATTCAGCATAAAAGTTTTTTAAATAATTAAAAAACGTTGTGAAATGTCACATTTTTCAATACAGCAATAAGTTTACAATTATTGAACTATAATTAGTTTTACTTTAATAATTCACAATGTGAAAATGTCTAATTAAACTTTTTGAACTGTTTTCCGATATATTAAAACAAATAATTGACTTTTTCCTATTTCAAATAAAAAATCATTATTTTCAGTGACAAAACCGCAAAAACTCATTTTCCTCAAATATAAATTTTTCTTATTAGAGAAAATAAACTTCTGAAGAAATGTTTTCAAATATCCTAATTAAAACTTTCTATAAAGTATCAAAAATTGAGGTGAGTCAATAATATATTTATGGCAGAAAACCTAGGCAACTTTTCAAGCACCACTTCAACTGTGTTAGATATTTTCTCGGATTTATTTATGTTAAGTTTTCTCAAGTCTTTCTTTTCAATTCACTGCACTGATAGAAAAACAGAATGAAGTGATTGGAAAATTTTAAATTTACAATTTTTCCGAGTTATCTTGATAAATAAATCTTGTTTTATACATTGTTGTGGTATTAATGTTATTAAATAAACTCGGGAGATATTTTCTGAACTTTAAGAATACTAACTGAGGGATTTTCATATAATTTTAAAGCAACTTTTTAAAAGTTTCCATACGAGTTTTTGTTATTTATTATTTATTTATTTGTGTGTTCGTGTAAAGAAATTTCATGATATTTAGTCCGGAAGTGAAATTTAAAATGTTGCTAGCATTCCACATTAAAATTGAACAAGTCTAAAAGTTTTATAATTTGTGTTAAAAATGGTTGAATAAATATTTACATATAAAAGCTCCATGACTGCTCGTGTGTGTTACAAACATATTAAAAAAAGAATTTTCTGAAGCCATCCCTTGTTGGATTATTTTATAAATCTGCTAAGCAACAGATACACCCACGCGATTTAGGTTTCTCATTATTTTTCCATTCATTTGTTAGATAAAAAAAATCTCTAAGCTAGAAATTAAATGTCACACAATGATTTAAAAATAAAAAATCTTTCGACTCTTCTTAATAAGATTAATTTTAAAATTTAATCATAATTTATGTTGCAATTTGCAATTCCAAAAGCTAAGCGCACATTAAATGATGTTCATTGTTTGTTTCCGCTTGCACATTAATTTTTCCTTAACGATTATTTATTATAATTTTTGTAAAAGTTCTGAAAAGTTTTATTTTTATTCAGAAGGGAATATCTAAGAATGTTCTTCTGCATAAATTGTTAATTTTGACGAAGGTCGAACAGTTTGTCTGTGCTGTTTCGATGTACAAGAAGGTTAGATTAATTGATTTACTTCCTTCTAACTTTTTTCCTTCTTTATATGTAGAAAATTGTGAGAAAAAATAAAATGGTAAATCATGTTTTAAGTTAAGATGCAAGATTTACCATCTCAATGTTTTCTTCTATAATCTGAAAGCGATGAAGGCGTGAGAGTAAAATTCGAATTTTGATTTCATATTCATGAAATTCTTCCGCATCAAGTGAATTTACAATAAAGTAGCTTTAATATTATGCAATGCATGTTTCCATCTACTTAAATTCTTTTATGGATTTACTGCTTATCGGAATATATCATAAAACTCTGGGAAGAATCAAATGTGATTTATAAGTATAATCAATCGGGACTGTATCGATGAATGTTAATATTTTTACCGTTGCAAAGTGTTGAAATATAAGTACGTAACGTACGCCACAAAATATGACGTTGACTGATTAATAACCAGGGTTAAGAATTTGCAAGAATTTTAACTAGTTTCAGGATTAATCCTTCAAACGATCTCTGCAACCAGTTCTACTTCTGGTTCTAAAGTCTGTTAAAAAATTAATTATCCAGCTATTTATTCAAATTTGATGTTAATTAAGCTAAGTAAAATTATATTTCACCGTCAGACACAACAAAAGAAGCTATGGAAATGGGAATTTGAACATTTCTTTTCATATTATATGTACATAATTAGGTAATATCTACTTTAATTAATAAGCTTCTTAAAATTATTATCAATTAAGAATTAACATATCTACTTATTTAGGTAATTCGAGCAATAGATAATTTTAATTACACTCTTAATTATTGAGAATTTTTATATGAAAATTAAAATAACAGAAATTTATCAGTTCTGACAAAAGAATTTATATTTTATTATAATTTTTAAATTAATCAATATGTCAGTATCTGTCATCTATCATAACCATTCAATAATTAAAGAAGAGTTTACTCAAGTGATACGTTCAAGAACGAAATTAAATACGACGTAAAAACTACCAGAGATGATTAAAAGAAAATACAGACGGTCTTAACACGAGTCGTTTTTTCTCGAAAAATATGTTCCAGTTTTTTATCTTTTAAAAGTCAAAACGATGAAAATGCGTGTTGGGTATGAATATGAATAATTGAAATTGGTCTGAATCCTCAAAACTGAAAAATTCATTTCATTTTCTCGAAAGAACCTCAAAGGAAATTTTCAAATTGCTTCGTTACAAACCTTGAGATTTTTATCTCTTCTTATTCCAGATATTATCTAGATTTATCACCTAAAGATCGAATACTTATCTGACGATGTTACAATCGAATTGATCTGGTCATAATAAATAAATTGTAAACAAAAATAATCTTTCTATAGCAAAAGATTGTGAAAAGCTTTTTATTTGTTTCCTTGTTAGGCTTCAATCTTTGGTCAATGTCGACGATAAAAACAAATGCGTCAACAATGAAATAATGTAGCACAAGGAATATGAAACTTTTACGATTATTGTTTGCCTCATAACTGAATAGATATAACCGAAGTAAGAATTGTCGTAAAGTTTTCATCTCTCCTGGTTTAAAAAACCCGCACGCATTTTTCTAATACATTATCAGTAAAGCTCAAAGCAGACAACAGCTTTAAGAGCAATTCTTTGGCAATATGCGCAGCTGTTTCAAAACATAAAAGCTGGGAAATTATAAAACCAAAAGTAAATAATCTTGAAGCTTCCATTCGTTCCTAATTGACGAAAAACAATTGAAGAACAACAGTCGTCGTTGAGAAAAAACAAAGAAGAAAATAAATATTTCTTCAGGGGATTTCTCTTGAATATCGAGCTAACTAAAATAAAAAAAACAATGAAGGCGTTCGAGAACGTGAAATGATAACATTTTTTTGCTTGATTACACCTTTGTCCTGTTTGTAGATGAAGATATTTTCAGCAAGTTTTGCTTTCGCTAAGCTTTGATTCAAAATTTTAATCCAGAGCAAAATGGGTTTTCCATTAAAAGCTTCCATTCGCTTTTCGTTTTAATTAAAAATTGTGTTATTAAAACCTTAATTCATTAATTCAACAGTTTGAGCTTCTTGAGAGTTTTTTTCCACTCCCATAAAAACACATTCAAGTTGCTAACTGAAACAATAAATTCATTATGTTTTTTTCTTTGCTTCCTATTTATTTATCTGTTTCAGCCATTATTGTTTTTTTTCTCCATCATTCGAGTAGATTTTACGACAGCAAAGCCACGTATGTAGACGCGCAACTCTCATTTATGGTAATGTGAATTATGTTGTTTCATAAATTACATTTTCATGTTCATCCCGCTATGTCGACAAGATATAAAGGGAAGAAAAGGCTGTGCCGATGTCAAAGTCTATTATTTTCCCCCTTTTCCTTCAACGCTTCTTTCAAAGCTTGATGTTTTAATATATTTTTCTTCTTTTCTTTCCTATTACATATCATCATTTCCACTCACGACTTTGCGACCCAGAAAGGAAATGAACAAATGACCTTCAATATTTTATAAAAACTTTAGACAAACATAAATAATCATAAATTTTATTGTAGTCTCATTTTAAATAGTGAGATGAATTATTAAATATTCTTCTCTGATGATTCATCTTCCATTGAGGAATGAAGGGAGGAAAAAAAATTTGTCTGATGATGAATCATTCATTCATAGTGATTTCTCCATGCATAAGAAGAAATTTATTTCTGTAACTATGATAATTAAATTAAAAACTTTTTCATCTCTTGGTGACAAGAAAAATAAAAACAACTTTATTAAAAAGGTTCTTCCAATTTATTCACTTATAAATTTCATTCGTCATTTTCATTCGTAATTTCACTTGGTTTTTGACAACATTTACCTCCTCCTATTTTTGGGCTATTAATACGAGTAAGATCGTCAGCTTCACATTCACAAGATTGTGTCAAAGTAAAATTGGGACATGCTGGGCAGAAACTTCCACAACAAAACGACCTGAAACTCTCAGAGTAAATTTTGAATTTGGATGCTTCACAGGAACACGATTGAGAAGTCCACGAGTCAGACCCATTGCAATCAGGACATGATGAAACTGCCTGGTTTAATTTGATTTGGGTAGCGATAAAGATGAAAATTAATGAGAACAAGACCTTCATTATGCCTTGTTTTGCGTGCAAGTGTATAACTTAAACTACTAAAAACATCGTTAAGGCTTTATTATTAAGAATTAGACAATATTCGTTTTCAGAAAACGAAGAATATAATTCGATAGTCGTCTCTTTTCATTTTTAATTTTTTCTTTATCATTTACTCGAGAAAAAAGACATTTAAAGACGAGAAATACTGTGAACTCTTTTTTTTTCACATCAGCGTGTGTCTCAGCAACTTCTTCCAAATTGTATAAATATTGACATTGTTCACTCCAGTTTACGACGGATTGTAATAAAATATGATAATAATATGTAATAAAAAATTAAAATAATGAACCATGAGGGAATCCATATGATTTTAAATGACAGAAATATTTAAATTTACAACAAAAATGAACATTTTGAGCAGTCAGTTAGGTATCTAGGAAATAATTTTTAAGAAAATTGAAGTTTAAAGTGAAGACACAATTTTTGAAATTGGATCGTTCTTGTTGCATACCTTTGAGGAGCTAATTTAATTGAATTTATTTCCTGGGAAATCTTTTCTATTAAATAACGAGAAAAATAAACCTCAAACACATAATGAAACCTTGGAGTGAAATTTATCAACTGAAGTAGGTATATTTCTTACAATTCTCTTAATGCTTGGATGAAAAATGTTGATTCGTGTGGGCTTTTGTTACTAATTTTTAAATAAATATTTGCGGATGCTTTGAAATTTCTTCTTTATTTATTCCTTTTTTTATCTCACAAAAGCACTTTGATTTTTATTTCTTCTAATAATTGCAACATTTTGCCCCCTGGAAGGGTTTATTCAGAACTGTGTTGTTACTGTTAGTTTCTCCGTAACATTCGCAACTTGATGTTAAGGTGAAGCTTTCACATTTTGGACAAGATTTGCTGCAGCAGAAATTCTGGAAGTCTTTTGAGAAAACTTTAATCGGAAAATCTTCGTCTAGACAAGAACAGCCTCCTTGAGTCCAATTTTCAGATGCTTCCGAATAAGGTTCACTGCATTTCGCGCAGGGTGATGCTACGGTCATCCTGGTCCGAGCTTCAGAATTTTGAATTGCTAACGTGGCAAATAAAAAAATCGCGAGACAAATCTTCATTTTAGTCTTTTCTACACCAAGGCTTATACCAGACTGAAAGCTTACAAAGGAATCGATAAAAAAGATCGATGACTGATGACGAATATGTAGCATATGTTTGATAAACCATATGTTTAAAAAAGTTCAAAACATGACGACAAAAGCTTACATGAGCGTCATCTAAAGCAACACATTTAAAAAAGAATCGAACTATAATGTAAACTAAAACAGACTTCAAAACTGAGCAAACATTCTGTTATTTTAAGCAATTTTTCTTTTCTATTCATAACTTTCAAGAAGTTATTTCAGGTATATTTTCTAAATTTTGTAGTACGTAGTTTAATATTCATCAAATTTCAATCATCAACAGCTACACAAATAGACGTCTTTATAAAGGATTGCATAGACTGAGAAGTTTACTTTCTCACTCGACAATCACTGAAGTCAAGTTAGAAGATTGTATTTTTCTCCTAGAAATTTTCAATTGCTATTTTGAAGTTAACACGATTTTAAATCAACAAATTTTCTGACATCATTTCTTTCGTTTAAGTGAGAACTTTGTAAATATCTAGAAAAAAAGCAACTGTTAATAAACTGCATCATTGATGATTTATAATTATTTGGAAAAATTTCTCACAAGTAAATTTATTTTGGGATAAACCAAAAGCATGAAATTATCTAAGACATCTTATTTAAAACCGTTTCCAAAAACCTAAAAATATTCTGAGTATTGTGAATTGTATAACTTTCATGCGTTAAGAAATCATCCTGCACCTAAATAAAATTTCTGTATCAAAACATTTAATGTAGACTAAATTGCCAACATTCCTTCGATGAAAAACTTGTTGAAATCATAAAAAAAACGTAAAACATTTCTTTTATAATACGAAAAACTTTTTTTTAATTTGTCGCCTTTTTTCCAGTTACATTTGAATACATTTAATCCTTGTTCATAATTTAAATTCTAATTTAACAACAGTTTCTTCATATTCCTACAAATTAATTACAAATTGTTTGATCTTTGTGTATTTAAATTTTACAAAAAAGAGAAGAAAATCTTGAGAAAATTGACATCTTGTCTTGATGAACAATTAAAATATTAAAAAGTTTCTACAAAGCTTCAACTTTGAATTTTTAATTTTCGGTTCTCAAAATTTTGTTCTAAATCATAATTCTCGTATTCGTAAAAGAAATTTCAGTAAAACGAAAATTTTCCTATGAAAAGTTTTTTCTTTCTAAAAATTAGTTTTTGGCAAATCTTTGTGTTCGAAATACGCAATGTCATGTGCTTTGTGGTGCATCCAGCGATGTTCCAAATCTTTTGACTAGAAAATTCTTCTTTTTTTCTCTTCTCGTTGAGTCCAATTTAAGATTTGTATGTTCGAATAACATCGCGAATCGGTGCACGGCATAATGGACAAGCACCTCCGTTAATTCCACCACGCCAATGTTTCATTGCGCAATCATAGCACATACACATGTGACCGCACATATAAAGAACAGAATCGATTGGATTCTCATAACAAATTGTACAATCAACACCATTGGATGGGTCGTTCGGTCCATAATTTGATACAGTTCCGTAAACAGTTCCATGTGCATCAACAAAAGGCGCATTTTGTTGCTTCTTGCATGGAACTGCAGCATAAAGTGAAGTTGAACTTTCAGACACTCGTGTTGCACTCTAGAAATGAATTTCAAAAAAAAAATGAATAAAAAAAGTAAGAAAGCCATTGAGTTGATTAAACTTACTCGTCCGCGTATCATCGTTGGCTGACTTGATGATGATTTGACTGGAGCTGGTGGTGCTGGAGGAAGATTCACGACTAGAACAGTACCACTTGATTGAACTTGAATATCACCATTTGGTGTTCCACTAATAATTGAAGTAGTTGTTCCAACAGATCGTGAACTAAGATTCGCTTCATTTGGAACTTGTGCTTGTGCTGGCATCACTCGATGATTCAAAGGAACTGAAGCGTTCAATGCCTTCTGAATTGAAAGTGGCTGTGGTGGTTGTTGATAAGCAGGTGGCATTTGTGCATGTTTTGAGAGAACTCTGATTCCTTGTGTCGATCCATAAACATCAAAGAAAGCCCACAATTGTAGACTTTGATCAACATACATCAAAGTAATTGGTGCGTTGTCATTGCGACTTATTTGAACTTCACCGCTCATCAACACACTGAATTTAATTTCATCACCCCGTGACAATTGCACAATCTGTCCGATATCTTTACTCACAACCCAATATTCGGGACGATCTAAGAGAACATCAGCATCGTCAGGAAGGTCAGATGATATCAAACTATTTGGATTACATGATGTCAATCCAAGTGCCAATGATCCACCATAAAGTGAATCGTTCTTTAGAATTTGAATAATAAATTGTTCTCCATATTTGATTGGACGTTGTGTGAAGACGTAGCCTTGACAAAATTCATTATCAACACGAGTTGCAATTGTTCGATCTTGTGTCAACACAACATTACGTCCAATAAGTGGATGAAGTTGCATTGGTTGATATCCATTGATAACATTTTGATTGAGAAGATTATTTGAGCTGTGAATGGTTTGTCGACGATTGACTGCTTCAACTGAGAGATTAACATTTTGGATTCTCTCGTTAATATCGTAAATGTCTTGGGTTGGTATTGATGGTAGTGGCATTAACTGACGATTTGGTTGCTGAACATTCATGTTGTTGTTGCACATATAAGTTCGCGAATCGAGAAACTCACAAGCTGTTGAATTTCCATAAATATCAATCATAGCCCAAAGTGGTCCACGTGTGTCAACATCTGTGATGAAAAGTCCTTTCTCTTCTCCATTAATTCCGTAATGAACTTCACCAGATGATGAGACATAGTAGAAGAGAACATTGTCACGTTGACAGAAACGTTCATGAAGTGCTTTTCCCCAAAATCCTGGTTTGTTTGTGAGATCCGGACATGCATATTTTGGCAATGTTCCTTCAAGTGATGTTGGATCCATGCACGTGAAACCAAATCGAATTACTCCACTCCAATTGTTTGAAATTTCAGCAAAACGAACACAAACACGCTCTTGAACCTTCACTGGTCGTGCACTGAATGTGATGCCTTTGCAGAAGCTTTCATAACGACGAGCAATTTTTCCATCTCGAGAAATTCGAATGTTGTCACCATGAACATTGTGGAATTGAAGTGGAGGAAGATTGTTTGGACTTGGACATGACGTGTGCGATCGGGGAGCTGGAAAATGAAAAAAGAACAAAAGAATCTCATTAGTTATTTGAATATTTTATTTTTTAAAATAAAATAAAAATTGTTCAATTGACGGGAAGTGCAGAAATAAAATCATTCAAGCAAATAAAATTTTAATGAGAAAATTGAATGAATTTTCTGTTTTGACGTTTACAACAAGTAAAGAAGCGAATTAACTGATCAGTGGATTTACCAATTATACGAACATCTTTCGATTTCTTCTTCTTCTCAAACTTTCATTTATCTCAGATATCCGCCAACCTCGTGGAACATAATTGAAATAAATTATCATCAATTCATAAAGATTAAATCGTTCAGTGATGTTATATGTACATTCTTGTAGAGCGGAAAATTACGTAAAATTCTGCTTTCTTCTGCTCTTCATTTCATTCGTCTCGATTCGACAGAGAGAGAGGAAAAACCAAACGAAAAGAAAGAAGGAAAGAAAGAAACATAAAAGTTTAGTTGGCAAGGCGAGGCGTAGGATAAAAAGAAGTGAACGAGTAACAGCGCTTACGTAATCATTAATCATTAGACACGAGTGATGAAGAAAACAATCATATACGCGATGGTTTAGGTTTTCATAATTTATTTGTTGGTGCTGCTGCTGCGAAACCACGAAAAGTAAACGAACATTTGATTTATTGGTTCATAAAGAGTTCTATGGCGTGGCAATTGGAATAATTCAAGTATGATTCGTTTATCATTAATCTAGAATTAAAATATATCAAACATTAGTCAGCAGCCCCAAATATTTGTTTCTTCCACAATCCACCATGACATGTAAGCATAAACGATTTTGTCATCGACGACCTTGTCGGAAAACGATGACGTAGAAATTCCTTTAGAAAAATCCTAAACGCTAAATCATCGCTTCGCAGCTGCTTGAGTATAGAACGAACACTCATCATCTATCCCAAAAATTGTTAATTGAGTTGCTAAACTTTGGGTCGAAGAAAGTTCTGTAAAATATGCAAAATGAGTGGAGAGGCGAAGCGCTGTCGGGTATCGACGTTGACCATAATTTATGTTAATTTCTTTGGGAGTTTGAGCATCTCCACATTTGGTTTTATTTACTTATTCGTAATACCCAAAGTCTCATCCACCTACGACCGTAAATTTTCTTTTGAGAATAAAAACCTTGAATAATCTGCCGAGGTCGATGGAGATTTTTACTGATTTTTATTGCGGAATTGCTTTTGGAATTCTTAATTTCTTCCTTTCTTCAAATCATTTTGATTACGTTGGGTATGAAGGGAATTTTTTTCTTTCTTCCGTCCGAACTTCGTTTTGATTTTCTCTTAATAAAGAAGAAATTTGAATGATATTTGCATAATCATTTGCGCTACCTTTTTAGGTTGCTTCAATTTGCAGGAATTCCGATTAGGATTTTTCTTTTTCTTTTTGCGATACTCTCGAGACTCATTCGAGTGGTGATTGCACGCTTCAAATAAAATCTTACAAACAGATTGGAAGATTTTTGTCAATGTATATTGAAGCATTTGGCTATCGTCAGAATTCTTTTTCAATCTCCCATGACATCAGGCGTCGATTGAATTGGAGATTCGAGAAAGTAATCGAATGCAGATGTCAATACTTTTACAGCAAAATCCCCAAGAAAGCGATCCTAGTTTCAGGTATCAAAAAGGAATCTTCCTTTATGTTGCTGCACATTTTACAAGAGAAACATCGAAAAGCATGAAAACTGCACAACATATGCATCTTTAAAACGTTTGTTCGTGTTGCACATTGTTCTCTTCATGTTTCTCCCCCGATAAAAAGGCAAATGAACAAGCAGTAAAAACGAAAAAAGAGAAGAAAATATGAAGGCAGCAGACAAAAGGTGTTGTTTGAGTTACTGAACCTTTTTCTTCTTTTTTTCTTTCTTCTTCATCATTCTCATCATCATCCGAATTATATTTTGGGAAATGAGGGAGAGAAATTTAAGTATTTTTGGCTGAGTTTGTCAGCTGCTTTAGCGTTTTTAAGTTCACAAGCTGCTTTCCATGTTTTCTTGAATGATTTTTCATTTTTTGTTGTTCTTATAAATTATTAAAATGAATTAAGTTAACTAAAATCTTCAAAGCATGAAAGTATTTGTTCGTAAAGTTCTTAAAGTTATCGTCATTCAACTTAAATAGTTTTCCAATTAAGAATTTATGTATCATCAGTGTTTAGAGATAATCAACTTCAAATGATCCTCAATTTCTGGTTGCTTACCGAAAAACAAAGAGAAATCCTTTCCCTAAAAACCGGATTATGATCCTTGAGTTAATTATCTAGATTATCCTCAAACTCATATACTTAAATGGATATTTGAAAGCGAACAAAAGGAAACATGAAACAATTCCAGAGACAACTAAATGTTGGTCGTCAAATCATTTCTGATAATTTATAATTATCCTTAAGGCACAAAATCATTAGCCGACTAATAAAGTATTTAAAAAATGATAATCTGATTAGTCGTTTGTTCCCTTTCTAATGAATATTAAGACGATCGCTTTGGATGATTAATGAAAGAAATCTTTGTTGTTGTGTTTAAATTTTCAAAAACAGAATAAAGAAACTTGAAACTTTGCACTTTCTTTGTGCTTAGTAAATAATTAAAGGAGAAATTTTTCTGTATTTATAAACATTGCAATGAAAACTTGATCAATCCAGAGTCGCAACATGAGACACATGCAGACCGTGATGTTATTTTTAAGATGTGTATAAAAAAATCATCCCGACTGTTCCCGCATTTCGAGTGCTTCGCTTTGGTTGTTTAGTAAGAAAATTTACTATGAGTGTGATGTAAAAAAAATGTAGATTTATGATTCACAGCGATGTGATTCAGGTTCGCTTTGTTTTATGATCCAGACAGTACCAGTTGTTTGATACACAAGTGAGTGAACACATGCCACGATGCGGAAAGAAAGAGAAGCGAAGAGAGGGGAGAAGTTTTAAAAATAACATTTCACTTCCAATGAATTTCGTTCTGTTCAGATCATCCTTGTTGCGGTTTATTTATTTATTCAGATATTAGTTGTTAGATGAACGACTCGAATTTTTTACTGAATCATTCCGGAAAACTACCAACGCATCATCGCACGCGTTCACATCATAACAATTACAAACAAATGTTCTCCGACCATCGCGACGTTGCTGTCTAAAAATAGCAAAACTCCATAAATTCCATTTAAAGTCGACAAGATCAACTTCAACATTCATTTCATTCTCGCTGTTGGTTATTTTCGTCTGCGTTTTAAGTGTTTTAATAAATACTATTGCAGTGTTTTTTGTTAAATTCAACAGCTTGGGTGAGATAACATGAAGTGAGAGTTTATCAGAGCTCGGAATTGTTGTTAATATCCAAAACAGAAAAGTTTTAAACTCTGCTAATAAAAAGAGAAGAAGAAGATTTCAATCCAAGTGGGGCACGAGAAATGTAATTTTATAAACGAGAACTTAAAGATCAAATTCATCTTCATGGCAACATTTTTTAATTAGATAAATATGCAAGAACTCCAAGCATCAAAGCTGCTTTTATTTCATTTTTCATTAATTGCTTAGTTACTGTTAAAATGGAGAAACATTTGCACCGGGCACACAGCAAAACACGCGTTGAAAAGGCAGCTGCCCATAACGCCACTGCTGATACGGGCTACTTTAAACTTAAAACACATTTCTTGCTTCTCACAAATTCACTCTTTATCAACATGAAGTTGGGGAAATAATCAGAAAACATTTTAGTTGAGGAAAAGAAATGATGGTTGTTATCTTTAATGAGCGGACGAGATGTTTCCAGTGGGTGAAGTAGATGAAACAAGTGTTCTGAATATGCAATTGTCTCTTATCACATAAACATAAATGCTGAATGAATATCAATGTGACTCACATCATAATGACATTGAATTTTTAATTCCATTCTTGAAGTTATAAAATGCGCTTTTAAAAAATTGAAATTCTCTTTAATCTCCACGTTAAATCGTTTGTAATTGTAATGATAGGAAGAGCATGACTACAATGGTAAGATTCCCGCGTTTATTCACTTCTTTTCTGTTCGATTTTAAAGCTATTTTGGGAATTCGGGATTTCATACTCTGGCAGTGAAGAGTAAAATAATTGAGAGATTCATTCCCCTATAGTCGTGATCGCAAATGTGATTTAATACTTTTATGCGATTAATATTTTCTTTTCACCGAAAATTTCATGATTAAATGAGGGTTGTTGCTGTTATGCAGCATCGTCTTTAATGAATACGCAAGTAAAATGAGATGAGAATTAATTCAAAGTCACTGAGTCTGATATGCTTGGGAATTCGAACAAACTTTTTGCATGATGAGCATCGTCATGGTTTGAGAAATTTTATCATTTTTCAAATGTGAATCGAAGCAGCAGACTTTTAATCGTCTTATTTGGAGTTGTCATTTGAGCAATTGCAACTGAATATGAGCTCCACAAGAAACAATAAAATGTTGTGCAATTTGAGAAGATATGATTAAGGTTTCATGGGAAGTAATTGAATATCAACTTCAATCTGACTCCCACACATCGTAAATTATAACATGAGCGAGCTCTTCAATTGAATCAAAGACAATTCTTGGTAAATTTCATTTATAATTGAAGTGAGAAAAAAACTTTTATGGAACAATGAAAAGCCATTCAAGTTGTTTGTGACAGAATTCGGTTCAAGTTCTTTTTTCTGTTTATTTGTCAATCAATAGTGAAGCAGTATAAAAGTGAACAAAAAAAGAGAAAATTATTTCAAGTTTTTCTACGTAATATTTTTTCCCATTTCCATGATAAAACTCAGAGAATGGATAAAGATTTTTTTTTAACAACTATTGTAATTATTTTTTACGATTCATCGTCTTAGTTAAGGAATGAACCCTCAAAGATTTCAACTGTGTTGGTAACCAACAAGATATTTTCGGCAGCTGTTCACAAAAAAGAAAACCAAATTCAAGCATTTGCTGTTCCCAAAAGGGATTTGTTATGCTTCGTAGTCTTTTTACTCAATTTTTGGGATTCTTACTTCAGGGACTCTTCTTGAATATGTTTGTTGTGCAAGGATCAACAACACCATTTACTTACATAAATCCTTGTGAAGGAACAGAAGAAGAGAAAAAACTTGTTGGCTCTTTCATGTATGTATTCAACCCTCAGTGAAACCTTTTATTAAGAAACCATATGTAGTTATTTTCATCTCGCACATCATCAATTTTCCCTGTTTCCATCGACTCCATTAAAGTATCTGAAAACTTTCCCTTTTAATTACCAAGCAAACAATATTCAGTGTGAAAAACAATTTGTTTTTGTTCATAAGTACTTTTGTACATATCGACATTTCCTACCGTATTAAATGTGTGGGCGTTCATTTATTATTATTATAAAAGAAGACACATCTTGTGATCACGATTCACATATTTTCAAAGCCTTGCAAATCGCTTTCCTTTCATTGAAGATGGAAATTTTCAAACAAAAGAACAAACTTTAGTTGAACATTTCGCACTGTGGCGTGAATTGCCTTTCACAGGTCATTAGCATATTTTGTGAAGTTGAACATTAAAATCGAATGATGCTTGGCTTTGTAAGTAGATCGTAGACAACACAAAAGCAAACTCAATTGAACAAATTCGTGTTGAGAAAACTTAAGTAACAACACTTTTTTAAAAAGTCAATGAACATGATTTGAAGAAAACGAGCAGCAACAAGAAAACGTTTATCGAATAATCGTGAGATTGGCTGATGTTAGATATTTGAAACACTTTAACTTCCATAATTCAGATACAATTATTGTCGTGCTTTAAGTTGCCAAAATGTTTCATAGTAGCGAGAGAGGTCACATTGGACAAATGTTTGGATCAAATCGTTAACACACTAAGTGATATTGCTACACCTGCTTGATGGTAATTAAGAATTGCGAATGAACCCTTGGCAACTTAGTATTAATTTAGTACTTGTGTTCGGCCTCTGAATTAAAACAAATGTTGTACGAAATACATTTTTCATTGTTAATTCAGCACATGGTGCATGTGTCTCTTGTTTTACTTCTTTTTCTTTTCTTTCTCGGATGTCTTTAAGTTCTTCGGTTTCCTTTTTGCACCGGTTCGAATTCAATTGTCTTGAGAGTTTCAAAAGAAGAATGAGAACCCAAAATCAACTTCCGATTTCCGTTCCACATGATTCCATCAAACAATCGACCCTAAATATTGATTGCATTGAGAGAAAAAGGAAACACGATATTCAATGATTAAATTCTTCAAAGGTTTCCTATCAACTTTGGGAGTATTATTTATTTATGTTCTCCTTAAACAACATCCAAGTTGAGAAATCTTTCTCCTTATTCTTTACATAGATACTTTTTTTACGTCACTCGTCGCTAAAGGAATAAGCAGAAGAAAAAAATATTTTTAAATCACTTCCGATGGCATAACATGCACGTTGATGTTGTTCGGTAAATATTCTCGGATGTGTGTGAGAAAATGTCATGGAATGAGAAAAATGTCGTTTAACAGGATCAGATGTTAGTTGTTGATGAAAGGAAACTGAAATAATTTTTACTACGTCAGTGTTTGTGTGTTTGAGGATTTTTTTCACATCTGTTTCGTCTTATTTCATACTTTTTTCCATCGTGTTATATATCCGGTTGCTGCATCATCATCAGAAGGAAGAAACCAAAATTTCCTGTGCCAATGAATTAGCAAAGTAATTTAAAATCATCATAAGTCCCAATCTCTTTGTGATCGCCAGAAATAAGAAGAAAGCTTGATGTCTATGTCGCTTACAAATCGTAATGTGTCGCCAATGATTTCCATTAATTATTTCTTGATCAACTTTGTCGTTCGATAATTTATTTTCTCGTCATTCACATCACATCACAACGAAATCAGGTCTGAGGCGACAACATTCTTTTTTTTTTGCTTTGCCGATGATGAAAGAAATTTATTTATTTGATTGTTCTTCTAAAGATTGGATCAGAATGTTAAAAAATCGCGACGACATTGTGGGACTTTTTTCTGTTTCCAACTTTCTTCTTGATGTTGTTGACGATAAAAACAATCGGAAACCTTTTTTTGCTGTTATCAGATGAGTTGAATTAGCGTGTCGCCATGAGTTTCCCATCAACGAACATTGTTTTAATAACGAACGCGAAAAGTTACCCACGTGGAATATTTTGTTGGTGACCGATTAACAAACATTTTGTACAATGAAAATTTTTTAATCACTTTTTATGTGGAGTTTTACCTCAATTTGTTGATTATGTTTGAGAATTGCCAGTCTGGCGGAGTTTGATTACCTCGACGGAATACAAATGAAGCACAATTTACAATGGAATCTTTTTTCCCTTTATCAGCGTCTGATGTTTTCGTAATGATTTATTTGTGTCGACGATGGTAACATACAAGTAGTCAATGTTTTATCGTGATTTTCACTTATGATAAGCAAACGTCAATGTACGCATCTTTAAAACGGAAACAATTTTTTTTGTGTTCTGTCGCTCTCATCATTCATTCATTGTTTTTTTACGGCATTCATTTTAAGATTGGGTAACACGTCTTTCCGTCGACAGGAACTTCGGTTCGAAGAATCTTTTAAGCTTCAAGTACAGTTTCAACTTGTCTTCATTTATTATGTAGACATATGATGGGCTATTTATGGGTTCATCAAGACAAACGAAGTGAGAGAAAAAAAATTCACGGTAAATGATTTTAAAGTCGATGATTTCGTGAAGTCTCTGAAGCTTGAATCTTGACTTTCCCCTCTCACGTTTATTCAGTGGAAGAAGCCACAGCACTTGATTTGAAATATTTCAACTTTAAACAAAGTTTCACTAAGAATTCAATTGTTTTTATTATTCCAACCCCGGCTAATTATGAAGAAATTTCTTCTTCTCTGTCTCGTTTCCATTTTTCCGTTCTCATGTAAATACACGAAGAAATATATGCTTTAATTAAAATTCTAGTAACGAAATGAAATTGTGTAGTCTCTGCCTCTTTTTGTCGAAATGAAGGAGAAACAAACGCCATTTAGCCGATTGCCTTCAATAAAATTATTAATGGGAAGTCATCGTTCTAAATGAATTTAAAAAAAACTTTCTTTAAGAAACAATCGCCCGCGGATCTGCCGATCCACATTTAAATTGATTTTAATTCATATTTTTCCGTTCTTTTCATTTCTTTTCTCTCGATTTTGCTTTTGATGTGCTGACTAATGTTAGGGAAGAATCTTCACGAGTTTAGCCTTTTGTCTTCAAAGTTTTCATTGATTTCAAGAAGATTGGGAACGGCTTTGTTCCTTTCTTTCTTTCATTTATAAATCTGCTTGCTCTAAATCAAAGTCTTTGATAGATAAAATTTTTTTTATGAATCTACATTAAAATGTGTGCGATACCTTTCAGACATTTTTATGATCTAGACACAAAGAAAGAATAAAAATTCCACCATTGTTAGTCATCGAATGTGATCCATTATGGTCATTTGTGTAATTTCTCACAGTTTTGTGCGGGAAAGTTTTGTAAAAAGAGAAGCAAGAAGCGTTAAGAGGCAATTATGAATCGCGTCTGATCTTTCAAACTTGTTTTTCATCCATTCATTCATTCATGAATATATTTCTTCAGTTATTAGTCGAGTAATTAAATCCTATTTCAAGAACCGTCTTAATTAAAGAGAGAAATGGTCATGTTAGAGAACGATTTAACACTTTGGTATCGTCAATGAATCACTTTTGAAAGCAATAAATTGAATTTCGTAATAAGATGGTTCGTAATGCGATAGATTTATGTGCCAATTTCGCGTATCATCATCAACAACTTAGCAATGTTTTCTTTTATATTTCATTTTCTCTAACACTTTACCAACCAATAATGAGAAATAATAATAACAATCTTGCAATGGCAATTTTACAAGTAAAAGAATGAGAAAAACATGAACATAAAAGCGACTGTTTACCATCGACATAAACATCATAATTCTTTCTTTTCTTATTCCTTCCTTTCTCCATCGATTGAGTGAAAGAGTTGGAACTAACATAAATTGAAACCCGATTTGGTTCTTCCTTTCTTTCTATTCTATTTATATTTTTTTTTGCAGATGAGCATGGGAAATGATGAAAATACTTTGAACATTTTATAGCATTGAGATGATCAAGTTTTTTTTAATTTTTTCTTTGTGTGCGATGTCGATGCAGCTGAGACGAGAATAGAAAAAAATTGCAATTGGTTTTAGGCATGGGAAAAAACTATCGATTGGTGATGTTGCTGTGCTTAGAAAAATATATCAACATTCAGTCGCGATGCGGTTTATTTTGATATTTGCAAAACGTAGATTACCAGTTAGCAGCGAACAAGAGAAGCGGAGAAATCGTGACTTCAAGTTTTTGTTCCCACAACTTACGCCAGTGCATTAGATGGTTGTTTGGCTTTTTTTTTGTTTTATTTCTCGAGACTCGAAAGTCTCACAGAAAATTTTAACGAAAAGCGAATATTAATTCAATATTATATTGCTTTGAATAATGTTTGGCGAATGCGAGATGAGAATCAAATTTAAGGCACGGAAAGATACATATTTGAACAAGTGAAGAAGAGTGATTTGTGATACTTTTTTGATGATTTATTAAAAGAGAAATTATTGGATTGATGCTTTACATCATTAATCATAAATTCCTCTTATCAAAATATTTATTGAGAATTTCATTCTTTTGATATAAAATGGAAATCAAGTATAGGATAAAAAATTCTTTCATTTTCATCCATTACTCGTTAAGTAATCAATAGAATTAAAATAATCCACAAAAAAGCGTTTCAAGTAAATACTTTAATGTATAAATGATTAAGCTTAATATTTACTCGCATTATTCGAAGGATAAATTGACGTAAATAATCTGCTATTAATGTTTTCTTCTCTCTTTTCAACTTCAAACTTAAAATTGGCTTTTCAAATGGCTGGAGCGGAGCATCTTTCTTGAAAATGAGATGAGTAAACAAAACAGGCGAGACTTTATTCGAAGTTGAAGAGTTAAAAATGCAACGGGATTTGAATGTAGAAGGAAAAGTTCCATGGGAACTTTATTTTTCCCATCTTCACAAGAAATTGACTGCAATTTCAAGTAAGAAAAAAAAATAAAAAGTAAAATCGAACAACCTTAATTGATGGATGATTTCATGATCATTTAACTCGTTGCAATTCTTAGCGCAGTCTTGAAGGTTTCCCGTCACGAATCGAACATTCATTCATAAATAAAAAGAGTTCTTGAGGTCTCGACCTCAAAGGAGTTAACAACAATAATGCTTTCGGGTATAAATATGTATAATAACAGCTAACGATCATTCCGAAAAGAATCTTTCAACCTACCTAATCCCATTCGCTTTTTAATCTTCTTCAGAACTTTCATCTTGTTTTTGATCGGCGAAAATAAATTATCACTCGAAACTTTGCTACTATTTTTGTTGTCGTAACTCGCACTGCACTGGCAAGAATTACCACACAATTCGGCTTTGCTCGATACACCCATAGGACAATTGTGTTATTTTCAGAATTTTCACAACAGTTAAAAAAATTTAAAACCACTCAAAATTAAAAATGGTTTGTAATGTCACACTGATAATCCTTTCTGGTCGATGTACAAATCCTTATTGATTTATAAATATTTATTCACAACTCAATTTCGTTCGCGGCTTTAAATATTTTTAATTTAAAATGCTTCCTGATGATGAATGATGAATCGTATCGAAGAGACACGGCCGAAATAAAATAAGCAAACGAGGCAACAACGCGTCTTCACTCTTCAAACTTTTAAAACGTAATGAAAACTAACAAAAATTCGAGGCAGTAAAGCATGGAGAGGACAGAGAGAGAAAATAAGAAGAATTGAATACAACTTTAATATTCCCCTTCACATTGTGTGATGTTTACTTTTTTCTGCAGCCCGTTTTTCATCTGCCTAGTGCTGTTCGTTTGTCTCATTTTCTCTCTCACTTTCCTCGTGTGCTCGACACATTGGATACGAATCGACTTAAGAAGAACAAGACGTAGTGAATAATAATTCTTTCTTTCTTTTCATGAGAAACGAATTAAAGATGTTTTAATTGAAAATTCGATACGAGAAATTGATAATAAATAATTGTAGACTTAAATCAAGTAAAAAGCGGTTAGTTGAGTTTCATTCATTGTCGCGTCGTCTGCTTATTTTCTGTCTTATTATCAATCATTACCGGATTTTTTTTAGTGCTATGAATTTTTAATTTATTTGGAACAATCGATGAATGTAATTATTGCAAATGAAATCACATCGATTACATTCTTCAGAAACACTTTAATTACCAGTAATCAAAATTAAATATCGTTGATAAGTTTATTCCCGAATGTCAATGTTTCAAGTGAATGTTTCAATGTTTTACCACAATGTTTTGAGCTTGAATGAGAAATGCGTCTAAAATGATGACTGGAAAATACGTTAATGACAATTTTCAATGATGATTTTTTATGAAAAATCCTTTGATACAAGTTGTTGAGTTTTTTTTTAACGGTTCAACCTGGCAGTTTACGATTGTTGCGCTTTATATTGAAATTATTAAAATTGACATCTAACATTGTTGTGCTTTGAAATATATACAATAAAATAACCAAAAATGGATGTCATAACAAGGCCATAAATATTCATTTACTTAAGAGAAAGTGGAAATTGTTAAATTAAGCACCACTTAATAACATTTTCACTACTCTTGGATTATTATAATGAGTTTCAATAGCATATGTTACACGAATGATCCAAATCTCCATCAGAATCGTGAAATTATTTCATCTAACAGTTCGAATTGCTTTACTTTAATCTCTCATTGAATAATTGTGTAATCGAACATTTTAAGAAATAATTGAAAAACCATATTTCGTAGCATATTAAAACTGTAAATTATAAGTTTCATTTAACGAGTCGCAATCATGAATTCAAGATGCGTTAAAATCGTAAGGAAACGAAGAAGAATTCCAACATGTTACCGATAAATTGTTAAAAAGAAATAAAATAAAAGCAGCAAAAAAATTGCTCATGAATTCTGTTTGTGTCGAGTCAAAAATAAAACTATTTTATTCTTTTGAACACTCACACACACTCATAAGCATAGACTCTTACTTTAACAGGAATTACTGTTTTTCCCTTATATTTTTTGGTTGAAGCCAACGACAGATGTTCAAAAGTTTTTTTTCCTTTTTTTGAATAGTATTCTTTGTTGTTCGACTGCCACGCGACATCCGCCAATAGAATGCTTTGGATTTTTGCCTTTGCAATAATTATATTTCTTTTTGGGTCTCATGTTCTCTGAGACAACAACACATGAGCATGTATCTGAATTTCTTTTTACCTACCTAAAGTTATGTTGCAGCACTGCAGCAATATTCAATCTCCCTTTAAGTTATCATGTTCAAATTATGACTCGTCTTATTTACATTTCTTCTCTTTCTTATGCACATTTTGCTTGTAAAGCAGATGTTATTTATTTGATTACTTATAAGAGAAAATAAACATCAAATTCGACACATGTAAGATTCGCAAATGTCAATAGAAATTCAAAAAGAAAAAAAAAATTCTCGTTTGAAGTTTCTTCGCGATGATTACAGTTAAAGGTGCTCGAGAAAGTACTTAAAGTTTTATTACATGAAAGCTGCAGTTTTCTCATAACCAGCATGTGCAATTCCAAGATAATTCATTATGCTGTATGCTCGAGCAAGCCTTCAAATTTTTATTTTATCAATTGTCGCTTTTTATCTAAAGAACATGAACAACACTCAAAACGCTTCCATAATTTGAGAACATCTTCCGTTCAAAGCGATCATTGGTTAACACTGAACAAATGTTCCCTTTTTGATTTCACTTCTTCTTTATGATGAACCGATAGACATGTGCTCTCATTTAATTATACACAATATGACACGCGTATCATTTGAGACCACAGCATTTACAAGCTGCACGCCGCTATTTATCTTTATTGCTGATTTTTATTCATTTTGATCTGATGTGATGACATGCTGCCGGAAATGAAAATTCCATCAGGGAATTTTTGGTGTTGAGTAAGCAAAAAATGGAGTAATTTTAGCGAATGTGACAAAAATGTTATGTTAGAAATTACCACATTGCATGTGCTATCAAAGCGTCTCCAAACGAACACTCAAGAGTACTTGATAATGTAGGAAGAAATGATTCTTCCTTTCAATCTATATTTCGCTGTCACAACATAAAAGCAATCAAAGCGAAATCATAACTGCTGATGTTACATTTATGATTGGAGACTCAATTTTGGTTACATGATTTAATCTTTGTGAGTTTGTGACAAAACGAAAAGAATTTGATAACTTAGAATCTACATAAGATAGATATGAATAAATTTTATTCTTCTATCTTTTGTTAAGCATGCAGATTGAAGATTCTTCTCAGAAAAGAACTCTTGAGGTTTGATGATATCATTGCAAATTGTCAGAAATATGAAAAATTCAGTAAAGGATCTATGAATCTTGAACATTTTGCATAATTTATGTTATAAAGTCTTCCTTTTGTTAGAAAAGAAACATTGAAGCATGTAAGAGAAGAATTTTTATATTAGATTTAAATATCTTCCATCAATTGACCTTCCGACAAGAAGAAAGTCTTGCAGATTATGTGACGTTGCTAAACTTTGATCTTCTTTCCTTATTTTTATTGTTTACAAAATTTCCTTTCCCACCTTATTGGTTTTGAAATTTACAAACTTTTCCTTGTTTTATAAGTATGTTAAAACTTATTTTGCTCCCAAATTTTTTTCAGCTTTAAATATTTCATAGAATTCGAAGGAGAAAAATTTAAAAATTAATTTACGAATAATTTTGTCTTTCTGGTTGAAGTCATTTACTCAAAAAAAAATCTCATTTCGTTCTCGACTGTCTGTTGTTGTGTAAATTGAGTTTTTCTCTGGCGTAAAGAATGTCTAAAAGTGTGTAAAGAAAATTCTTGTTACCATTTTTTTCTGTGAGTTGTGAACGTAGCGTAACAACATGAATCTGAATTACTTATATTTTTACATGCTTCTGTCACACGCGAGAACAATCTCTACACGGATGTAAAGAATACGGAAGTTTGAGAACCGCGAATGTGCAAAATCATCACTTCCTGCTTCGTGTGCGTGAAAGTGACTAAAATTTTATTAAAATTCACTTTTACTTTTAATGTTTCGAGAGTGAACGACAACTTTAGAACAAAACAGATTGTTTATTAAATTTTCCACCTCGTTGTTGATACTGTTACTGACGGTGGATACGACAAGTTGATTCTGATGAAAGAACAAGCATATAATTAAATGTAACATCAGACGTGAGCATCATGTGAAACATCTTTCGCTTCATATCACAATTATTAAAGCTTGTGGCGTCGTTGCAGACGATCATTGAGTGGCAAAATTTTCTTCTAGAACGATGTAGAGAAGTTTTTTCCTAGAATTGCGACAAGGTTAAAGCTTTTAATTAAACTCTTTCTCACACTCATGGGACATGTCGATGTTGTCTTAATTAGTTGTTTTCTTTTTCTTTGTTCAACCCTCAACAGCACTCATTTGAACCGCTTTAATGGATCATTTGCTTGTAAACAATTAACAAGAAATCCTTTAGAAGTGCTCATCAATCGAGGTTTTTTTTCATACCGTTGCCCTTTTTTTTTTGTGAAGTGTGGAAAAAAATTAACTTTGGGTATCTTTATAATGATTTAGTGTTAATGAGATTGTTTTCACTTTTCACCTTCTGTCGACCGGCTTTCACAATTCTTTGAAACCATTAACAAGAATTTCCACTGATGCGATAACAAAAAAAACTTCTTAATTAAAATTTCTTTTAAAATAAATTCTCAAGACACAACGAAGCAAACAATTGTGATTCTCTTGACAATAAATATTTCTTCCTTTTCTTCTTCTTAACGTTGTGGTGCTGGTTGCTGGAGAAAAGAAAAGAATTGAATTGGGTGGGTGGATAATTTTAAAAGCAAGAAAAGTTCTCCCCTTTTAGCGCTTAATTTACTAAAACTTCGGTTCGGATGTTTATTTTGCGAGTCTCATTTAAATATTTGGGAATCAATTTAGCTTGAGTGATAAATATTCCAATTTCAAAGTGTTGGGAAAAGCACTACTCACTTATTTTTATAAAAATTTCTTTGAGTTATCCAATTCAAGGGCAAGCAGGAAGTAGAAAGATGAAACAAAAGGCTAATATTGAAATCTTTCAAGCGATAATATTTAGAAAAACTTCCGTTGTAAGTGGTTTTATTGCTTTCATCAGCGTTTAAGTTTCTTTAAGGAGCATCGTAAATTCACAAAACACTTTCACGTGAATAAAATAAAAGTTTTCTTTTACTCAAATTGAATTTCCTTGAAATAAAGCAAAGTAAATTTTTTCTCATTTTGTTTTCGTGGGAAAGATTTGGATCATGGATGAGGCTGTAGAATCCATTTCATCGTCTCACCCTCAGTTTTTAAGAGAAAGATAATCTTTCAAAGTTATAAAAATATGAAAACTTCTAGGGAGAACGCACAAGTTTGAACATTTCATGGGAAGTGAAGTAAAAAAGAGAGTGGGAAACGAGAATGCAGCTGACAAGACAAGTAATTTCAATGTAGGATTGACGAAACATCTTGTGCAGGTGATTTTGGTTAAAATGTTTTGTGGCTTGAGTGTTGCTGCATTTATTGCTGGCTTCATCATTTGGCTGACATTTCATTTAATATTTTCATTTTGGTATGAACTCCTCGAGTCCCGCTTATCTTTAGCATAAACATTTTCATTTCTCATCACATAAAATATTAAAATTTTATGATTCATGTTGAGCAAAAATATACTTCAAAAAGAACAACGATAAATGCTTACAAACAGCTTCGCAGTGGGGGCTAAATTAAGATGTTGAATAATATTTTCTTACCATATCGTTCAAAGTTCATTGTTTTTATTTAAAAAACGGAATCAAAGTTGAAAATTACTCAGAAGTCAAATCTGACCTTGGGGTGGATAAAAGAAAAATTTAAATTTATGATTCTCACTTGATGTTTTTTAGGTCGAAAGTTTAAGCTGGAAAATGGACTTGTTTGTTGCAAAAACAAGAAAGAAAAAAAATGAAATCCCTGGTGATGAAGAAAATAAAAAATGTTTTCGTTTTTCTCCACGTAAATTCAACATCATCTTGTAAAGTTTCATAAATTTGAGGCTTAGGAAAAGTAAGGAAAAGAAAAAGAAAAATCAAAAGTAAAATATAAAGAAGGAAGAAGAAGAAGATATTACTATCCCAGAAGAATAAAAAAACGAGAAAGAAACACATTGTTTAACAGGTGATAAAGAACTAAGACATGGGACATAAAAACCTGAGCTCTAAACTTCATTTATTTATGTTGTTGTGAGAGCATATAAAGTCACAGCAAGTGAGTGAAGATATGTAGAGACGAAAAACAAAAAAAAATTGATAATGGACAACCTGGCGATAACTTTTCATCCATCATGATCTGTTCTTCATCTGTTTGTTATAAATGCTGGTAATAATAAAGCAGAAACTGCTCTGAAATGTTGTAAAGAACAGCTGTCTAGGTATGCTCGTTCAATTAAAAGAAAAAGAAATCTTTAAGATGTTTCAGGTACTTTAGGTTTCTTTTTCTTTTCTTTTTGTTGCGTAAAAAAACTTAAAACTTCTATTGCAATTCTCAAGAAAATTTGAAATGTTCGAAATGATGAAAAGTTCAAACAACTAAGTAGAGCGTTTTAGGTTCCCAACTTCTGTCTCTTTCTTTATCTTTTAATACTCAAACAATTTACTTTCTCGTCCCACAATATTGCAGCAGAGTTAAGACGTGGATGTCGACGGCGATGAAATCATTAAATTTGGATTTTCCATCGCTCAAGAAAGATTTGGAGAAATGAATCGAGTTGTCGTTTATGCAGAAATCTTTCGCTTTAAGAATTCAAATGACTTTTTTTCTTCATTAATTATTCATCACCACCGAAATTTTTTTAATAAAAATTCAGATTGAGCTCGTATTATCTTGCTTTCAGTCTCCTGTGGGTGCAAGGTCATAAATAGCAAAGATATAAAAGTTAGATATCTGAACATGACATACATGAACCGTAACCTTCCCTGAAACATTGCTGTCGTCCCCCAAAAACGTCCGTTTTGCTTCCGTTTAAAACCATGGCAGTTAAGTTATCAGATATTATTCAAATTTTTCGGATCCAAAAGCTTCCTGCTTGCTTTTGGATTGCCTTTTACGATTGTTGCCACAAAAGCAAGGTACCTTCAATGTAACGAAGCGTTGGTTTCTATATTTTTACTTTCCAATCATCTGATGAGATCAGAACAGAAATGTGATACTTTTTGCTAACAAGGGTTAAATGCTTTGATTTGGGAAATCTCAAGGAATGTTCTTCTCCCCCGGGAAAAAAGCAAGCTCAAATATACATAAAAGCTTCTTGAAGACTTTCCTGCCTGCATTTGTTCGGCCTAAAAAATCCACTCAACTGTTATCTCTTACATCGAAATTATTATTTTCTCTTTTACATCCTTAAACGTGAATTGTTGCTTGGATGAAAAGGAAAATTCCATTTTCTTTTTTTCTCCTTTAACCGTAAATCTAAAAGCATTTTCTTGTGCCTTGTCAGGAAATTATTATCGAAAAGAAAAGGAGCGTAATGAAAGTTCTCTTTTCGTTCTCCTTCATTTTGAAGAATGATTTTGATTAACAGATGGTTTTAGGTACTTCGATAAATAAGTTACCTAATTTAAAAAAAAAAAGGTTTGTAAGCTTCTTCGAATCTTTTGAGAATTTTGAAATTTCACAAACAGTCAAAGAAGAACTTAGAGATAAATGCATCGAAACATAAGAAGAAAACTTTACATGTCAGTGTCACGATGATTTATTGAACAAACACGACCTTTCCTTCGATTTTTATTCTTGTGCCTTTACTTGGGTTACTTCAACTTACTTCGTCTTCTTTATTGATTTTTCTACACTGGTTGCGTTACGACTTTCGAATCATTGTGAGAGAATTTTTACGAATCTCTTCTTACACAAGAATTTATTTGTTTTGTTTTCATTCTTCTTTATTTTTGGACTTTTTCAAGTTTTCTTTCTTTTCTCTCGTTGCGTTGTCTCAAATTCGATTCATGAAGGGAATTCTCTTAAGATATCAGATGGTTCTTTTGACGCTATTTTTTCTTCTTGTTCTATATCTTGGTGGATCATTGAAGCAGAAGTTTGCAAAGTATCTTGAACTTTGGTTACCATTTTCTTTGCTTTTTCTGATTCTCTTTTGCTTTGGGTTCATTGTTTAGATTTTTGGACGAAATAAAAGAGGTAAATGTAGCGAGTGTATTTAATATGTTTCCTTCTAATCTTTGCTTTTCTTCTAAAATTTAATTAAACATGAAAATTACCGTCCTTTACTACGAAATGGAATGTTTGCTAACAGGAGGAATGAAATATTTAATTGTATATATTCAAAGAGAGTTTTCATTGCATTCACTTCCATCTGTGAATGTTTCATCAGCTTAAAAGTAATTTCGATATGAAATTCCGCGTAAATACGAACAAGATTTTTGCACTTTGACATTATGCAAGGAATTTAAATTAAATAAACTAAGTTCACTCACGTATTTCTGGAGGTGGTTGTGATGCTATTACTTCTAATGAATAATTGTGATGATTTCTCAATAATGTTTTTCTTCGTATTGAAGATCTTCCACAATTTTTACTACTTGACGTTGATGCTAATGAAGATAACGAACTCATGATTCACTCTTTCCAAAACAAAACAATTCACAATGTCACATGGAAACGAAGAAAATTTCCTCAAGTTTACTTTAAAGATTTGGAAACGATTTATTACAACAAACACTCAAATTCAACACTTTTTTCTCCACTCTTCAAATGTCACCGACAATTCATCTGAAACGACAATACTTGGATTCGAAGGTGAAACTTGTTCTTCACTAGGAAACAAAAAATAAAAAAGAAGAATGAAAAAATGCTTGTTGATCAAGCTCGCTTTCAAGAACAAATTGCTTAAAGAATGTGTCGGCGTTGTGTCGAAGCAATCATTTCTTTTATTAGCAATAGCCTAGCAATAACAACAACGAAACGTGCGTTCATAAGTATTGTTGTATGGAGCTTCAATCAAAGCGATATGAGTTAAAAAACAAAGAAAAATCTAAGCACGAAACGACAAACTGGTTTTTTTGGAGATTTAAAGAGAATTTTGAAGAGAAATTTCGCGTTATTGTATCGCTGTGTTTGATTTTATTATTTATTAGATGAAATTTGAGAGAATCTTTTGTAGTTGAGTGTGATCAAATGATTAAATGAAAGGTTTATCAGAGTAGACTTCCATTCGCTTAACTTCTGCTCACAGAATTTAAAGTCATAAAGTATTTTTCGTCTTTTTGTCTTCGTGTGGTGACGCGAGAAGCTACTTCATAATTAAACTATTTATATTTCTCAAAGCTACATGTAATATTAACCGGATAAGTTTTCGGGGCGTAGGCGCTTAACAAATAACCTCGCTCGTCCAATTTATCAGTTTAAATTTACATAAATTACCATAAGTCTAAAGCTACAAGCTATCGTCGATTTTGCGGTACGTTTGTCCTTTATGTAATCAGAGATTCTGAGAATCTAATCTTTTGAATCAATCGTAACCAATTAATAAGAAATTTGAAACCTTTTTCCTCTTAACTTAACTCGACGAAATATTTTATAACGATCAAAAGAAATCTTCAAAAATTCAATTATCTCAAAGCATCCATCACGGACTCATAAAGAAAGATATCTACAAAGACAAAAAATATCTAAAAGAAAAAAAGAAAATGCCAATGACAATAAAGTTCCGAAAATTATGTCAGCAAATATAAAACACAAGAGTTAAATTTATGCAAACAGTCTTGGAAGAAGATGAAAAAGAAATTAATGAAATGTTTGTTTCCAACGATGAGACATGCCAGAAGGAAGTCTTAATGTTTGTTTTCTTTCTTTCAAATATTCGTAATGAATGAATCATCAAACGTTTTATGCATGTAAAAGACCTTCAAACTATTGTTGCAGAAATCTAATGACAATTTTTCAAAAACAATCTATGGCGCATCGCAATCGCAATGAATTTGAATAACAACGCCATGATTTATGGTTATGAACGACCTGGCAAGAATTTACCTTCTGTTAAGCTCATCCATATGTCAGTAGAAAAACAATACGGAAAGTTGAGCATTAATTGCACTTTACCTGAGATTTACTGACGTTTTTGTTGCCTGCTTTGCTGATTTATTTCAGATGTTTTGCAATGTTAGTGATTTTAAATGAGAAATTTTCTTTCATTTCTTCTGATCTCAGAAACTTTTGTTGTGCTGTGGGAACATATTTTGTTTTTTTAAAGTAAAAACTGCCTTGGTGCACTGCAGAAAGAAACACCAACAATAAAGAAATAAAAATGCAAAAATAAAGAAAGGGCAAGAAGAGTGACAAAAACATTTGTTGGAAGTTGGAAATCTATTTGTTCAGACAGTTTGGGAACAACTTTGTACATATTTCATTTTCATGGCGCTTTAAAGGATTTCTTTTGTTGTTTTACGAATTTAAATGTGTTTTTATGATCTACTAGATTAACATCTGGAAGTAAATTTCGTTTCTCTTTTCCTGTTCAAGCTTTAGAAGTCTTATAAATATTTTATCAACTTTTCATGGAAATTCTTCAATCATCGAGTTATTTTCCTTCTTTAACTTTCGCATTAAGAAGTAGGTAATTTCAAAACTTCTTTGTTTCCAACAAGTTTTATTCATGCTCTGAATCAACATCCTGTAGAGTTCAGCTTGATTTTTCCATAAATTTTTAATGATCTTACGCTTTTTTATAAGTAAAATTTATTTTTTCGCCTATGCATGCTGACCGTAATAAAATAAAGCTATTAATGAACTTATTGTGGACTAATGGTCAAGCTTACTACATAAATTTTCATTAAAAATTAATGAAACCACTTCCAATTATATAATGTTTCATTCTTAAGTTATTAGGAAGTCCAACAATCAAACTTCGCCTAAAGCTTTAAATTGTTAATTAATTAAAGATATTGCCGACCAATGTCGACCTCAATATCGAGGAAGAACAAGTGAACAATTCAGCTTGTGTTTTGTTTTTCGAAAATAAGAATGTGATACTTTTTGATTTAATTAGGACTAGGAAAATCCATTAGATGTCTTGAAAATAAATATTTACACGGTTTAGTCCTTACTGGAAAGAGTGAAACACAAACAACAAGGGAGCAAAGTTCTGTGATTCAACGAAATCTCTGCCAATTAATTATCACATTCCCCTTTTTTTTCTCCAAATACCACCATTTCTGTTGACTGTTATGTGTAGATATTTGAAATTAGCGACGAAGCATGTCAGAGTGTCTTTCATCAACAGTGGAAATGTGAAAAATGAAGATTAATTTTCTTCTTCGTGACTTTTCTCTGTGAAACTTTTCAAAGTCGTCAATGTGATTGTCATTTTTGCTTTTGATGAAGAACAAAATTTTTTTTATCTTTTTCTTCCTTCTTCCTTTTTATTTGTTTGTAAGCAGTACTTTAATGTGTAATTCAATGAATAAATATGAAGATTCATAAAGTCAGAACATTTTACGATTTTTATATCGAGACTCTAGAAATTTTTTATTTTATTGAGCTTATGACTGCTGTGAAAACTGGAGCTTGTTAATAATATTTTACGTCAAAGTGACATTCATCTTTGATTTCCCTCAACATTAAAGTAATCAATCTTCGTTTATAATCATAGAACTTTCTACATACTCACACACACACACGTGTAATTTATCTTATAAAATATCTGTGAGAAAATGTGATTGAAGTATTTCATCGAGTCAAAGGCAATTTAAGAGTGAAAAGATTATTTCATCACATCTGATCCTTAATAATTTATAAATGTCTAAATGCACCCATGAGACTGATTGAGTATGAGACTGAAATTGTAAATAAGAAATAAAACATTAAAAGACTAAATATCATGTCCAAATCTAATCACAATGAATTTGATCCAATTAATTAGTATAATGGATCTTCTTACTTGCTATAACACGAACGAATGAAAAGATTTCCATCGCTTCACTTAACAAGCCAACTCAACTCTTGCTATTGTTTTTGATTCCAATGAGATTTGCTATCATTTCATGCTGCTAACTTTTATCTTTTCCTTCTGTCCCATTTCCTAAGCTTTTTATTCTCTCCATTGAAAAGTAAACAAATCGAAGAGAAAAAGGCTGCGGGAAAAATGATTAATTGGAAAATAAATTACTTTGAATAAACATCAACTAATTTAACAAAAAAAAAGGATTTTTTTTTATTTATTTAAAATTTCATTTCGTACCATTGCGGAAATTTGCAATTTCCCTTGCCAATGAGTTGTGGAAAATCATTTGATTGTTATTTGAATCAAATGTGTAATGAAAGACTGCGGTTGAAAAGAATCACGGAAACCAAAAATCAAGAAGAGTTACAGTCAAATAATCGTAACATCCGTCTTGGGAAATTCTCTTCTCTTTTCCTCGTATTCAATTCTTTATGCTCATGCGATTGGATGGTTTGCTATGAATGAATGTTGTACTTACAAGAAGACAAACAAAGAATGAAATGAAAGTCATAGCTTGGCGACCATTTAGCTTCCTATTAAGGGAAGTCAAATAAAAATTTCTGTCAGCTTCTTCTAGGATGTTAACATAAATTTCTTTTTACTATTTTGTAGGCTGGCTTGGAGCCGGAAGTTGGGCAATGTCGTTGTTCTCAGCTTCAATTGTTATCGCATTGTGTCGTCGTAAATCGACGAGACTTGTAGCGGTCATAGGTGGATTGGTGCTGGCACTTGGTGTTCTTTTCGCATCGTTTGCCACTTTACTTCATCAAGTGGCTTTAAGTTATTGTAAGTATCGATTCAATACCTGACTTTAACAGAACATTTTGTTTCATTGGATATTGAAAGTCAAATCAATTTCCCATTCGAGTATCAGAGCATGAAAGGGAAATGAAAAAACTCCGTGAAAATATCAATGATTTTCTATTATTTTCTTTCAATTGTTTTTGGCTTTAGTAAATGATTTTCTTGAGCCTTAAAGATATTGATATCAAACTTTATCAAGCAACCGTTTGTTAGATATTTGGAAGCGTTAGAAAATCGTCGCTTTCACGTAATGTCTCTGTCGTACTCATTGAAAATAATGAGAAAACTTCAGGAAACATTTCAAATAATGAGAATTCTTTTATTTTTCCAGGTATTGTGGTTGGATTTGGGGCATCTTTAGTTCGGGATTCATCAGCTGTAATGATCGGCCATTACTTTAAACGTCGAAGACAATTTGTTGAAATGATTGTGATGGCTGGTGAAGGGGTTGGTATTGCTTTATTCTCAGTGATATTAAAAGAAGGCGTGGGGTAAGAAATTCAATAAAAATGTGTTGACTTACATTGAGGTTACAAAATTAAATTTTTCTTTTACTACCTACACATTATGTAATCGATATAAGAAAATTTTCCCTTCTTTTCGTTTAATTTTCTTCAAAACTTATTGAGACGGAAATAAAACCATTTACCCTCAACTTCATGTTTCATTCATCTCATAGGAAAATTGGTTGGCGTCTGGGACTTCAATGTGTAACTGTGTTGGTCTCATTGAGCTTCTTTATGGGTCTGCTTTATCGTCCCGCATCCCTTTATCACCCACAACGTCGAGCAATTCTTCACTTGAAGAATTCGAGAAAGAAGGTTTGTGTTATGTTTACACTTTATTAACTTCGTAAGCCAAGCCATAAGCTTGAACCAAGAACATCCCCTCAACTCCACAGTGACAGAAACAATTTTACATTTAATAAGAAATTTAATATCTTGTTATAAGAAGTAGAAAATAACATTGACTTTGGGGGTATATTCGATATCATTTGGGATTTAAATCGATTGTAAAGAAAATTGGGCTGTAAAACAATGGTTGGATGTCTCAAAAACCATAAACGATTCAAATAAAATAAAATTTGCTTTCAATGAGGGTTTCTTTTTCAGTTAATAGAAGAATAACAAAACATGATATTAAAGTAATTGATGAATAAGTATCAAAGTCATGAAGCCTTTCTTCGTTTTCTGTTTTGTAGGTGAAAGAGAAAAAATCTCACATTCAGACACCAAAACCACCATTTGTTGATTTCTCTCCATTGAGATCATCGACTGTTCGTATGTTGTGCATTCTCGCTGCCATTGGAGCCTTTGGGGTCTACACACCAGTGTTCTTTTTGGTATAATCCTCTTAAATTAATTCATCACAAGATGATCATCATTTGAAGATTTTTCTTTCAGTCTTTTTACGGTTTCCATGATGGTTACGACATGCAAGATTTAGTTCTTCTCCAAACATTCTTAGGTCTCTCACTCGCTGTTGGTATTGTCGCGAGTGGTTCATCAATCAATAAAACGTGCCAAATAGCAAGTAGCCGAAAGATTCGGATATCACGTCAATATGTGTGTCAAGGCTGTGTTGTTTTAGTTTCAATTTCAATTGTAATCTTTTCGACGCTATCAAATGGTTACCATACATTATGCATTGTAACGTGGATGTATGGACTGGGTTTGGGTGGTTATAGATGTAAGTATATTCATTAATTAAAATTAATTAAACATTCACTGTTTTCTTCTTTTCTTAGACTCATTAAAAATGCTCGCATTGGAGCGAGTTCGGGGAAAATTTTTCACTCGTGCATGGGGTGAGAGCTCATATTAAGTTTTTTTTTTTGATAATCATATAATTTTGTCACATTTCGCACATTTCAAGGTTTTATCAAAGGAGCTGAATCAATTCCGGTACTAATATCAATTCCGCTTACGGGATTTCTTAACGACGCTTCATTGACGACTGGAAAAGCTGGTTATTATATTTGTTCGGCATTAACAGCAATATCCGCTGTGCTGATGTTTTTTATCGGTTATCCGAAAAACACTGCAAAATACTCAGCTAATGGGTGAGTTTGAAAATCATTGGTGTGAAATCTTTCATGAACAATAGAAGTGAGTGGGAAGAAAAACTGCCAAAATCTCGTTTATTTAACAGAAACTCTGATTTCCAATTAACTTAAATTTTACAGATCAATAATCTCACGATTCAATGGAACATCGACTGACTGTGGCTCTTCTATTCGTTGTAACAATCAATGGCCGCAAGCTTATTATCCCTCAACTGAGTGCGCTCAAACCACACCACACCATCATCATCACTTCCCTCCACAATATAATCAACAGTTTAGCGCTGTGAATGGGAGCAACGCAATCCATTACAACTGTCGGGCAAGTGTTCCGCCACCACATGGACGCTTACAGAAGAGTTTATCGTTCGCTTTTCAAACACCCGCTATGATGAATGAGTGGTACCATCAGGGATGTCAAAATCAATTGAATTCAATAAATTACCCACACAGAAGTTACTCAAGGTAAATCAAACTTTTCCTTTCCTTCTTTAATCAATGATTTTATATTAAAATAATCTTTTTCAGATGCGATATGTTCACTCCACAACATATTAACGCTCAATCAACTCCAAATCACGTCAATGGAATGAACTCGAGAAGCCGAAGTGTGCCTGAAGGTCTTGCACATCCAAATGGTGACATCAACTGGAATTATAATCGAACAATTGGGCCCAACTTTTACCGAACACAACCGCGACAACCAATTCAAGTGCTTGAACAGATCACAACATCTGTTTGACCGAAAATGAATTTGCAAAACTTTCTTATTTGCATTTGCGTTTATGTTGTGGAAGGAATTGCAGCATTTGCTTCATAAATTGTCAACAGCATGATGTGATTTTGTTTGTCGTGCTACTAGAATAAGTGAAATTGTGTGTTCAGAAAACAATCGAAGCTTTTCTTTTATTTTCAAAAAAAGTTATTCGTCATGCTTTTCATTAGTAAAATGAGAAAAAGAAAGAAAAAAATTTCATCCCTTCGATTCGTAAACAAGCACATTTTATGCTCACAATTTATATTTAATACAATTGAATATCTTCTAAGATAGGAAATCTTTTAGGGTGTACAAATTCGTGGAAGATTTCGAAACCATAATAAATGAAAATTTGTGTCTAGGTAGTTTATGTGAAAATGTACAATTGATGTCGAAAAGTTTATTTTATTATTACGACCATTAATTCATGACAACTTGGAATGTGTCCCTCGCGAGGTAAATATTTAAATAAGATTTTATTTCTCTCGCTTTCCGTTTCTTGAAAAGAAAATAACTTAGCAAAAGGAACGAAAGTCTTTTTAAATGAATTGAAGTTATTTAATTCAGACACTTTCCATTGAAAGCTTTCGTCGAGTAATTTATAAGTATTTCTCAATGTTAAAGCTTTTTGGAGTTGTACACATATCACGTCCACTTCACCATGATAGAAGGATTTCAAGTAAAATGATACTTCATTATTCGGAAAAGCTTTTCAAGAGTAAGTTGTTGGAATATTTATTTCCTTTTCAGATACTCTGACTAAGAATTGAAATTAAAATATTTGAATTCTGTATAATTAAATCAAATTTACTTAAATATCGATGTACATTCATAAACATTTTAAATTAATAATATAAAATAAGAGACAATGAGAGTTAACGAGTCCACGACGAAATTGCGAATATTCTTAAAGTTTTCTTTGTTTTTCTGAAGTTAAATAAATTATAAGAAAAACTTCTATCGATTTTTCGTTACGACTGCTGTTTTAATATTGTAATTGAATTGCAAATGATTTTAAACAAGATAATAGATTTATAAGACTTAGACGAATATATATTTAAATAGTCATTTCTGAAATGATTTAATGTTAATTTGAATTTTAATTAAATCTATCTTGAATTGTTCATTAAAATTCAGATGCGACAAAAACGGTGAATAAAAATTTGAAAAATTAGTTTTGTATTTCTTTTTGCCTAACTTCAGGTGCTGCGCTAACTTTGGTTTCGCATGGATGACTAAAATCAACCATCAACTCAACCACCGTCGTCGTCGTCATTAGTAAAACACAAAGGAATCAAATTGTTTGCGAAATTAACCTAACTGAGAATTGATTTACTACACAACATTAGCTGATGAAAATCAATAATATTTAAGATACTGAAAAGAATCTATAAAATTATTATGAAACGAACTAACAAATGACCTAATAAATATTGACTTATTCTATTACCAGTGTTTCAGATACCACTAAAATGTCAGAAAAAGAGAGTCAACGATAGTTCGTTTATATCGACATTGTAGCCACTTCTAAATGCCTTTAAACTTTGAGATAAAAGAAAATATTTCAGCACTTGAAATTCAATGAACTTTATTAGCATATTTAACTTTAAATAATTTGACATAAAATAAATCTATATAAATTTTTTAATGGCAAAGATAATACCGCAAGCAATGACAACCATTTTGTTAACTGATGCGGCTAATGATGATCCATTGGTTCGAAAACAGCGTCCTTGACTATCACAAATTTCTTCTGTAAAGTGACAATTTGCGGCAGGTTGTCTACAGTCAATATCACGGATGCTGTCGAATTGACTTCTGCTAACGAAAGCTTGATTAGAGAATGGTTCCCTAGTAAGAAGTTGGTTTGGAAGTTCGTTTGGAAGTCGTTCTCTTTCTCTATTGTTGACTTGTCTAGCCGGAAAAGGTTCTCTACCTGCTGGAACTTGACTTGGAATTTGCGCTACTGCAATAGCAACTAAAGCAAACAATATTAACAAAGAAATTTGATTCATTCTCATTTTCAATTAGTAATTTATTTCCGTTTTATTTTCACTTCAAGTACGTTTGATTAATTCAACTTTCTGTAAGCTTCTTCAACTTTTATTTCTTCGTGGATGGCTGAACGATTAATGAAAAGTTTCTGGGGAAGTCTTGGTTTTATGTGGAATCGACAGGTGCTGAAGGTAGGTGAGATAGAAAGATTTCAGAGACTTCGGATAGCACTTTATGTGTGTGGATAATCCTTGATGTGCTTAAAAGCTCGAAAAATCCCGCGCAATTTCTGACATTCAATTTTTGACTAATGAAAGTTCAATAAAGCACAAAGGCTGATAATCTCAATATTTACTGTTGGGTAGGTCGCTTAATAGCGTTCTAAGTTGATTATTTACAAGTTTGAGTATCAGTTTTAATCAAAGGAAACAAATATGATTCAGTGATCTTGAATCATTCTTATAAATTGTTGCTAATCATTTTTATTTTTGTTTCTTTTTCCAAGGAAAAGCTTCAATCATGATGGTATGATGAGTTTTTATAAGCATTAGTAATAACTTCTTACATAAACTTTGTTATCAATACATAGCTGGAATAGTTGTGAAACATGCATACGCAATTAATGCTTCGAAGTGTGACTTTGCATTGTCTGTTTGTTCTCTTGTCATGACTCAGGTTCATTTTAACTAACCACAATCATTTGTAAGTATAAGTGTGTAAATAAGATTTTTTTTAATTTTCTTTTTACTTTTTCTTACAAACATCGCAAGTTCGTGTGACTTTCATCTCCATTTCATCAATCAACAATCTGCTTTTACTCTCACTAATGTTTTAATGTCTGTTAAATTTATAAAAAGGAAAGAACAAAAACAAAGAGGTCAAATTGATAATCAGCGGAAAAGTCAAACAAAACTGATTAATTTGTTTGTTTCCACTTGAATTTTAGCAGAACTTTATTTGTCTTTCATTACAATTACATTTCGTTCTTCTCTTATACATAAAAATGTTAAAATGTTATTAAAAATTATTATTGATCGTAGAAAATCTACCATTAATTATTAATTACATTGATTAGGAATTATTTTATAATTTTTGGGGTAAGGGCAAAAAGCTTAACAATTATAAAAAATATTTCATCATTTGGGTCGGCTGAGAATCGTGGTGATAATGATTTTGACTTTACATGGTTTTTCTCTACTTCATTCTTGTTTGGATGTATAAAGTTGTGTGGTAACGTGTTAAATTTTCAAGGTCATTGCTGGAATGATGAAACGGTTTTCACATAACAAATTAAGTTGTATTCTTGGAATGAATTTGTTGTTCTTCTCACTGAATGAATATTTAATGGAAGTAAACTTTTACACCGATGATAACAGCACAGAATGTGATTAAAATGTAACTGGCTGATATGGCTGATGATCCATTGTAAACTTTTCTGTCATAACAACCTCGATCATCGCAAACTCTTGTATACTTAAATGTGTTTCCTCTCGGGTCAGTGACTGACGATTCTTCGGCAAATCGACTGTCAATCTTACAGTTAGCACCAGGTTGTCTGCAAAGTTCGTTTATATTTGGTTGATTAGGGAATGGCTGGTTAGGAAGTTGTGGATACACATTTGGATATTGTTGCTGATTATTCCATTGTGCCGATGTCATTGCAATCAGACCAACCAATACGCACAACACTAAACAATTCATTTTTAATTATATTTTGTTTTATACTTTTTTTTTCTTTTATAAAAAACTTTTTTTCCCACGAGTTTTTTTTTTATGTTTTCACAATTTGAGTCTTAAATGCGAACTGATCGCGATTGACTTTTTCTACTGCGTTTAAACTTCACGGGTACGAGAGAGAGAGCGAGAGAGTGGAGAAGGAAAAAAAACTTAAATGCTTGCTGTATGTTTGAAAACAATGAACGTAATTTTATTTTCATTTTTGGGAGAGATTTTGTGTTATTTTTATTTTTGCTTTGAGAGGTTTACATTGTAAACCCAACACAAAAGTCAAAAGTCGGACAATTAATAAAAAATGAATTAATTAAATAAAATCGCCAAAATTTGTCCATGTATGATCAAAAAAAATTGGATTGCCTCGTTCATCTATCGGTAAGTTTCCTGGTGCAATTGATGATGCATTGAAGTCAAGTAATCGCTCAGTCAAAGTCTTGACAATATTTGGAAATTTATCAGCGAGATTGCTTGACTCGCACGGATCGTTCAGTATGTCAAACAAGCATGGCTTTGTTAATGGATTGCATGTATTTACATCTTTTTGTGAACAAGTAACAGTCGCTTCGTTGCGTAATTTTCTGGAATATTAAATTTAAAGTTTATGACTTTGTGGAAAAAAAATGAAAAGAAAAGAATGAGAAGCTTACAAGACTTTATGAGTTGTCGGAAGCATTTGAATGGATTTCAAGGCTCTAGCAGTTTTGCATGTGAGAAGGTCGTTTATAAAATAGGATGAGACATTGCGGTCTCCTTCAGGTCCGTACCAACCATCCCATTGGCCATTGTAATTAGTTCCAACAACAAGCTTCCATTTATCAATTGTAATTGCGGAACTTCCCCAAATATTGTCAATGTTATGAAGAATTTCAGAGCGTGGCGATTGAAGATTTTCCGAGAGTACATCCCACATGTTTATTCCGTCAATGTCTCTTAAAATACTTGCATCACCACCTGCAGCGTGATATAACGTCGGCAGCCAATCAGAAATGTGAATCATTTGTTCGGAAATTATTTCTCGACTGTTCAGATGCGGTGACCAAATAAAACCGGCACCACGTAACCCACCTTCCCATAAAGTATTTTTAACTCCACGTAATGGAAAATTTGAGGCTGCATTGAGATTAAAGCCAGCAGCAGGTCCACCGTTGTCAGTACTAAATACAATTATTGAGTTACTGAGAATTTTTGCTTGTGCTAAAGCTTCGACAATTTCTCCAACAGAGAAGTCAAGATGTTGAAGCATTGCAGCGAATTTTCTTCGATTATAATCTTCAATATTGTTGATGCCTGCAACAGTTGCATCAGGTGCTGGCAAGGGACTGTAAGGATTTGATGAATGAACTGCTGTATGTGCAACATACAAGAAAAGTGGCTGAGAAGTGTTTCTATTGTTGATGATGTTCACAGCTTCATCAGTAATCACATCAGTCGTGTATCTACCATGTAAATCATAAGCGACATCGAAACCACGACGCATATCTAAACCAGTCATTCCTTTTTCCATTGCATAGTGATCAAAATAATCATGATGTCCCGTCCACGGTCCAACATGTGAGTCAAAGCCACGCATTAGTGGTGTGTAAACCCGTTTATAGCTTCCTAAATGCCATTTACCGACAATATGATTTGAGTAACTAAAACAGACGTAAAATTATAAGCAGAAAACCGGGAACGAAATATTTGACATTAACAAACCCCAAAGCTCGCAAATATTCGGGTAAAAGTTTTTCATGCAATGGTAAACCTCTCGGTTCAGCACCATACAGCACAGCATGTTGCATCCCGGTGTGAATTGGATATTTTCCAGTCATCAGAGCTGACCTCGATGGTGTACAGATTGGTGTCACGTAATACCGATTAAGAATAATTCCAGAAAATGCCAAAGCATCGAGATTTGGTGTGAAAATTTGCGATGACCCGTGAAAGCTTACATCGTTGAATCCCAAATCATCTGCTAGTATGAAAATGATATTTGGCTGAAGTGCAGAAGCGTCTGAACATTTAACACTTATCAAGAATAGAATGAATAATACTGAAGAATAATTTAATTAAATTATCATTTCTTCTCTTGAATTCAACTTTACTCACACTTTTTAAACTTATTCGATGTCTCTAACTTCATTTTTCTCTTTTTCAGTTTGTCAACTCTTTAAACATTAATGAAAAGTAAATTCTCTCAACTGCACCAACTCAATATCTTCTTCAGTTTCTTGGTCAGTTACACTTCAATTTTATTTTCTTCAAATATTGAGCAAGCAACAAATTCAATCAGCATTCGATGAGAATTTTATTCCAACTGATCGCTGAATGATTAAAAGAAATAAAATTATTTTCGTTCTCGTATATTTTTTTAAATATCTTTTTTATCAGCTTTTTAAGCGATTACTTTCAGCGATTAAAATTCTGATAAGTGAATTTCATTGTCTGGAAAGCTGATATGAAAATTATTTAATATTTAATCAACTTTAATNAGCATTCGATGAGAATTTTATTCCAACTGATCGCTGAATGATTAAAAGAAATAAAATTATTTTCGTTCTCGTATATTTTTTTTAATATCTACATCAGCTTCCAAACAATGAACAGTTTGTCTTTATTTTCATTCCGTTTACTTTCAGCGATTAAAATTCTGATAAGTGAATTTCATTGTCTGGAAAGCCGATATGAAAATTATTTAATACTTAATCAACTTTAATACTTTCGCACGTTCAAGGCTTCTTACTCAATGTTTACAGACAAAATGTGACATCATGCGTCTTGCTTTCACAACAAAAAAAGAAATGGTCCCCTGCCGAGAACTCGTTTAATGTAAAGTCATCCAAGCTCTGAACAAAAATTCGATGCAGTGACTTTTAATCTTTAAATTCGTTTTCTTTTAAATGAGAGAACGATAAATAAAAGTGACACAGTTTACGCACTTTTCCTTCTCACTGCACATAAATATGCAAGTAAATATGTAATGATCAAGCAGAAACAACTTTTTTTTGAGTAAATTAAATATGCCGCGACTGATTATAACATTTGTCAGCCTACTGCCTAGGAAGGTAGACAACGATTTACATTAAACTTTAAAGTACCGTCTAAATAGCGACTAACAACGATAAAAAACTTTTTTATTTTGTTGAGTTGAGTTTTTGCCAAACACATTTTTTATTGGCACATAATTGAAGTGTCAAAAAATCTGTAAAGTATGTTAATTGACTTATACGACGACATATAATTTATTCAGTTTCTCGCGAACATTTGTTTTGATTTGATTTTTATATGTGAACCTTTTTTCCAATATTTTAACAAGATGATTTTGATTTTTTGAGAATCAAGTTGAAGCCGTTAGTTTAAATACCTGTTTGATGTGATTTTTGTTCTTAAAAATCGTGTTTTATTGGTTTTTTTTGTTGAGAAAACTTGAAATAGGTCAATAGGCTCAAGTAGAGTTTTAAACATTCGCTTTGAATTATGAGTTAAAGTCGTGCGAAAAATACCAACCGGTTGACTTCAATGATAAATTTTCTTATAAAGAAACAACTGTAAACAGATTTTGTATGTAAAATCAACAAACTTTTTATCCTACGTTGAAAAGGATGTTTTTATGCATTCAGACTTCGATTCTCACAAATTTTCTGAATAAATTTTTCTCATCCAAAATTGAATTTGTTTTGACATTCATAAGCTCAACACTTTCTTATTATGAATTGAAGTTTATGTAAGAAAATGATAAATAAATAATAAATCACCAACAAACATATCTAAATAAAAAATTAACACAAGTAAGCGAATATTCTGCAATCAAAGTTGTTTTAAATTTTTTTTATTTTCTGCAGCTTTCATTACATTTTGAAACAAATTAATTGAATATTGAAGTAGAACTTTGAAAGTTCTGAGAGTACTGAAAACTTTCCATTTTAATAGTTGCCATTTAATTAATTTAACTTTCGAAAACAGACAACAAAAAAGAATTAAATCACAGTTTGTTTAAAATAAACAAATGGTCGAGTTGAAATTTGTAAATATTAAAAAGACAAGAACATATTCAGTAAGGAAACTTTTTCAATATTTTAGAAAATGATTTGAGTATTTGAAAGACATTCTTTAGCTTATTCTATTTAGTGAATTAAACTCAAAAGCGTCAAAATCCGGAAGCATTGTCAATCAAAGGAAGTTGTTTTAAGAAAATGTTTACAAGATTTCCAAGTCACAATGACGAATTTGTGGGAATTTTTTCTGTTAAAAGGAATATTTATTTTACTTGAATTATTTAATAAAAATTAAGAAGCAATTCTCACCCTCAATTTCATCTCGATTCTGTCAATTTCTCCTCCCATCAAATCCACAATATTCTCGCCATGCTTCAATAAAAATGCTTCAAGTTCATCGATAGTTTGGAAAGTTTTCACTTCCTAGATTAGAAAAGAAAAACTTTTATAGTTTAGAAAATGCGATATTGGAAAATTGAAAGTTTTTATTACCTCAAGTAAAGCGTTCAAGTCTTGTTTGTCAAGATAAACTCTTGAAAGTTCCCTCCCATCGAAATCCATTTCAGCTTTATAACGAACCAAAGAGTTTCCCATGTCAATTCCTTTGACATCATGAATGGCTCTAATCATTATATCGCTTTCAAGTTCAGCGTTAATCTTCTCTAATTGTTCTTCTTGAATTGATCGTCCCATTAAAGCAGCAACATTCGTGTAGATGATGAATGAGGCAACAGCGCCAAGCATGCATCCGACTAGAAGCGATCCAACAGCATCTGGAATCGGTGATCCAGTTACTGTTGACAAAGCCATACAAGATGCAGCAAGACCGACTGATAAAACAGCTGCAGCATCTTCAGTAAGTACAACATTTACACAAGGATCTTGTCCACGAGCAACATACTGTTTGAACGACATTCCCATAGATTTCGCTCCTTGTTTAACGCTATTAATAGCAACAACTAGAGTCGCTCCTTCAGACACTAATGATCCACCGAGAATAAAGAAGGCCCAATAAAAATCTTCAATTGGTTGTGGATGCATTAATCCAACAATTCCATGATAAAATGACAACCCCGTTCCAACGCAGAAGATTCCAACACCAGAAATTAGTGATGAAACATAACGCATATTGGAATAGCCGTAAGGATGATTCGGATCAGCAATTTGAGTTGATTTGTGGATTCCATAAGCGAGAATCAATTGATTAATTGTATCAGCTAATGAATGAATACATTCAGCAAACATACTATGCGATCCTGTGTAAATCCATGCGAAACATTTGAAGCAAAAATTTGTTGCATTAATAGCGACGGCAGTTAAGACAACTCGTCCTGAATTTCCCATAAGTCCACCAGCTTCGTGTTCAGGCACATTTGTACGTGATCCCATTTCTCGACGATAATCGCGTAGTCTTCGTTTCATTGTAAAAGCATTTTGTTGCAGTTGCTTCTTTTCAAGTTCTCGTTTTAAACATTCTTTGAGAAGATTTTCTCGCGTTCCCCAAACAGTTATGGCTTTTGCTTCGACATCTTTTCGCCAAAAAACTGTGATCGGAGGTTCTTCTTCATATGGAGAACGTCGTTTTGTCTTCGGTAGTCCTTCTAAATCTGCTGGTTTCAGAAGAAAATCTGACATCGCACGATTTGGTGTGATGAAATTCCGTTCCAGTGATGATTGCGTAAAATTAACGCGAACTCTTTTCTTTGCTAGTTCTTTATTTTTCTCAGCCAAAATCTCTTTCTCTGTAAGTTGTTTCTTTGGCTCTTCTGCTTTTGATGTGTCAGCTTTTTCTGCTGGATTTTTTTCAATCACAACATTGTCAACTTTATTGGAATCAGAAACGGTGGTACGAACAATTAAACTTCCATTCTTTGTCTTTATTTCGAATGTCTTTTCACGTAAAAGGCGGGGATCTTTTAAATCTGTTATTGATGTTGAGACTCTTTGAAACGATTGAATAATGCAATTTCTAACTTTATCGCTATTCATTAATTTAGTTTTATCAATAAAAATTGAGAATTTCCGAAGTTTTTGATGTTTCTGATGAAACTGAAAATAAAAATCCATTCATTATTTAGCTTTTCATCAATTTTAATATATTTTCTTACATTTTCTGAGCCATTTTGTAGTAAAGATGTGACAAGCCGAATGGAGCCCCGACATTTGATTAACTGCATCATTTCTTCTTCTTGTATTTTTATTTCGTTGTTAAATTTAATTTTTCAAAGCAAAAACAGTTTTGGAAATGTTTAGTTGGTAAAATTTATGAAAGCATCACAATAATATACGAGAATTGCTAATATTATTGATTAAATTGCAATGTCCACAGATTTAAGGTCTTTGTGTTACTTTATGCAATGTTATTTGCATTTAAACAGGTAAATTTAAACTGTTTACGTTTTTGCTTTCGATGAAAAGATTTTCGAGGGTTAAAATAATGATTTGGAGTTAAATATAATACAAAACCTCTCGTAATTTCTTTACTTTTTCCTATTTACTTTCGGATGAACTTGAAATTCTGGTTTTCTAAAAACGTAAACAAAAGTCGTGCAGCAAAATCGTTATCAACTTTAAAATTCGTGCGCAACTTTTATTGCCGAGACTTCAGATTTGGCGGGAAAATTTTTCAGTTTCTTATTGACTTTTCATAGACGTATAAAGAAGACTAAAAAATATATAAAATTAATTTTATTAGTGACTGAAAGCTTTAATTTTCAATGTTGCAACAATGAATTTAAACAATGACGAACCAAATTCTGATGACGAGATTTCAAATATTGAGAAAATGCTTCTTACAGCCGAGAATGTTGACGATGAAGATCAAGTGCAAGTAAAATCTGTTCCAGAAAAGTCAAAAAGAGGAAAATCGATTCTGTTTAAGACTGATGGAGCTGATTCATCAGATGATGAAGAGCAACGAGACTTTCAAAGTCAAAAATATAATGAATTTGGTCGTGACATAAATAAAAAATTAAAGGAAAAAGAAGAATTAAGGAAATATGATTCGATAAGAATTGTTCCTGATTTCGCCAGCTTAAATTCAAAACCATCAACGTCAAATGCGGTTCCACAGACATCTCAATTACCTGTTAACAATGACAATAAGAATAAACTTGAGATTATTAAAAGATTTTCAGCTGAACCTTCCACGTTTTGCGATCCTGTGTTTGGTTTAAGGATAGTACAACCGCTGGTATCGAGTGTTTTACTAAAAGAAAGGATGGAAGGGAAGATAGCAGTCACAGTACAAAGAGCTCGTTTTCATACTGAACGAGGTGACTTGTCAAACGACTGGGCCATTGCTGGCGTTTTAATTAATAAATCTCCAGTTCGGCAAACACAAAAAGGCGATTCATTTTCAATTTGGTCGATTTCGGATCTTCGTGGTGAAGTCAAAACAGTTTCTGTCTTCTTATTTCGGTCGGCACATAAAGAGCTTTGGAAGACAACGATTGGAACAGTCATCGGCATTCTTAATCCAAAAGTCATGGAGAGAAAGGATGAAAAAATTGAAGCCGCGTTGTCAGTCGACAATCATCAGAAAATTATGATTCTGGGACATTCGAAGGATTTCGGACATTGCCGAGCTAAGAAGAATAATGGCGAACCGTGTGGTGCAATAATCAACAAAACTGACTGCGATGTTTGCATCTTTCACATGAAGCGGGAGTACAGCAAAATAAGAAGATCTGAGTTTCAATCCAGTGGTCTCGGAAGAGGTTTACAGGATTTAAGAAACAAAGTGTTAGGAAAAAGTGAAGTTTTTTACGCAGGTCAATCATTTACTGCTCAAAAAGCTGCTAAAAAACCTGCAAAAATGATCAAGCAAGATCGAGAACGTCTCATGACTTTGTCAGAATATTTCACTTCTCCATATCGAGAAGGAGAATCTTCAGCATTAAGAACACCATCGACATCAAATCAAATTCAACAGCAAACTAAACGACCTGGTTCAGCAGCTTCTCTTGAATTGAAAGTCTCACAAAGAAAGAAAGATTTGGAACGTCTTAAGCTACTTCAAGGAACTGACAAACCACAATTGACGCATGTCGCCAAACTTCAGCAATCAACTTCGATTCCTGATCCACCGAAGAAAGATGACAGCTTTGTTCCAAAACTTTCCAATGATAGTTTAACGTTCAGTTTCAGTGTGCCAGTAAAGAAAAATGATTTAGCAAAGCAAAAAGCTGCTGCAATTTTAAAAAAGAAACCGCTTGAACCAAGCAATCCAAATCTCATTAAATATCGTGGAACAGACGCTGGTAAGAAGAGATTAGCTGATGAATTGATCCCTTCATTGAAGTCAAATGAAAACGGTGCGAAGAAAGCGAAGCTCGTTGACAGTGAAGAGACGCAAAGACGAAAAGAGTATTTATTGAAAATGATGAATGCAAAATCAAATCATGCGGAACTTGTAGAAGACAAAGAAACAGAGCGACGAGATAAATTCTTCGATACAATGGAAAAGAAGGAAGCAATGGAAGAACGAATGGCCAATACAACGGAGATGAAGGTTTGTTCATTAAAATTAATTAAAATTTATTATAATCAGAAGTCTTTCATTAAATTTTTCTGCTTTTCAATTCAGTGTAAAGCGGTGATTTGCAAACGTTGCAAATACATTTACTTCTCAGCAAGTGACATGTGCAAGCAAGAGAAACACGAATTGAAAGTTGTTGATGCAATGAAAAGATTTTATCAATGTGGAGACTGCAAAAATCGAACAGTTACGCTTTTCAAAATACCTCGGGATCCATGCAAAAATTGTCGATCATGCAATTGGAAGCGAACTGGAATGATGAAAGAACGTGTCGCGTATGTCGGTGAAGAGTTGAGTATTCGAGGAGACGAAGAAATGTTTATCGGAAGTTCCAACAAAGCCAATATTAATTTACTTGTTCCAGAATCTTCTCAATAAATTAAATAAAACATTTTACTTAATTGAACCAACAATTTAATTTTTATTATTTATGTTAAAAGACCAGAGAACATTAAGAAGAAGAAGAAATTAATAATGAGATGTAAAACTGTCTATGACATCTTATTAAGAATTGCGAGTTGAACAGAATTAATTTGATTCGACCATTTCTCGATTGCAATATCACGAGCTCCATGACGACTGTCTTCTTTTTCCAATTCCAGAACTTGATTCACTTGATCAATTCTCCCTTGTATTGTACTGAAGAGAAAAGAAATTTAATTAATTAGAGAAAGATAAAAGACAAATAATTTTCTTCTTACTTATCCAAGATGCAAGAAACAAGCAAACTTTCAACTTCAGCTGGCTCAATATTAAGTTCATTGCTGATAAAAGGAATTGCAATTTTTGTGTAAGGTCGAATGAGTTTTATCAGAACTTGAGTTCGAATATTCCGCAATAAATCTTCAATATGTTCACGGATGAAAGGATCGGCCATGATATTGTTTCGATTATTCCTTAAAATTGCTTCAAACTCCATGATGTCATCGTTCTGATAGCTAACAACGAGATTTGTCATTGCGAGAATCTCAGGGTCGTTTTTGTATGGTTTTGCTTCTTGTGAATCGAATGGATTAATGCCAGATTTCATCAACATGTTGGCCAGAACGAGATATTTCAAGCAGGTTGTGCGTCGAACTGAACCCGACTCATCGTAGTTCTTGAACGCTTCGAAGAAATCTGTGTGTGCTTTTTCGAATTCTCCTTCTCGTAAGTGCATTTTACCACCACACTCACGGATAACTCCCATGATTAATGGATGTGGAATAGCAGACTTGATGTGTAATGACTGCTCGTAAAGTGCTTTCAACTTCTTGTTGTTCTTCTGTACTGTGTACATTTGAATTTCCAAAGCATAAATTTCAAGAAGTTGAGTTCCTTTCTTCAAATCATCTTCACCTTCATCAGTCTGACACGACTGATGTAGTTGTTTGAGAATCTTCTGCAATTTAACGAAATCATTTCGATCAAAGTAAAGTTTTCCAAGTTTTGTGTTTGTTTTAAACCACAATCGATCATTCTTTGCATCACGTAATGCATCAAGAGTTGTCTCATAGAAATCTTGAAGCAGTTCCATCTAAAAATGATTTTTAAATTTTATAAGAAGAAACTGACTAAATTAAAATTACTTCTCACATTTTTTGATGTTGAAATGTAATCCAAAATTGAGTTGATTGATTTTTCTGAATGATTACGAGTGACGGCGCTTTTAATATATGTTAAAAGTTGCTTGTAGCGAACCATCATTTCTTTGTAGTTATTCTAAATTAAAGGTAAAGTAAAGGTAAGGACAAGCAAGTGCAAAGCTAAGAAAATGAGTTTTCTTACCAATTTAAAGTTTATTTTGATCATTTGCTTCAGAGCCTTAAAGCCCCATTCTCCCTTTTCGTTGTTCTCCAGATCAAGAACTTTTTGAAAGGACATTAGAGCTTCTTTTGGCGAATCTTCCTTTAATGCCTTGCTGTTATAGTATTGATTTTCCAGATCTACATCAGGCTCCGAGTTGCTGTCTTCCGAATATTCCTAAATTATAAATAAAATGCGCAAAAAAAAGAAAAAATGCCGATTGTTTTTGAACAATGTTATCACAAGTTTCAGTTAGTTTAAATCACCAATCCATAATCCTCCTCATCTTCGCACATGAAATCATCATCAACATCAGACATTTTCACGTAGTTAACGTTGAAAATCAATAAAAAATAAATTAGAATTTTTTTTGCAACTATTGTGGGTACGAAGTTTTATATATGAACAAGGAGTAGGAAGAATATTGAAAAGAAATGAAAAGGGGTAGAATTCTTGGACAAGTTGAAAATTGATAAACAAAAATTTACTATCGCTAAAAGTCGGCTGAAATTTCTTTTCACCTCTTCTTCTAAATATAAATTTTATAAAAATGAGTGACGAAGTGAAAAAATTCTTCACGGGCATTCTACAAAAGTAATTTAAATAAACTTACAACGAAAACACGGATAATTTATTTAAATGCTTTCTTTGTTTACATTTTCAGAGTGAATGGATTGAAGGTGATAATAATCAGCGATCGTGATGGTGTCCCTTTAATGCGATTATCAAAAGATAACAAATTTCCAGAGCTGGGAACGAAACAATCTTTTCTAGCCACATTCACAATCTCCAACGAGCAGTCGAGTAAAATGCTATTGGGAAGAAACAAGTCCATAATTTCTATGTACAAGTCAACTGTGGTAATTCATAAATATAAATCATTTCATTTGTAACATTATTATTAAAGTCTATTTCCTAATCATAGGTAATTCAAATGAATAAATATCCATTAACTATAACATTTGTTGGTTCTGAGAATTGCAATACGGGACACATCATGTCATTTGAGGATGAGTTAGATAAATATCTAGAAGATTTTAAGCTCGCAGTTGAAAATTAATACAAGATATAAATAAAAAAAGAAACCATTTATTTAATTTCTTAATTCTTATTACCTCTCAAAAATTTGTCAAAGGTTTTCACCCCCAACTGGGAAAATTTTAAATCAAAGTGCCGAAGTTGAAAGCAAACTTTAGTAACCTTTCACATATTGTTTTTTTTTATCGATGGTGTTGTACAATTTCTAGCAAATATGATGAGTAACAAATAAGAAGTGACTTTAAATAAGCTGAAATGGTTAGTAATGTTGTGTATAGTGCTTAAATCATCAAGTTATCTTCTAAAAAGTCGAATATTCAACAAAAATCTGTAATATCTGGCCGGTTCGCACCCATAGGGGAAAACCATTTTTTGTGTTGCATGTTTCGTCTTAAAATATTGAAGAAACAACCTTGTAATTAAACAACACACGATAAAATTTTTTCTAATATTATGTTAAGTTCACTATTTTAAGCATTGATAACGTTTTCTTGAGAACTACAAAGCGTTTAAAATTCGGGGACAAGAAAGAAACACAAATTTACATTTCAAATGATTTTTAATTAGGTTTCTTATTACACATTTTTTTATGTTTGGCTGTTGGGTAAATAATGATAGTCTTAAAGTGCATACAAAACGTGTTTTTATTATTTCTTTGCCATACTTGTAACAATTACAGTTTATTCAATCGAATGTGTCTGTTGCTTTAGGCTAAATAATTAAAATAAATTAATATTTTCATGAAGGAATATGAATCATAACATCTTAATTAAGCATTTCAATGAATTTTAATTATTACTTGTTTCACTAAACTTCCATAGTTGCATTTATGCATCATCAAGTTCCAAATCACTAAATTATTTTATTACTCACACAAAATGATTTACAATTTATTGTTCTATTGTTTGTCGTAAAGCTTATTGAGGTATGTCATTTGTTGATTGCAAAAAATGTTTGATTTTTGATAAAGTGTCGATTTTTTATGATGAGCTCACGTAGACTTAGTTTAAACAATTATTGATAAAAATGGGTCAAATTTACACCCGTTTATCGATTTTTTCATTTCTTCATCTTCCGAATTGCTGACTACATGCAGTCAAGCTTTCAGACGAGGTCATATAAAATTTTAATGAGTTCACGACGAGTAGTTTTTTGCTGAAATTCTTAAAAAATGGTAAAAATTTGTTTCGTTTGTCTTTTGTGGGAAATAGCTCAACATAAATCTTTATCTTTAATTAAAAAAAAAGCTTCAATAAGATAAGATTATTCGCTTTGTTGCTGGCGGCTGGTCATGCTTCATGAAGCCTCATCTAAACTAATTAGCACTTTGAATTCCAATTAAAAAACGTTTTAATATAAATCTTACTAATGAAATAGCCAATTAATTTTTTTCTTTCGATCAGCAACAAGCTCATGAATTGATTTCTTCTTGTTTCTCTTTTAGGAATATTCAACAATGAAGAAGATTTGATAAAAGAAAAACTAACAAAAGCAACACCCAACTGGACATTTATTAGCTCTCCTCCCTTTTCACTTCTACATGATTCCTGTGCCAAAATTTATGCTTTAGATTTACAAGAAGAAAAGAAGAAAGATATAAGTGAGTTTAAAAGAATAAAAGAAAGAAGTCATTGAGAGAGTTTTGAGAAAACAAGTAAACAACAGCTAGTCAAAAAGAAATTCTTAATTTGGAAGCGAGCGATAGACTTTCATCGATTGAAACGAAAGCATTCAGAAAGCGAATGAAAAAATGATAACGAACTGAAAAAAAAAGTGCGGAACAATTTTTTTATAACAAAAAGAAAATTTTAAAAGACGGAAGAGAAATATTAATTAATTAATTATAAGGTAAAGAAACTAATTTTCATAAAGAAAAAGAAATCACCAACGATGGGCAACAAACATTCGTGTTGTTCGTTCTCCAGTCCTAGTCCACCGGCTCGTAAAGCAAAAGCAAAAGATCCGCCTGTGTTCGAAGAACATTTACCAGAAGGTGAATTGTCAACGAATAATCTTCAGCACATTTCAGAACGTGAAGGTGATGATGGTGCTGATGCTGATCCATCGGTTGATCCATCAGCTGCTACACTCTTCCTTGAACGTTCGAAACAAAGTCAGGAGAATGGAATGACTAGAAAGAAATCTTCCCATCAGATTGCGCCACAAGGTGGACTCAAAAAGAGCTCAAGTTGTAGCACAATTTATCTTGATGACAGTACAGTGTCGCAGCCAAACCTTAAGAATACAGTCAAATGTGTATCGCTAGCCATTTATTATCACATTAAGAACAGACAGTCAGAACGACGCATTGACATTTTCGATGAGAGAATTCATCCATTGACACGCGATGGTGTTCCAGAAGATTACGACCGACATAATCCAGAACATCGTCAGATTTATAAATTTGTGCGGACACTTTTCAATGCCGCTCAACTCACAGCAGAATGTGCAATCATCACACTTGTCTATCTTGAGAGACTGTTGACATATGCAGAGTTGGACATTGCTCCATGCAATTGGAAAAGAATTGTTCTTGGTGCAATTTTATTAGCAAGTAAAGTGTGGGATGATCAAGCTGTATGGAATGTTGATTATTGTCAGATCTTAAAAGACATCACTGTCGAGGATATGAACGAGTTAGAGCGTCAATTTCTCGAGATGCTTCAATTTAACATAAATGTGCCGTCTTCTGTGTATGCAAAGTACTATTTTGATCTGAGATCGCTGGCTGAGCAAAATGATTTGTCATTTCCAACGGAACCGCTTTCAAAAGAGCGCGCTCAAAAGCTTGAAGCGATGTCGCGGGTAATGCAGGATAAATTCACAGCTGAAGCTTTGAAAAATGGTATGAAGAAATGGTCGTCATTGGATAATATAAAAGACTCGGCACCACGAAGAAGTGTTGCGATTTTATCATGATTATTTAGCTTTTCATTGAATTTCAAACTTATTTTATGTCATGTGAATGTAAAGTCGCGAAAATCTTAAAATTGAAATTAATTAAGACGACTTTTCTTTTAAAAATCCTTTAACTTCTGTAATTCATAAGAAGAAATATTTTCCATGAATTTAATTTACCTTTCAGATTAAAGCATTTGTTTTTTTTTATTGGAGAAGGAAGAAATGAGATGGAAAACATTAATTTGTGAATAAACTGATCCAATTTTAAATAAACTTTTTTTTATTAATCTACTTCATTTCAGGCATTAATTTTTGACAAATAATTTCAATAATTTCAAAAGACAAAATGAAAAGCTTTTGCATTATCATCGTCGTCATCATTATTTTAATGTAATAAACAAATAAAATTGGTTGAACATTTGATTCAAAGTTGACACTAGATAATGAATGAATCGATCGTCGTTGCCAGAATGATTGATGGATTGAAAAAGCCTCGTAAGCATCTAAGAAAAAGTTTCCCATCAATAAAAGAGTTTCATGGTGAAAATCTTTTGATCTCAATGTTGGCAGAGTTTGTTAAATTGCATTTGATGTCTGGTTATGATAAATTTTGACACTAGAGAATAATTTGAGTGATTTCAATCTGTCTGTTTAAACATTGAATATTTGAATTGTTTTCTCAATTTCAGATATCAATGAAACTCAATTTAACTTCAAATGGTAAAAACTCAAGTTTTGCTTTAATGCTGAAACACATGGAAGAAGTTAAATCATTTTCCCATTCAAGATGATGTCGAATGTAGTTTATTTGTCTTAAATAAATAAAATTGTTTTACTTATTTATAGAAGAATAGAAAAGTTTACGTGACAAACATAAAGGGAATGCAATTTAATCAAAAATAAAGCTCCCTTGCGTGAAATGAAAGGACAAAGTGGATTGACTTTCAATATGTCTTAAAGCGAACGGCAGGGATGAAAATGAAACGAGTTAAAACTCATCACCTTTTTACGAATTAAACACAAAAGAAAACCTACATAATTGATACATGTAAGTTTCAATTTAGAAAACTGATAAGTTGTCACGTAATAAGAAGCAAAGGAATGAAAAAATCTTGAGATGTGGTCATTAAATGTCTTGATGTTGGAAACTTCCTAATTATCTCAAAAATTGTTGTCTTGTGCTGCAATTTCTCATACAATCGCTTCAGTGGGTGTGGTGGTGCAATAGGAGAGATTTTTCCATGCTTCCATTTCAATTTTATTGAAGAGTCATGTCGTCTAAAGTCGATTGTCTTGTTAATTTAATTTCATCAGCAAACTTGAAGATATCTGCACATAATAACAGACAAACGACATCGAATGAAGCATAAATAACAAAATGAAATGAAACAGCTGACAATCTTAAAAATTATTTAAAAAAAAGTTTCCAGCTTTCATCAAGTTATTGATTTATTTGATAAAATGAAATTCCTAAAGGCGATACTGAAAGCCAAATTAGGTCATAATAAAAGTCATTTTCAATTTCATTTAAAATATCGATTTCAATTATTCAATGTTTAAAGCGACCGCAACTCAGATTTCAATTTGATATCTGGTAACGAATAAATCGTGGAATAAAATATAAAATTGAAACAACATTTACTTCTTTTATTTCTTTTGTTTTTTTATTTTAAGATTTATTGATTCTTTTTCATTCTTGGAAAATAGTCTATAATATTTACAGACAAAATAGAGATTTTTCACTCCGTCATTTTGTAAGAGTGTTAGCTAACAATTTATTTATTCAATTTTATTAGATCATGTTCCATTCGCTGTGAGTTTGTTTGTTGTTTCTATAGCTGATAAGCTTTAGAGATATTAGCAGATAGTAGAAAGAAGATGGAAAAGAGAGAAAAGTATTAAGATCAAATGCACTTTTGTCTACTCATACCAATGAAGCCAATAATATTGACTTTTGCATACTGCATAAGATATATTTATACATAGTTGAGAACATCTTCCCAAGCATTAAGTATTATGTTTAAAGTTACTACATATTTCAAGAAAATATCAGTTCATTTATTTCATCTTTTCGCTTGAGCCAGAGAATGTCTTTCTCATCAATCTTCATTATATTATTTTACATTGTTTCATAGTTTTTATTTTAATTTTTCTTCTAATTATGATGCTCACGATGTTAAAAATTTTCTTTATTTTTCATTTTACATGAGGGAAACCCCAAGAAATTTGAAAATGTTTGAAAACTATTAAGACAACTTTCTTCCTTCGAAAGATGTTATTAATCATGATTTACCCCGAGCGGCACAAACGAACCATGTGGCACCGTGGGGGTGACCTATCGGCAATTGTCAATTTATTTTAGCCTTATGGCAGACATATGCCAGATTTGTGAGAGACATTGCCGTGTGTGCCGCTCGGGTACTTAGATAGATTCATAAATTTAGTTTTCTTTAAAATTTCTCTTAAGTATCCTTGTGCAGTAAATCTTTAGTTAGCGAGAAAAAATATAAAAGAAAAAATTCTTTTTGATTCTTTCTCAATTTATATGTTCATAGTATCTCAAAAGTTGAGTTGATATAAGTGTTCAATCTAATGTGGATACCAAACCTTCATGCAGATTTGTCAATATATGTCAGTGTGATAAAAATAATTTGCATCCATAAATGTTTTATTCATAAAAGTTTTCTTTGTAAGTTCTTCGGATTATGCTAAATATAGAAATTGTTTCTCGTCTACATTAAACATGTTAGAAAGATTTATTATTATTTGTGTCATTCTAAACTCTTTTACGGCATCATCGAAACTACATAAAGTCTATGCTGTTGTCAGTTTTCTAAAAATAAGTTTTCAATTTTCTTCTAAATTTATCTGATTCCAGCTCAGATTTTATGCTTCAAACTTTGCAATGTACATTTTAATTTAACTAAACTTTACTTGTTTGTAAATGCATTTGACCTCTGTTACTGTCTACATTATTCCATTACGCCACTTCTTTTACTTAACAGCATTAAGATACGATGAAGATTTTGTGTAAATATTATTTAATTTTCAATTTTAAAATATAATTTAATTAATTTAAGTTTAATTTTTCTAGACGTCATGAGATTTCAGAATTCGAGATACGTTCAAATGTCACACAAAAAATATAGAGCGTCATCATCACTCAAATCTGATTTCGAGAGTAAGATCATGAAGTTGGATTGAAACAACTGTTACTTATTTACATAGATGGATTAAATTTAAATATTTTACAAAATTTCACCTTCACTTTTGTGAATTTTAATTCCATCAGAATGGAGAAGTTTCTACAGCTAAATTAATTTACTTCTTCCAATTAAAATGTTTCCCTCGTTCACGTCACATGAATCATGGTCTTCTGAAACTCTCTTACTCAGTGTTTTCTTAATCTCATTACATATTCAGTGATTATAATTTTTGCTTCATCTTAAACATCTTGATTGTTGCGTTACTCATTTAAGTATTTATTTATTCATGATATTATTAAGTGATATCATGCCTTCATTATTCTTTTCCTTAAGTAATAAGATTAATTAATTAGTTTAAATATATTTTTCAGTTGATTAAACTTTCATCATTGTTACTATCTTAATAAAGCTATGATCCCAATTTCAGCTGAATAGTTACCAAAAAAGTTTTAAGCCTTCTCGCATTGCTCAAGATAATTTTAATCATCAAAAACATTTTTTTCATGGTCAAGTTTTTCTTTAATTTTTTTATAATTTCGCCTTGTTTTGTTTTTTCAATATGTTTTCAATTATATGCACTTATTTAGTTTCAATGTCTTGATATAAAATTTATCTCAAATTTTCCTAATTTTCTATTTCAAATGTAGATATTAAATTTAAACTTTTTTTATCTTGTTTTCAATAAGATGAACGAAAACCGAAATATTTTCGAATAATTTTAAAGGAAAATTAATTGATGATGGAGATTATTGAAATATCTGAGAATTGAGAATGCATTTTCGTTCATTAATGGAAAAATTTCTTAACTCTAGAGTGCTTCATTTATCTTCAGAATTTATCCACTAATGACCATAAGAGTTGTTGATAGAAAAAACGCTTGATTTATCAAACGTGAGCAATGTCTTTAAAGCTTAAATCAGCTGGTCCCAAATCAGTGTTGAAAAAACGTTGTTTAGAAATAAGATTAAAAAGTTTCACTTAAATTCAACAACATTTATATTTATACAAACTCAAATGTTTATTTTTATTGAACGACAAAAAACGGGGATAAAAAATAAGTAGAGAAAACTTTCACACAAATTTTCATCTCGAATACCTAATATTTTTATGTTTATGTTTCCCTAAGTTGAAAGACTTCAAAAGTGATGTCAGTTTGGTAGTAAAGAAACTAAAATAAAGTTCCATTGTGCTGTTTTCTCGACTTCAAAGTTCAATGTTATCTCATGGCTGATAAGAATATTAACATTGAAATAAGTGACAAAACTTTAAAAGCTTTCATTTTAAGAAAGTAATATTTCGGATTTTTACTCCGCTTTTCCCTTCATGCTCATGCTTCTAGCAACATAGTAACATGCATTCCATGTTAAGAGTTTAGTTCGCTCAATAGATACAAGCATCATGTGACATGGACAACATCTATACGGTATTTAAATTTCAGAAATTCATAAACTGTTTTTCCCTTTCATGTGACACGAAAAGGAATTAATGACGAAAACATACAAAAGTTTGTAGCAATACTTTTTGATATTCATTTCGGAACTGATAATTAAATCGGGCTTAAAATCAGTACCACACCGGTAAATAAATGTTTTAAATACTTTAATCTTCTTTATTTTCGGTCACGCAACGGACTTTTAAAGCTTCGTCATAATTTAAAAAATCATTTTCATGCTGGAATTAAAGAGCAAAAGTTGTAAGTAGATATTACATGCATAAGCAAAGCCTACCTAGGTAGGTTTACAGACGCCTATGTTCGGCTTCATATCAAATTAAAATTTAAAGCTTTTCCAATTCTCATTTGTAATCTCGTCTAGTCTGAATCAGCACCTTAATTCTGTAGGCTTCTGTTTTTGTTGCTTATATGTCGAGGTATTAAGATGGCAAAGTGGAAAATCTTATGGAAATTGAAATATAATCTTAGGAGGCATAGCACATTTCGTTTGTATAGCAACCTGCAAGGACATAATTACTTTGAATAACCAACCATGTTGCTAGCAATTTATGTCTATGTATGTATGATTATAAATATGTGACTCAACCTCATTCTACATTCAAGTGAAATTAGATTTCATTTAGCTCTTCTTATCGTGTATGCTCCATTTAGACATAGATGGAAGAAAATCTTCATGTCACTACTCTGTATGTAGGTTATAAAAGAATTTAATATTTCCCCACTCTCATTATTATTAACAGGAATCTTCAAGGAAACATTCATTGTCGCTCGTATTTCTAATTATATGTTGTATTAAAGATGCATGTAGAATTGTCGTATGTTTTCCTTGTGGCTGAGCTGGAAAATATTTATAACTGTCAGGCTTTTAATCAACTTAAAAGAGTTTCATATAATTCTAAATCTTGAATTTATTTCAACATGAAATTCAATCGGAAGTTGTAAGAGTTTCTTGTGAAAATGTTGAAAATTTTCATTTTCTCAGCGATAGAAAAAATTTTAGAATTTCTCTTGAAGAAAATTAATTTTCTTTTAAATAAAGTCCTTAAACGTTTCAATCGGAAAGTTTAACATTTTTTTCATTGCAAAATGCTATGAAATTTATTTTTCTGCAGCATAAGTTCGTGCCAAATGAAGAACGACATTCATAGCCTTAAGTGAGTCACATTTTTCTACATATTTGAATTGAATATTTTTAAATTGTTCATTGAAATTTTAAAATGATGTCTTATAGAAGGATTTATAGAATTCTATTTCTTTATTCTGAAAGCATTCATGGTAGATAACCTCATTACGTCGTTCGCTCTTAGCATAACATGAAAAAGAATCTCAACATAAGATGAATCTCAGGTAGTAAAGTTGAAAAGTTTTCACAAGAAAAGCTTTTAAGAAAGCAAGAAAAAAGGTAACAAATTTGAAGAGTCCAGAAGAACTTGACGTTAATTCTTGTTGAGCAATTCCTGTCACGTTTCATCAAATTCTTTTGAAAAGGTTGTAGAAAAAAACAGATCAAGCAATTATTTAATTAATTTGTGTGCCTTTTTATTCAATTTGATTTTTTCTTGTGATTTCTGACAATCCCTGTTTAACAAAATTTATTTAAATTAGGCATTTGAGGGATGGAAGAGTCTTTAAACATTAAAACTTTTGATAATTAACACGAAAATTAGAAAGTTGAAGTTGTTAAAGCAAGGAAAGAAAATCAATTACGTGTTTGCTTATGCCCGAATTTTACAGCCAACACGTGAATTCCTTTCGTTAATTATTTATTCACGATCTTCCGTTTAGAATTTGTTTCTCAAGTGGTTTACTCTTTTAGAAAGCTCGGTTTCGGCAGACATAAAATGTTTACTATGTAAAGGAAGGAATAAAGAAACCGGAAGTGAACAAAAGTCCCAAATATAATGAGGTTTTTGAACTTTCTGTTCCTTTTTTTTCTTATTCGTCAGACTTTCAGCAAAAGCGCGAATGCTGCTATCAAAACATTTGATTTTTAGTTTGAAGTTGCAGATTTATTTTTTTATGAAATAAGAAATTCGAGAACACTTAAAAGCACTTGCTTGCCATTTGAATTGATTTGGAAAATTTGCATCATTTTGTCAGATCAATGACATAAAGACATCAAAAGGAAGAAAGATTTTGTGAATTTAGAAGTTCCATCTGTTGATGACGGCGTCTTTTTTAAGTGCAAAGCTTTCAATTGTTCATAAACACTTTGATGTCATTCAATGACTTACACACGATCAAAACTTGTCACGGAATTGACAAACGAGATGGAATAAATGAAATGAATTTTGAATGATGCAAAACGAACAAATCCATAACACGTTTCATTATTAAGAGAAAATATTTCAAATAAGTACGCTGATCACAAACACAATGTCGAAAGCATCAAATTGATGTTTCGTGTTTTGTTGTGCAACTTCTTCAGCCATTAACAATGAATAATAGATTTTAAAGCTTATATTTGCGGAAGGGGGTTGGAAAGAATCTCTCTCTGATATTGTTATGAAAGAATGTTTGAATCTCAAAAGACGATTTCATAAAAGGAAAAAAGTAGGAAAAAAGAAATCAATAAGAAGGATTTATTGTTGAGAGAGAAAAATATTCACAAAAGTAAAAAGACCTTCAAAGAATCTTCTTCAATTTTTTCATCCAATTTGAGTCGAACGAAATTTCTTCAATTATTTACTTTCGTCATGCAATGCTTTCAAGCTTTAAAAAGAGCTTTTTAAGCGATATTAACACTTTTGATGTTTTCTTTTGTCATTTTTCGTAAATTACCAAATCATTTAAAAGCTCGAATCTTCATCACTTAAAATGCAATTCACAATTGGATTACATTCTGGTTTCACTAAGTAATTGTCCGATAATTTAGCTTTAATTTTCATTAAGTGCGATTGATTTGACGCTTTTGTATTTCGATAATCAAACTTATTAAAATAAATAAAATTGTGATTAAAATTCTTAATTCATTCACACATTTCAAATTTATCCATTCAGATAATCATTAAACAAAACATAACAACATAAAATGAAGAAAATATAACAAGTCACTAAATAGAATTTACATGTTTTCAATAAATTATTAACAATTCAATTATTGATGTCCAACATTAATGTTGTTACTTATTAAAGCGTTTGTAAAACATAAAATTCCAACTTGGTTTATTACTCTTCAACTTTCGTCTCCACCGCCGGTATTTCCAAGCTCTTTTTCTCGTTTTCTTGTTCGGCTGCGGCAAGAGCCCTAGCTTCAGCGTCTATTTATAGAAGGAGTAGAAGGAAAAAAGTTTCAGTGAAATTACGTCTTATTGAGTTTATCAAAGGTAAGGTGTATAAAGACTATGGCTTACCTTTTACCGCTTGCTCCTTCCATATCTTTTTGTTCTCTAGGAGACACGTTACCCAAGGCTTCTTGATCTTAAACCTCGTCGGCTTTTCTACATCGCCACTCATTGGTTTGTCATCTTTCTTCTCACAAACTATTGCTTCACTTGACGCCTCCTTGGGCACGTTGAGAGTATTTGCCGCCACTTCGTCGTTACTCGAAGATGAGATGGCTTTATTACTTAAACTATTATTGTTATTACTGTTGGCTATCGGTGCAATTGGTGCTAATATAATTTCCAGCATGTCCGAACAAACAGCCATGCTCGGCTCAACAATAAATTCTATAAAACCGATTTGCGATTCGGCTACTAAAGTATTATTGCGATCACAAAGCGGACTGAATGGCAGACCTAGTTCTCGTTCCAAGTCGCCTTGACGGAAAAACTCTTCAAGTAATAACATCGTCCATTTATGATGCAAATCCCATTTCTTGGCCGGATGTGAAATGTCACAACAATGCAAGACTAGTGATAGGGCCTTTGATTTATCCACGCTCGGCTCCGCCAATGTCAAAAGATTTTTCATATTCTTCAATTGTTGAAAATGAAAGGACATGTCAGTTGCAAGCACCATATCGATTATTAGAGTTCGTAGTTCTCTATATTCATCACGTGATAGATTTTGAAGTATATTACAGTCATCGTCTTTGAGGACGCGAAAGGCCGCACTTATATGATGATTTTCCAAAACAGCACGATCATTATAGAGCATCGCCGTGTCAGAGCCTGATTGGACATGAAAGTTGTTTGTCGTACCCGTATGCTCATAATCGTGTATAAGAGCAGCGACAAGTGTTGCAAAAATTTCCAAGTCTGTAAGCCAATGCATCAAGCCCGTTTGACATAGAACATGATGAACAGTTTGAGCAACATCTGCTGCATGCAAATTATTGTGATAAGGATTACGAAAACGGCAATATCCTGAAAAATGAAGAGAATTCTTTTTTAATAAATAAATAAAAGAAACAATGACAAACTGACAGCCATTTTTATTTCTTTAATTTTAAAATTTTCAAGGAACAACAATGGAGAAAAATTCTTGAAATAAGTGCAAGGATTAGTCACGAATAACTTGGAATTTATTGAGTTTTAGTTTAATGTTTCATGTTTTTTGAGCATAAATATTTATGCATGCAAGAATTAAATTGTTTGCATTCAAATTGGCTTCTATTTAAAGCTAGAAACTTCCTGACTGAAAATCGAAGATTGTTGAGTTTCATAGAATTTTTGAATTAAAAATTTTTCATAGCAATTAAAAGTTTTTACGTCATAGTCTGTTGTTAGCTTGACAGATATCTCCAGTGTCAATTGTTGACATTTTACTTTCTTCTCTTATTCAATCGTATCATTGTGCAACGAAGCAGCTTAAATTTTTGTTTAAAAATAGGTAGAACATTCCTGGAAATGCAAAGGTTTTCCAAATCGATGTCAGAAAAACAAGTCTTTGTTGTTAAGATACTCCGAAATAGAATTTGAAGGATAAGTATAACACTCGTGTAGGTTTTTGATATTCTATAACAACCTTTTTCGTTTCTAGAGTTATTATAATAATGAATCTTACCTTCTTCGATTCGTGACAAAAATGTTTCAAGCGTTGCTGACGGCACTTTAAATTTATGAATCATACCATAACGATTGAGTAGATCGTAACCAATGTATTTAACAGGCATACAATTTCCCGAGTCAGCTAATGCAAATACATCAAAAGACCACTCGTCCAGGTGCTGTAGAAGGATAAAAAAACATCAACAAATTCAGAATTATGGTAAATTGAAACTTCTTTTTCCGTGTGATATTATCAAAGCGGATAAACATTTTGTAAATTAAATAAAGGAATTGTCGAGGCATAAGAAAGTTCATGAAGTGAAAAATAAAATTTAACTTTTGAAAGTTTGCTCAGTTTAACATATAAAAAGCAGAGAAAGCAAATAAGAAGTCTACACCATTCTTTTCTTGTTTATCTTTCTTTCCGTTTTGTACTCATTTCGAACATGCTTGAGATCAAAAAATTTTAAGAGTCCCAAAGCATTTATAATGCTTCGCTTTGTAAAGCTTCAGCGGAAATGTTTTCACTTTAAAAACTTTGTGAGCTTCTCATTCAAGAACTGAACTTTTGGGATTGTATGTAAAATTAAAAAGCATAAGAATTTACCTTTAGGACTTTAACAACCTCTGGAGGGAACTGCATAAGAGCTGTACTTGATACACGGCGATAAATGCGATCGACAAAAATGCCAGCTCGTATTGCATGAGCAACCGAACGGAATTTTGGTTTTTCATCGCTCTTCTTGCGAGTCGTTGCAAGTTGGCGGGTGAAAGTCGATGCAAGCCACTCTCGAACTTCTGGCGGCACAGCGTCGGGTTGCACTTCTGATAGCTCATCGTCTTCGTCTGCCAAGCGTCTAGTGTTTCAATGTTAAATTGAAAAGAAGAACGAGAAGAACAAAACGAGAAAAAAGAGGGGAAAATATTAGCAAACATTCTCAGTGATTAATATTCGTGGTAATAATCAAAACGAAAAGAAATCTACAAATGCAAAATGTGTTATACATTACGTTCATAAATGTTGTAAAACTATGTTTTGTTAGTACACAGCAAATAGAACCAACTCGATTCTAAACTTACTTCACGTGGAAAACATTTTGAAATGTTTCTTTTTCATTTTTAAAGCTTTTGTGATTAATCTTCTAAAAAGCTTTTACTAATTTATTTCTTCAACTATCAACATGAGAAAAGTGTACGGAAGAAACTCTTGAAAGTTAATTATGATTATAAAAGCTTTCGACTTTGACTGTAAGTATGAAGTGGTCGTTCATCTTCTACTTTTAACATGTTCAAAGGCGACTTTTTTATGCAAAATGTTTATGTCGTTGAATTAATTTTAACATGACTCGACCGATTTCTTTGTTTTCCGTTCCATTCCATTCATGCACATAATAATTTGCAGGTTAATTGTTCTTTTGTTGAAAGTCTTTGAAAGTTTTAAATTTCAGTTTTACTGCACACAACTTTTTTTTTCTTCATTCCACGATAGAGAAGGTAATTTAATGAACATAATTTCATTAAATCTGCGGGGAAAAGTCAATTATGTCGTTTTTTCTATTTTCCAGATGCATTAAAAAAAAGAATGTTTCAAATGACAAACTGAATATCCTCTTGTTAAACATTCCATTCAATATTCAGGATGATCTCGCTTTAATCCATTTTTCTATCTCCAACACTTCTTAGGTAATAAAAAATTAATCTTAAAAAACTTTATTACTAAATATAAAGTGAAAGCATTTTATGACTGAAGGGACTTTGAATTCATCTTGAAGATAAATATTTTTATTCGTATTCATTCTGGTAAGGAAGATTATCTTCAATATGTGTGACGTCAATTATGAAATTTTATCTTATGTAAGATTTATGAGGGTTTAAGCAATGTTTTCATGACATTGAGTGGAGACGTAATTATCTCTTATTGTTATACCGTGATATTCATTAAATGCTTTTTCATCCTTTGCTGTTTAATTATTAAAATTTCATGATTTGCAAGACATAAATTACGTAGGGAAAGCTTTTCTTCGAAAAGACAAAAACTTTTATTCAAATAAAACTCTTACTTTAAGCAAGTGCAAAGCACCTCAACTATCATCTAAGTTTTGTTGAAAAGCAAGCGAAACTTTTTGTCGCTTCCCTTTGCTCAACATACAAAGTTGAAAACTCGTATAAAGCGTTTTTATCATGATGACTGTCGACTATCTTTATATCATTGTAATAAAAATATCCACTAGAGTAATCGCAAGGGACAAATTAAATGTATTTCAAGCAATTGCACAACTTTAAGCACAATTATCTCATTCCGAACGTAAGAGTTGACGATTTTGCGGAAACAGCTGGAGTGTAAAAGCCGTTCAGCTTTTATTCCTCCGTTTCTATTAATTATCCCTTAGTGTGAAATTTGTTCAACTTTAGTGAAGTGTTCTCTTTTTCCATGTTAAGTTTACCTTCTAGTTATTTTTTATTTTGTTTACCGAAAACCTTATTTTGACGTTGAGAGATGTCGGAAGCGGATCTGTGTATAATGACATAAAATTGAATGTATTTGAAGTTCAACCTGTGCCTTTGTAAGATTGCTTAAGCGTGGCACGAAAGAAATAATAATCGATAAACGAGTAATGTGTTGACAAAACAATTTATATCAGTAAGACAAACGCTTATTTATTTACTTCCTTTCTCCCTCAATTTATTCTTGTTATAAAAAATATTTAGGCCAAAAATAGAATCAATTTGGATCGAATTTCTTCGATATGCTTTTTGCTTTTGAATTTGTTAAAGCATATGATTATGACAAAAGATATGATGAACATACTTTAGTTCTCCTCCTGACGATTTAATTTTGATGAAAGAAATTGAACGAACAATAGAAGTCGTTAATGAAATTAAACTCATTTCTTTTTATTTGCTAAAGTCGTGTGTTATTATTTCTCTCTCGTTTCCATAAATGATAATGACGAGAAGAATAAACGTGTACATGAAGATTGCCTCGCATTGTCGCAGTTGTTGCTACGTACCAGCTCAAGGACATCTAAGGAGAAATCTTATTCAAACAGTAAAATCAAGACTGAAGTCTTCGCTTTGCGGTAAGTTTGTTCTTCTGATATGCTTCTTAATTATTCACACATAAACTTCAGCTAAATTGCATTGTTCACGTTTGGCTTCGATGGCACAGTAGTTTAATGCAATAAAAATTCGTGTGTAATTGTTAAAGAGAGAAAATCTGATGCAAATGTACCTTAATAAAAGCGACGCAGTGAAAGCTTAGAAAATGAAGTTTAACGAGCCAAGAGAAAGTGATGACAAAGGTTAATTAACAATTCTGCGAATTCTATAAACAAATCCAAAAAAATTTCTTTCGAATTCTCCGAAAATTCTCGATGCCGGAAGCTTATTGGTTTATTTTTATTCACCAGCAGATTTTTCGTCACTAATTGAATTTATTCTTTATCACTTTGTCATGGAAATAACTCCACGCTCTTGTGTCTAATTGCTTTTCACTTCAAAGAACAATCTCAATGTAAAAAATTGTGTGAATTAACATCAAACTTATTAAAAGTATAACAACAAAAATCGGGGGGAGGTTTCCATAATGCCTGCTAATGAAAGTCTGTTGAAAATTTTAATTTAAATACATTTTGCTTCTCTTTTATTCAGCGATTGTTTGGTTTCGCATTTTTCCGGAGAGAATTTATTTTTAATTTGTATTTTTAAAAAGTAAACTGTTTGAATACAGAATGAAAAATGTTTTTCAATGTTTGATTGAAACGATGGCAACTCACTCATTGCTGCTTGAATCGTTGATAGAAACAAAGATTCTTTAATTAACTACTTACAATTAGATTTTTTTTGTATCAAATGTTCTGTGAAATTTAATTAATTTTGTTATGAAGTGAAGCGTTGAATTTAGATGAAATGTTACGAGCCTCGAATCAGATCGGAAAATCACTTTTTAATCAAGTAGAGTGCGCTTTTATATTATGATCCATTCGCTCGAGCATCAACTACATTAAGTTTCATTAACGCACTTTCCCTAAGGGCTTCTACTCGTACCATAATATGCATGACGAGAGAATTTGTTGACACTCCTCCAACATCAGAAAAACGTAAACGAATAAAACAAGACGTAAAATGTATTAAAATGATGTAACAGATTCGAGGTTGAGAAATGAAATAAAATACGAACATAAAGCAAGCATTTTATAAGCAATCAGCCTTCAAATCTGTCTTGAAATCCTAAAAGTACAAAAACAGAACGTTATAAGGATCAAAACGAACTCTTGTCATGAAAAATTCTTGAATCTTTTGAAACAGAAATATTTCACGTATTCAAATTGTATGTTGGCTGTCATGAAATATGATTTTCCAGGAAAATAATCCAATATTTCTCAGAAATATTATGAAAAGCAGAAGAATATTCTTGCATATAAGTCATTGAGTTATGTATTTATACGCTTCTTGAACTTACTTCTTAAATCCATTTAGTTTAATCCACAAGAAGTAATCGAAATTTGTTGCTAATCGAATTAATGCAAGTAGAATTGTTTAAATATTACAGACTGAAGCATTTCATATTTATTTGTGAGAACAAGGACGGTGAGAAAAATGCATAGCAAGGAAAAAGTGCTTTTTCCACTACGAAACTTCTTTAAATATTCATAAATGCCAAAAATTTTGCTTTTTCTTTGTTGTTTTGAAAAGCAAGAACATTCATGATTTTGTGTCAGTTTCCTCGTGGTAGATGAAATGATATTACAAACATAAATGTTCCAATTTGCATTCATTTTTTAAAACGAGGTTACTGTGTAGTGACTTGACATTAAAAACACGAAACATCAACATTTTTAATTATAATTATTCTCAATTGATGCTATCGGAATTCAATTATTATTGAAATTGTAAAATATTGCAAGTATTGTGAAAAACATTAATTTTAACGATGATTACCTATTGTTAAAGCGGTACCTGATAAGAAATTGAACTAAATCGACGGCAATTGAACGATATTGCGAATTTCCCCGCGAATAAAGCATTCGTTTAGTATTATTTTCCTGAACCATTTCACAATAATTGAAATTCTTTATCACTTGATATTTATTGACTTCACAAAGATCTTTTCTTGTTTTTAATAAAAGATCTTTTATCCTACAGAACTTTATAAAAAGGTTCTTATAGAAAGACTATCACCGAACGAATGCCATCTTTTGTTTATATGCTACCAAATTACTGGATATCGTGTACTAATGACAAAGCTTTTGTCATTTCATTTCCATTATTTACAAATGAAAGTATCAATACGACTGTCAAACAACGGAAGTGGGAAGCATAGTAAACTGCTTATAAGTTATAACGAACAATTCGATACTTTTTCTTTACAAATATCCACCCACGCAGACTGACTTCCTTTTCAATTACTTTTGTCTTTCCTGAATATTTTTTATGTTTACATAGCTTATATTTCTGTCGCGATGATGATGAAGATATTTAAAAGCATGTCGCACGTGAACTCAAAAAGTCAATTCAATTCCTTAATGTCACTTCTCTAGTGGTCAATGTATCTTAATTAAAATTTCACTAAGCAACAATGGCGCGTGTAAAATAATTTTTCACTTTCCTTGAAACATTCGTTTCTTTGACTTAGTTTCATTGCCTTAATCCGCAAAACTTTTTCCATTTAATCATTTTTAATGTTATTTTCTTCTTATTTCCCTGCCTTTAATTTTTGATGAGAGAATAAATGGTTTTTAGCAACTTAAGGCAGTTGTCAGGGCTGCTTATAGAGGATGTGATTATTTATTACGCTTTTTAACGACGTTTAAGATTTCGGAGATATAAAAGTCTTTTGATCTCATTAAAGCATATAAAAGATTGTTCTTATCTCAAAATAATATCCTCTAATCTTTACAGAAAATGTTTTTCTTTCTGAATATCGCAACATAAACAAGAAAGCTCAAGAATTAAAGAAAGTGAATTGAATGATTTCTCCACGTGTTGAAGTTAAGCCAAACTATTTTATAATTTACGAAAAGCTTTCAATTAATAATCTAAATTTGAATGCCGTCTACAAATAAAGTGCTTTCTATCATAACTTCCTGAGAATAATAAATGTTGTATACCTAACACAAACAGAAGATAGTAAGATAGTAAAAACACACCTATCGTTAAGGGACGGTAGAGAGTGATGCTTTCGTTGCAATGTTCTAAAATGGCTTAAAGAAATAATTTATTTAAACAAAGTTCTCTACTAAGACTAAATAAATAGGAAGAAAAGAGAAGAAGAAGAAAGATCGTAAGATACAGAAATGATTCCCAGGGTGAACTTTGACCATGCATGAAATATTGCGACTTGTTCGCTTCAAGCATCAACACATCTGTAAAGAAAGGTTCGCTACGTGCCAACAATTCTACTTTGTGAAAGATTTTTCCTAAACAATTTAAAATCGAAACGTTTTTCCCCAGAAGAATGACTAAAATACCTTCGAAACTTTTCTAAGCTCTTTATAAACATCCCGCATAAAATTTTAGAAAAAAAAGAATATTTCGTCTTCTATTGTGAATGATAAAGTAGTTCAACCTCATTACTCTTTTCAAAAGAATGTGGAAAAGAGATGCTAATTAATTTATGTACATAAAAAGCGACAACACAAAAAATTAGAATTCAAAAAAAAGAAAATGAACCTTTTCCAATGAATATAAAAAAAAAGAAAAACATTTTCTTCGTCGCTTTACATTTCAAAGTCACAGGGAAAAAAGTTTCCTTTTGTCTGTAGACATGACTTCATTACAAACCATGAAATTTGCTCTTGTTTTCGCTTCATTTTTTTTTGCTTTATGTTTTATAGCAACATAACGAAAGAGATTTTTATGTTACCGACAAAAATTATGTGCATGAACAGTTACAATTTACAAATGTTTAATTTACAAGGTCGAAGTGCCTTGTGCCAACTAAATGTACCGTAAATTCTATAATAATTCTATGGATAATCATGTTAATGTCAACAGCTTATTAGAAAGGTCATCAAGTTTTGGTTATTTAGGTTATTCACAAACGAAAGTAAAAAATGTTGTCTAAAAAATGTATTTAAGATTGAATAAGTAAAGGTAATAACTTTTTCTGTGACGAAGAACGTGCCCATACTGGCTGCCGTAATCGACGACGCTGTATGAAGCTTTTTCCAACAGCATTCTTTCCATCTGGTAGTCCCGTAGGACCACTATGAGTTTGAGGTGTTGATGGCACTCCTCGTCTATGTTCTGTGACTGCTATGCTGTTACTTTTCTTAAGTTTATTATGGCCATCCCTTTCAGAAGGTTCAGTTGATAATCTGCTTCCATCATCACTAAATTATATACATGAACATTGTGTTATGATCTTAATTTCTGTCAATTTCTTATTTTATATTTTGAATTATTTTAAAAATGTGATAATCTAAACAACATTAAGTGCCTTGACTTGATTATTTTGTGAGATATATTTGAAGGACTTGAAAGTTTTATTTTATACTTCGATGTGCATCGTTTCGTTTCTAAATCTTCATTTCTTTTATTTTATTCAAACACTTCACCAACCCACATAAGATGAAAAGCACTAAATAGAAATCTTTGCTGAGTTCCAATAAATTTTAAATGATGTGATAAGTTTACCAATAAAACATTGTTTGATTCAGCGCTTTCCTCAACAAAAACTTCATTTTGAAGATTTTATAGAAGCAATTTAAAGTTGAACAACGTAAAGATGCTCCAAGCTATGAAAATCCATTTGAGACGTGGAAACTTATTTTAAGATGAAAATTTATGACAGTCACGAGGCATGCTGCTGATTTTTTTTTGCTTTTTCTGTTGTTTATGATAGAAAAGGATGCGGCATATCGTGGTAGTTTTGTTATTGTTAGTTTTGACTGCATGATGTGAGGGCAGACACTTTGTATCGTTCGTAAATAATAGGAACGGGAATTACCCTTTAAGACTGCGTGAAGTGAGATTTATGGCATCATTGAGAGTAGTAAAGTCATGTAAATTTATGCATGATGGGGAAACGTTTTATTCGTAACTTCATCACATCATCGAATTATTTTCAGCGTATTCGTGATCGACTTATGAAAGTTTTAATTCATCAACTGGGATCGTTAATAAGTATGAGATGGTATTGAAAATATTTCTAAGCTCAGATGATGCTTTTAAAGCCATACTCAAGCAAATTCTTATCAAAAGTTTGATATTGAATATTTAATTCGTGGCATATCAAAGCATCCATCCAAGGATATATAAATCTTATTATTGCCTTTAATTCAAGTACTAGGTAGCATAACAGTGAACAAAAAATATCGTTGTCGTTAATGCTGAAGAAAGAATAATAAAAAATTAATGGTATTAACTGCGTTGATTGGATATCTCATATGATTAGCTTATAATGGAGGAAAAAAAGTATGAAATAAATAAATTTAGCTGAAACAATATGTTGAGGGAATATTCGACATCACTTCAATCAATTGATTGTTAATAATTCCATTGCTTCTTCACTTACTTGGTTTCATCTATGAACACAGCTTCGAGAACTCGAGCTGCGTAATGGAGGTTTTTCTGCAATAATTCAGCAGAAATTTCTCCACGTTGAAGTTGCCTTAGAAGACATCTGAGTCTGAAACAACAAAGAAAGCAACAAGAATTAAATGATGTGAGATAAGGCTTCGACAGTCATTTATGAGATTAGCAAGGGACGCTCTAAGCTTGAATAAAGATGGAACCTGGTCGATAAAAATGAAGAAACGTAAATTACATTTTACATCGTATGCATGATGAATAAATAAGGCTCCATAATCCTACGTTTCGACCAAGCTTCTTAACATTTTATTTATGTAAATCTTTCTTGCTCGTCGTCTCATCTCGAAAAAAAATCAACTTCAGAAATGTTTTCTCATTTTATTTTTTCTTGGGATTATTCATAGATAATGTGTTGACATCGAAAAATTCTAAAACAATTCAGAGAATCAAGACGAAGCTGTACAGACATTTTCGTAAAGGTAAACAAATTTACGGGAAAATTCTTTTTAAGAAACTTTTTAATTTCCTCTCAAATAATTATGTTTGAATTTTTTTCATAAAGATTCATAAAAAATTAAAGCGCTGAATCTGTGTTTAAAAAGAAATCTTGCTTTGTGTATTCAAATCTGTCGTATAAGATAAACGGATGAATAATGAAAAAGATTTCTGAAGATCTTCTTTTTGTTTTAAGTAAAAAAATGCGGATTCAAAAAATATCTGACGATGTTCACAGAAGAAAAATTCTAAATCAGATAATGCCATGCTAATCCTAGTAAAAAGGTTTTGATGTTGGCCCTGGAGAGATCAACATTCAACATACCTAATGGCAGCTTTATCACAAGCATCTGGAGTATCGACGGCTGGTAAATTTTCCGTGGTCAAATCTATTCTTTCCAAATCATCATTTAATGAAGTTGGTTGCATTTTTAATCGATTTTCTAAATATGAACAGTAACCGGTAGTAACGCTAGGTGGTTGGCTATCGGAACAAATATATTGCTCTAGTTCAGACTGCTGTTGTGATTTTTTGCCGCTCAAACGTCGTACAATCGTCAATCCGCTCTCTTCTGCAATGAAATGAAAAGTTTTTTATTAACGGTCGTAAATTTTTTGCTTTTTTTAATTTAAATGTCTCGAGCCCTGCAATTTTTTGTTTCTGAAAGAACTGCTTGTCGTGTGTAGAGTACAAAAGTTACTCTCGAAAACAAAAAAAAAAGTGAAATTTTATTTTTTAAATAGAGCAAATATTTTTTAATAATTTTTAAAGTTGTACAAATGATAATACTTAAGTTTGTAATTGTAACAATTGTAGATAATTAACTTCAAAGTGATCGCGTTAGGAATTGTAAAATACTCAACTTTTAAGATAAAATAACATTTTAATTGTGTTTGAAAGCTTCATGGAATCTTCTGATTCAGATCCAGAACTCACATCATGGTTTAATGAATTATGGAGGAAAACAGAGGAAAGAAAATTTAAAGAAGATTCTTTAAGAAAGTCAGACAATGGAAGGCAATTAAATAAAAACGCCACCATAAAGAAAAAATGGTGTAGGTGTAGCTTCTGCAACAGAGTCTTCCTGTTTGAAAAATTATTACATAAACGAATAATAATTAACTTAAGTAAGTAAGTAAAAGAAGGAAGAACATTAAACAAAAGAATTGAAGTTTTAATAACTTTCTTAAGAGCTTTACGAGTGTTGCTGGTGTCACTCAGAGTTTCAATGGAAATTCTCCCTTATAAATCATAGAAAGAAATGTCGACGAGAGTTGGAAGAAAGCAGTAATTGTAGTGCAACAACAACTCATTCTGTTATATGTAAGTAAAAGTAAAGAACAAATATTTACTATCATAACCTTCTTAATTAATTTATTTATTATAAGTTCAAGATAAGCAATGCCCCACGTGCTACCAGATATATTTACACCTCAATTTTATCAAGGAACGAGTGAGAAGAAAAAGGAAAGTACATGATGATCGAAAACATATCACGTGAGGATATTGGTAAGTTTCCGATTTCAATCTTCCTGATTAAAGTACTAAAATTTAAAAAACTTTCAATGTTTCATGCTTGCAGGCAAAACAACTACTTACTTGATATTTGTCCGTTTTTTGATTGAGCTTCAGTCTGAACGTTGGTGCTACTCGATGTAGACTCAGTGCTTATATCCCTTAATGCTATTGAGTCTGTCTTATTTATTATATTTTCTGGTGTGCTAGCAACTGTAACGAAAAGAAGAAAATTTTCTTTTAAATCTTTTTATTCTATTAAATATTTTATGTGGCAAACATAGCGTTAGATGAGAAAAAAACCACTTAGAGTAAGGTAAAGAAAAATCCTAAATCTCATTTATAGAATATGACATCAAAACATTTTTCCATCCCATGGACCTGAAAAAATGAATTTTCAAATCCTTTTAACGCATAAGGAAAGCTCAAAGTATGACGATATAACAAGAATTTTAAAAAAATTATTCTCATTTTCTTATTTTTCTTGCTAACGGCAAAGTTTCCTCAAATAAACAGATTGCTTTTCCTTTCAGCTTCGTGCAACGCAAGGTATCTTTGTTTATTTATCATAATTTCTTATCTCTTTGTCCTTTTACATCCGATAACAAAAATATTTCATCAAAATTCTTTCCTCCTTTGAATACGACATTTTTTTGTGTTTTTTATTGCGAAGTGAAATGTAAGACGATCGTGATTTGTTCAAAAATGTTTTAATTTTCTTGGAACTTCCAAAAATATTTCATTACAAAAAGAATTAAAAATTAGAAATGTTCAGTTAAGTGATGGAAGATGCAAAGTTTTAATACTTTAATACAACATAGAAAACAAAAGTCAATTCATAACAATCTCGACTGACACTTCATTAGCTATTATGTGTTTTTCTTTGCTAATTTAATTTACCAAATAAACAATTCAACTTGAAACAAAGTTGAAGAAAAACGAATTTTCATCGTTCGTTAAGCTTATCTTCTACTAATGTAAAAAGACTGTCGTGTAAAAATATTTCATTCCTCAAGTGGAGAAAAGGGCTGTTAACAAATATAAACCTCCCTTACATCCTTTAAGAAGCTTTGTTTACCAGGTGACGTTAAAGTGAGAAGGTGAGAAATGAAGGAATGGAAGACAAGCACGGATCGTACTCGATGTAAATATCCATGGTTATGTCTTACTTTCAAGCTTTGCTGATTCTCTCATGTCTTTTGAAGAGCCAAATGCCGGTCTCAAACGCTCTGCTCCAATTTTTGATCAATTATCAAAAGGTTTTCAATGTCGGCATTCTAAATTGCTGATTTTATGCAATATTTTTCTTTTTAACGAACCTTGATTTCCTTTTTTTCCATATTTATTAATCAAGGAGAGAAAAAAAATCTTTAAATAGATAATGTAAACGTCAAAAAGGCTTTTCCTTCATTCTCAGTCTTAATTAATTAGCATGGAAAGAAAAAGAAATCTGATTAAGTTTTCTACGCAAATTGGAAAGCTTTCTTCTAAGCCCACCACTAGACCTGCTTTAATGAATGTTCACTGGTTAGTTACAGAAGCAAAACAAACACAAAATGTTGATGCTATTGAAAATAATGCAATATAGAGGATATAAATATTTATAAAAGAAAACCTTCCAGAATTTCATTATCCACTTTTTGAATATTGACTTATGAAAAAGGAAAAAAAAATCAGAACGTCTTACAAAAATCTCATGTTTTGAAATACGCGAAACATAATGTTTATTTTATGTTTTTGAAAAGCTTTTAAGTCTCGCATGTAAAACAGATTAAGTTTATTGAATGATATGAGATTTATTGCTTGTGTCGAGATTCATTTTCCCCTCATGTTTGGGAATTATCTATAAATATTCCCGTTCGATTGCTGATTTATGTCTGAGTATAACCTGAATACGTTAACTATATAAAGGGAGTCGATTTTTATCTGAAAAGTAATTTGTCTGTCACTTTATGAACCAGGAAAAGAGACGACAACGGAACTAGCTGGCAGGAACTGTTTTTTGTATAAATTCATTCCGTTAGCATTTTCATGTTGAAGCTTTGTCATCATCGCGATCAGAATCTTTTTTCTTCATCTTTTACTAAACTCGAGTCACGTTTTTTATATTTTTATGCTTCTTTTTTTACAATATTATTAGATTTCATCAAATTTATATGACTTTGCTTTATGGTATAAGAAATGAAAATTTATTTATGGAAAAATTGAAATTCAGAAAATTAAAAAGCGAACGCGTGGAATTTAACTCGCAACGAAATTTTATTAAGAGCTTTCAGAAAAGCGAGACAATTTTCAAGTGCTTCTTCTAGGAACGCAAGATGATTGATTTTTTCATGAAATATTTAGATATTCGTGATGTTTCCTTAACCATGATTTGAATTTCAATGAAAATTTTAATTTTCTCATCGAAAGTTTCTCGTCTTGAAGAGTAAAATGAGATTGCGAGAGGGATTGAAATTCATCACTGATTAATTAATTGTACAATGTCATCAATTTCTTTAAATAACAAATGTTTATCCATGTGCACCGAATTGTCTCGTCACATCGTTCTGTTTTATAAAAAGATTCTCGACAAAAATAACGAATCGAAAAGAGAGTCATTGAATGTGTGCGTTTGCTATTTTTGTCATGAACGATCACTGCTTTGTGAACAGTTTTCGTCGATCATTCAGCCGGTGAGGTCGGAAACAAGAAACAATTTATAGATTTCATTTGTTTTTAAAATTAAAGCAGCGATAAGTAAGTGTCATTAACACTTAAACAAGATAATGAGAGATTTATTTTATTTTTTATTATCATTACAACAGTGAAGTTAACTTATTTAAATTTAATAATAATTGGATAAACAATTGACTTTGTCACGAAATTGCTGTCAATTATTTGTTTATCTGGTTATTATTTATTCAATTAAAATTGAATTTTTATCACTCTACTTGTTCGCAAATATATACAGGTAAATAAATTTCATTTAAATTCTTTTCAGACACTGAAACTTGTGCCGAACTCGAAGTTTAAATGACAATAGAATAATGAAGTATTTTCTGTTGTTTCTCTTTGTTGTCAATATCAATGTATTGATAACATTTGCTGTTGATGAGAAGAAAGATTGGTGGCAATCGACAGTTGTATGTATCAATGAAAAACATTTTGTGTTATGAGTTTTAATTGATTTTCGATGCTTTTTAGTTTTATCAGATTTACCCGCGTTCATTTAAAGACTCGAACAATGATGGCATTGGAGACCTCAAAGGTAAAAAGTTAATAAAGATTTTGATAAGTAGAACTTTATAAATAAAATATTTTTAAGGTATAACATCGAAGCTTCAACATTTGAAGGATGCAGGTGTGGGTGCAACATGGCTTAGTCCCATTTTTAAATCGCCGATGGTCGGTAAGGATAAGACTCCAAATAAATAATTTCAAGACATTTTTCATGCTTATTTTAAAACAGATTTCGGCTACGATATCTCTGACTATAAAGCCATTCAACCAGAATATGGAACAATGGATGATTTCAATGAACTAATTGCAAAAGCAAAAGAATTAGGTTAATGAAAATTTTTTACAAAAAAGAAAAGAAACTTTAATTAAAAATATTTCAACTCGTTTAAGACATCAAAATAATTCTTGATTATGTTCCTAATCACACATCTGATCAACATGAATGGTTTATAAAGTCAGAAGCACGGGATCCCGAATATGAAGATTTTTACATTTGGCATGATGGAAAAACGAGTCAAGATGGAGGGAAAATTTCACCTCCAAACGTCAGTTTGTCAATTTAAAAAATTCAAGAAAATTTATTTAAAAACTTTTTTGGTTCTTCTCAGAATTGGGTGTCAGTGTTTTATGGCTCAGCGTGGCAATGGAGTGATAAACGCAAACAATTTTATCTTCATCAGTTTACTAAACAACAACCTGATTTGAATTTTCGTAATCCAGTCGTGGTCGAGAGAATGAAGGATGTTTTAAGATTTTGGCTTGAGAAAGGTGTTTCAGGATTTCGATGCGATGCGGTAAACAGAAAGAAAAATCGATTTGAAGAAAGAAAAATATTTAACGAATATTTTCTTGTTATTTTTTTCCTTGCTTTACCAAATTTTTCCCTCAGGTGAATCATATGTTTGAAGTTGAAGATTTCCGTGATGAACCCGAATCAGGAAATGACCCTGATCCACAGTCTTATGGCTAACTTCAACATTATTACACGAAAGATCTTGTAAGTAAATAAAATCGATAAAGATTTAAGATTGAAGATAATTCGAATTAAAAATCAAATAGCCGGAGGTTTACGATGTTGTTTATTCCTGGCGAGATGTTCTCGATGATTGGAAGAAGACTCATGGAGGTGAAACGAGAATCATGATGACTGAAGCTTACGCTAACATCACATTTACCATGAAGTATTATGAGTCGAGTGATGGCACGAGAAAAGGCTCACACATCCCCTTTAACTTTTTAATGTTATCCGACTTAAATGGAGAGTCAACGGCAAATGATTTCGTTCATACAATCAGTAAGTGGATGAATTACATGCCAGCGGGTGAGACAGCAAACTGGGTGGTGAGAAATCTTTCGAAATAATTTTCAAAACAACAATAAAAAGGAAACTAATTTTATAGCTCGGCAACCATGACAATTCTCGTGTTGGTTCTCGCTATGGTCCAGAGAGAATTGATGCTTTAAATGCAATGCTTTTAACACTTCCGGGAGCTGCTGTCACTTATATGGTGAGAAAGTTATATGAGAAGGAAAAACACCAGCGGGGGTGGGAAAATTGTTTCTTTTTCACCAGAGTATTCTCAGTTTAACTGGATACAAATCCATTGCTCTGATTTCAAGTTTTATTATACATTAAGAAAAATATTTATTTCTTGATTCATTGACGTTGACAACAAATTGAATTTCTTTCTTCTATCTTTTAAAAATCTCCAAACAGGGAGAGGAAATTGGAATGCTTGATGACAAAGACATGTGAGTTGAATAACAAAGAGATATCCGGTAAAAATTCCATTTCTCAATAAATATTTATTCCAGATCATGGGAGGATACGAAAGATCCTGCTGCGTGTAATACAAATCCGAGTGTTTATATGAAATATTCAAGAGACCCAGAACGTACGCCTTTTCAATGGGATGAGACAACAAATGCTGGCTTCTCGAATGCACAGAAAACTTGGCTTCCAGTCAATCCCAATTACATGGAATTGAATGTGAAAACTGAAAAGGCAGCAGCAAAAAGCCATTTCAAGTTTTATCAGAAGGTAATCGAATTAAGGAAGCAAGACACATTTCAATACGGCGATTTGAAAATTATCGCTATCAACAAAAATGTTTTTGCATACGTTCGAGAATTATTGGATCGAGAAACCTACATCATTTTGATTAATCTCGGATCAATTAATGAAGATATTAATCTGAAAGTTTTTGCATCACTTCCGGATAGACTGAAAGTTGTTGTTTCGTCTCCGACATCTCATTACGACGAAGGGTGAGTTGATTACTTGATAACAATAATTGCATTAGCAATGAACTTTCATAATCTCAAAGTTTAAACTTTGAACTTAACAGTAACAATGACAGAGTTTGCATGCTTAATTATTTTTTTTTAATTTTACAAAAAATATTTACAGCACGTTCGTTGAGTCAAAGGAAATATCTTTGGGAAGATTCGGTGCAATGATATTAACAAATGACAATCAGAATCATAATTTAGCAACATACATGCGAGTTGATATGAATCTTCACTTGACATGTTTTATAATTGCATGGCTTGCTGTAACACTTTATTAGTAAAATAACTCGTAAATACATAATGTGACGTCAGAGAAATCTAATTATCTGTTAAGCTTGAGAAAAGATTTAATGCTGATTAGGATCGAGATTGCTTCCAGTGACTTAAATTACAACCGGAATTATAATGAGCTTGCTTGACAATTAATGGGAGAGAAGAAAGAATAATAAATTGAAAATAAACTTTATTAATTGTGTGTTGGACGTTGAGTAGAAAATTGTCGTTTAGTATAACTTTGTCCTTTATTTAGAACAATCGTTGATAAAAGGAATATTCCGATGCAACCCTACGATTGCGTCATTTTCAGCAGCGGAAGTGATAACAAGAGGTAATTATTTTCTAATCAATTGATGTTCGTTGAACATTAATAATTTTGTGATTGTTAATCATCTCGACTTAGAATTTTCACAGAATATTCAGTGACTGGAGCAAAGATATACTCTTAATGATTAGCTTATTAATTACTGCTTCATCAAGCATCTATTCGTTATATTTCTGTACATGCCATGACACAAAATAAGTTAAACTGATGAACATTATCACTTATCAAACCTTTTTCAATTCCTTAAGTAATAAAGTTGAATATCTTAAGTAAATAGGTTGAGTAGGTTAATTGAATTTTCAAGTGTAAATTTCAATATCAGCTCAGCTTGAGAACTAATAAATGAGAATGTTTTGAGAGACAAAAAATAATTATTTTTTAATTCGTAATATCTCGAAGTGATTAAAGCTCGATAGATTATGTCATGAAGAAAAAAATTCCTCCACTCACTTTAGTCACATTTGTTGACGAAGGAAAACGTTTGAAATGATTCGCTTCGATTTTCTGGTTATTTTGTTGGTGATTTCGAGTATTGAAGGTCAACAAGTGGATAAGGAATGGTGGAGACATGCGACCTTCTATCAAATCTATCCACGTTCATTTATGGATTCTAATGGTGACGGAATTGGCGATGTGAAAGGTTGAGTTTGTAAAGAATCGTTCAAGGAAATTAATTTCATAAATTATTTAGGAATCATCTCAAGATTGGATCATTTGAAAGATGCTGGAATGGATGCTTGTTGGTTGAGTCCAATTTTTGCTTCACCACAAGTTGATACAGGTTACGATGTCAGTGATTTCTATACAATCGAACCTGATTACGGCAACATGGCTGACTTCGATAACTTAATGGCAAAAGCAAAGGAACTTGGCATCAATTTATTGCTTGATTTCATTCCAAACCACACTTCTGATCAACATGACTGGTTTATAAGATCTGTTAATAATGAATCTGATTATATGAATTATTATGTTTGGCGTGAACCTCAAATTGTTGATGGACAACGAACAGTTCCTAATAATTGGAGATCTGTGTTTGGTGGACCTGCATGGACGTGGAGCGAAAGTCGACAGCAATATTATCTTCACCAATTCTCTCCACAACAACCAGATCTTAATTACAGAAATCCAAAAGTTGTTGATGAAATGAAACAAGTTATGCAATTTTACATGGAAAAGGGAGTCAGTGGATTTCGTCTTGATGCGGTGAGACACAATTAAAACAGAGATAAGGGTAAATGGGATGGAAATTGCCATTGGTTGGTTGAATTAGTTTCCTCTGATAATTCTTCCAAAAATTTCCCTTCGAGAGAGAAAAAAATCCCCTTTTCCTATCTCTGCTGTTTTAAACTTTAAAAGTGTATTGAAAATGGATTAGATTAGTAAATTTATCAAGCGATTAGGAAATACTCATGATTAAAAAAATAATCTTATAAAACCAAATTGTTATCAACAGATAAATCACATGTTTGAAGATGATCAATTTCGTGATGAACCTCGTAATGAATTTGTGACCAATCCTGATGATTATGAATATTATTCACATATTTATGTAAGTTTTCTAATGTCAAACAAGAATTAAAACAATTGATAGACGTTCGAACACTTTCACAGACAAAAGACTTGCAAGAAACGTTCGATTTAGTTTACGAATGGCGGAAATTTATTGAAGATTATGTGAGTGAAAATGAATTACCAACTGACATTATTCTGATGACAGAAGCATATGCCAGCACTTATGATACAATGCGTTACTATCGAGATCCATCAGACGACAGACGAGGAGCTCACATGCCTTTCAATTTTCAATTGATTTTCAATTTCTATAACAATGCAAAAGCTCAAAACATTAAGAACGGAATCGATGAGTGGTTGAACAATATGCCAGAAGGTGAAACGGCTGATTGGGTTGCAGGCAGTCACGACCACTCCCGTGTTGCATCACGTGTTGGCATTGAAAAGGTTCATATGGTCAACACAGTTGTCTTGACACTCCCTGGCGCAAGTGTCACTTATTATGGTGAAGAGATTGGCATGCAAGATTATCGACTTTTCAACATTAATGACGGTCGCGATCCCAATCGAACTCCAATGCAATGGAACAGTGGAGTGGGTGCTGGCTTTACAAGTAAAAATGCAGAAGAAACTTGGCTTCCAATTCATCCCAATTATGTCACAATTAACTTGCAAGCACAGCGTGAACAAATACGAAGCACTTACAAATATTTCCAAACGTTGACAGCGCTTCGTAAAACGAACGCGTTTAGGAATGGAAGTTTTGAAGTGAAAGTTGTCAATGAGAATGTTCTTGCTTTCAAAAGAGAACTCGACAATGAAATATATATTGTGGTGATAAATGTCGAGGGATCTGAGGAGCGAGTTGACTTATCCGAGTTGTGGACGATTTCTGATGAAATTTCAGTGGTAACTGCCGCTCCTAATTCACGCTTTGATATCGGGTAAATGCATAAATTGTTGAGTTTAATTTGTTATTATAGTTGTGAGTTAATTTTTATCATTCTCTAGAGATAAGACGATGAGTAATGATGTCACTTTGGGTCTTTACGATACTGTTATATTTCACGTTTCACACTCAACGACAATTGTTTATAGTCTAACCTTGATGATATTTTCAAGTGTTTTAGTTTTTATTACTTAACAACAACAATAAAATGATTGTAAAACTTTTCCATTTTAATAGAAAATAAAGTAAGAATGGCTTATCAAAAGAGTATGAATTATCGAATTTCAACTTAATCTATTTAATGTTTGATTGATTGTTGAGACTAAGTTAAGTACAGTGTGTTGGCAAAAATTTTCAGGTGGATTATCTAAGAATGAGTAAGAAAATTATCAGTCGATTGCTCAATCATCTATTGGTTGTTAAGCTATAAATGTCAATACGTTAATTTTTGATTTTATTTTCTATTCTCATTTTCTTCGAGAAGGTTCAAATAAAAAGAATGAAGTTTTTAAGAATTGTTGGAATTTTTACTGTGCTTTTATGTGTTCAACTTGTAACAGCACAGGATGATCACGATCATGATCATGAACATGATTGGTGGGAACATGCTGTGTTTTATCAGGTGAGTTTTTCAATATTCAACAGTGGAAAATTACTGAAACGTCAACTTTACAAACTCAGATCTATCCAAGATCATTCAAAGATGACAACAATGATGGAATTGGCGATATTCGAGGAGTTATCAACAAATTGGAACATTTGAAAGATCTTGGTGTGACCGGTGTATGGTTGAGTCCAATTTTCGCTTCACCAATGAAAGGTTTGTTTCAAAAATACTCAACAAAAAAAAGGATTTTTGATTTAAAAATTATTCAGATGGTGGTTACGACATTGCGGATTATGAAAACGTCAATCCTATGTTCGGAACGAATGAAGATCTTGAAGAACTTTTCGAAAAGGCGAAGGAACTTGGACTTAAGATAATTCTCGACTTTGTATGATTAAATTTTTTTGTCACATGATCCAAATTTCATTTTAAATTATTTTCAAATCAAGGTTCCAAATCATACAAGCGATCAACATGAATGGTTTCAGAAGTCGGTTGATAGAGTAGATGGTTTTACTGACTTTTATGTATGGAGAGATTGTCCTTTGAATTCTGAAGGAAACAGAACATTGCCAAACAATTGGGTGCGTTATGACAAATCTTATTGAGAAAACATTTTAATTTTATGTTCTTTGGACAGATTGCTGTATTTCATACACCAGCTTGGAGTTATAATGAAGACAGAGACCAGTGTTATCTTCACCAATTTGCTCCTGAACAACCTGACTTAAATTATCGCAATCCATGGGTTCAACGAGCAATGTTAGATGTTCTTAGGTATTGGATGGAAAGAGGCGCTGACGGATTTAGAATTGATGCCATAAATCACATGTTTGAAGTAGAAGGACTTCCCGATGAAACTTACATTGATCCAAATGGTGACTTAACTTCCTATGATAACTTATACCACAACATAACAATGAATCGAGTGAGTTTGATTGAACTTTTATAAATTATTTCATAGTGTTTTATAACTATTTAATTCAGCCCGAGTCATACGAATTTATTTACGAAGCAAGAAAAATGATGGACGAATTTGTTGCTAACTCAGAAGATAAAGTGACAAGAATTTTGATGACAGAAGCTTACGCAACTGTTGAACAACAAGCTCTTTGGTATGGTGAAAGTGAAACAATTCTCGGATCTCACATGCCCTTCAACTTCCAATTAATAACCAAACTCGACAAAGATTCTAACGCAAATGAATTCAAGGAAGCAATTGACGAATGGATGAATGCAATGCCTGATTATGGTGTTGCTAATTGGGTTATGGGAAATCATGATCGTTCACGTGTTGGATCAAGATATGGTGCAGAACGACAAGACAGTTTAGCAATCATGACAATGGCACTTCCTGGAATCAACGTCATTTACAACGGAGAAGAAATTGGAATGCTTGACTATAACGAAATCACTTGGGAGGAAACTGACGACCCACAAGCTTGTCAAACTAATGAAACTGTTTACAAATTATATAGTCGTGACCCTGTTCGTACTCCCTTCCAATGGGAAGATACTGGTGATTGGGCTGGCTTTTCAGAAGTTAGAACTTGGCTTCCAGTCAATCCAAACTTCAGAGATTTGAATTTAAAAGCACAACAAGACGCTGACAAAAGTACTTACAAACTATACAAGCATTTGATAGCATTACGTTCAAATCATGTTCTTATGGAAGGCGATTATCAGTCAAAAGTTATATCAGATAATTTGTTTGCTTTTAAGAGAACATTAGCCGCTCATAACACTATCGCTGTTTATGTTAATCTTGGAAATGCAACCAATACCAAGTTGACTGATTTGGTTGATGCTGATGAATTACCGGAAGATGCCAAAGTTAAAATTCTTGCTGTAACCAAAGAATCAAATATGGAAGTTGATGAATATATTGAAGACTTAGAAAACATTGAATTAGGCGCATACGATGCAGTCATCTTGGAAATTTCATCAGCAACTAAAATCGCCATGTCCATGATTTTGTTTTTCATCACTTTAATCAAATTCATTTTCTAAATTTGTATTAATTTTCAATTATTGTTCATTATTCAAAGCCAAGTGTTTGCTAATAAAATTCTAGTGTGACTAAAACTCAACAACAATTATTATACTTTACAATTTAAACAAAAAGTTTAAAATCATTTGCCACTATACGAGAACATTTTATCAGTTTTGATAAGCTTTTGAACAGCATTTATAGCAAATACTGGAAATCAATCACTCGAGCTCAATATAATCATGAAATTGATAAGCAAGTTATAAAGTTTGATCTGAAAAGCAAGAACAGATTTTATTTTTCTCATTATTTATTTTGTTTTCAAACAGAAAGAAGTATGAAAATTTTGCTTTTAACTTTCTTTTGTGTTATTATTGTGAATTTTCAATTGTCATCATCGTTAGATGATCATGATTTAGATTGGTGGGAGTATGGAGTGCTTTATCAAGTGATATCTTCAGTCGATAATTTAAATAACTTCTGAGATTTAATTTCATTACTCTTAGGTTTATCCAAATTCTTTCAAAGACACAGATGGTGATGGAAGAGGCGATCTCAAAGGAATAATCGAGAATTTAGAATATTTTGTAGAACTAGGTGTGACAGGCATATGGTTGAATCCAATTTTCAAGTCACCAATGAAAGACGGCGGTTATGATGTTGAAGATTATATGGAAATAAATTCAAGATTCGGAACAAACGAGGACTTTGATGAACTCTTGACAAAAGCTCACAATCTTGGCTTAAAAGTTATCTTAGACATTGTAATTATAATTGAAAGTTAATTGAGCGCAAACCTTCTTCTTAATTAAAAATGTTTCAGGTCATTAACCATACAAGTGATGAGCATGAATGGTTCTTGAAGTCAGCCAACAACACTTCAGGTTATGAAGACTTTTATATTTGGAGAGATTGTTTCAACGATGTTTGGTCACAGTGGCCTAATAATTGGGTGAGTTTAAATATTTTCGTTTATCAAAAGTTGCCGTTATCATAGCAATAATTCAACGATTAGATTTCCGTCTTTCATACACGGGCTTGGACTTATCACCCAGCAAGAAATCAATGTTATCTACATCAATTCACTTCAAGTCAACCTGATTTGAACTTTAGAGAACCAAAAGTTCGGGAAGAGTTGATGAAAGTTTTACATTATTGGTTGGAAAAGGGCGCTGACGGTTTTAGGTTTGGAAGAGTTAATCATTTGTATGAACATGAGCTGTTTCCAAGTGAGAGTTATTTCGATATTAATGGAGATTTCTTGTCGTATGACAATTTATTCAACACGTTTACCATGAATCAAGTTAGAATTTATTTCCGAATTGTTTTCACTTTCAAAGCATTTTTATTTTAATTTTACAGCCTGAATCTTATGGATTCATTTATGCAGTTCGTGAAATGATTGACGATTATGTTAAGGAACACACGAATAAAGCAACGAGAATTATAATGACAGAAGCTTACTCAACGCTGCCTCAATATGTTCCATGGTTTGGGGAACATGAAGATATTCTTGGATCGCACTTGCCATTTAACTTTGAGCTTATCACGCGTCTTGATAGACATTCATCTGCGTCTGAATTTAAATCGATCATCGACACTTGGATAGATGCATTGCCAACTTGGTCTGTTGCTAATTGGGTTTTAGGAAATCACGATCAGCCAAGAATTGCTTCAAGATATGGAAATGAAATGCATGAAAGTTTAGCAATCATGGCCATGATGCTTCCTGGTGTTAATATCATTTATTATGGTGAAGAAATTGGAATGCTTGACAATCTCGACATCACTTGGGAGGAAACTGACGATCCACAAGGGCGACAAACGAATGAAACTGTTTTCAGTAGATTCTCTCGAGATCCCGCACGGACCCCATTCCAATGGGACGACAGTGAATTCGCAGGTTTCTCAAACACAACGACATGGTTGCCTGTCAATGAGAATTATGAGAGTGTGAACTTGAAACATCAGAGAGAAGCTGAGAAAAGTACTTTCAAACTGTATAAGAAACTCATCGAGATGCGTAAAGAAAACCACGTTCTTGCCATCGGCGATTTGGAGACGAAAGCAATGAATGAAATGGTTTTCGGATTTATGAGAACACTTCCCAATCACAACAGTATTGCTGTTATCGTAAATCTCGGAAATGTTACTGTCACTGCAAGCCTTCGAAATTTAATCGAGCCAGACGAGTTTGAAGATATCGTCGGTGCTAAAATCCTTCTTGTCAACAATGACTCAAAACTCTTTGTTGGTGAATCTATCGACATGGAAAACATTGAACTAGAAGCTTACGATGCTGTCGTGTTGGAAGTTTCATCTGCTTCAACATTCTTCCTTTCACTCTTCATTTTATCTTTAAATATTTTGAGATTTATGTTTTGAAATGATTTATAAAGAAAACTTTGTTTGGATTCAATAAAATTCCACAGAGGGTAAAAAAAACGGAAAATTCACAACTCACGTCAGATTTTCGCAATTCGATTCGAATTAAACATTTTCTCTCTCTCTCTCAGTCTCAAGCGGTTTGCGAAATTTGTCTGGCATTAAAGCTTTTTTAAATGTCTGGCAGATAATTTTCTTACTTATAAACGTTTAACAAAATGTGATTAAGTAGATAAGGATAACAAGTGGTTATTTAACGGAATTTTGAGAGTTTTCAATTCACAGTCAGGTTTTAAGTGCCGTTGTTGAGAAATCAAACTTAGACTTAATATGAAACTTTTAAATTTATTTGCTTTCATTCTTTTTATATTGATTGAAATTATCAATGCTGAGATTTTGACGGGAAAAGCTTCTGTGTTAGAACAAACACCAAAGCAGAGTTCATCTGACAGTGAATGGTGGAAATCAGCACTTGTAATATAGAAAATAATTTAAAAGGGAAAATTACGTAATTAAATGTTAAATTCTAGTTTTATCAAATCTATCCAAGATCGTTTAAAGATTCCAATAATGATGGAATTGGTGACATTCGAGACATCATTTCGAAGCTTCAACACTTGAAGGACACTGGCGTGACCGCAACATGGTTGAGTCCAATTATGAAGTCACCGCAAGTTGATTTCGGTTATGACATTTCTGATTACACTCAAGTCGATGAAATCTTCGGAACAAATGAAGACTTGGAAGAACTTTTCACTGAAGCACACAAATTAGGCATTAAAGTCATCATGGATTTCGTAATTAACCACAATTTTCCATTAATTTAAAATGAAAATGTTAACAATTTATTTTTCTGTCAGGTCCCAAATCATTCATCAGACCAACACGAATGGTTCCAGAAGTCAGTTGCACGAGAAAAAGGTTACGAGAATTTTTACATTTGGCACGATGGCCGACCAAATCCAATTCCTGGCGGCAGACCTTTGACTCCAAATAATTGGGTAAAAATAATTGGAATGTTATTTGAGTTGAGTTAAAGTTCAGTTTCGAACAGATTTCTGTGTTTAGTCACAGTGCTTGGACGTGGAACGATGAACGTGAAGCTTATTACCTTCATCAATTTGCACCTGAACAACCTGACTTGAATTACAGAGAACCACTCGTTATTCAAGCCATGAAAGATGTTTTGACTTATTGGCTTGATCGTGGAGCTGATGGTTTTAGAATTGACGCCATTCCACATCTTTTTGAAGATGCCGCCATGAGAGATGAACCCGTAAGTGGGCTCATCGATGATTCAAGATATCACGATTATCTTACTCACATTTATACAAAAGATTTGGTAGGTTGTTGATTGACGTTGGTTGCTTCAATATTTAATTCTTTTCGAATCTCTTGACAATTCATGACAAAACTTTTCTTTTTCTTACCATAAAATTTTGATAACATTTAGCCAGAAACCTATGATATGGTTGGAGAATGGAGACGTTTAATTGATGATTACAATACAGAAAATGGTGGTGACACGAGAGTCATTTTCACTGAAGCATTTACCAGCTTTGATGATACCATGAAATATTATGTTGATACAGAGGGAAATCCTCGATCACATTTTCCATTCAACTTTTTCCTTATCACGGAAATGAATGAAACATCGACCGCTCAAGAATGGAAGGCTGTGATTGACATGTGGATGGAGGGAATGCCAACTGGAGCGACACCAAACTGGGTTGTGAGTGTGAAAATTTCTTTCTACCTGTTGCTTTCTGTAAAATCATTTTTTTATCAGCTTGGAAACCATGACACTCCAAGATTCGCATCACGATTTGGAAGTGAGAGAGTTGAAGGGTTGTTGACGTTACTTTTAATGCTTCCCGGCGTTGCTGTTTCTTACAATGGTGAAGAAATTGGAATGTTGGACTACAGGGAAATTTCATGGGAAGATACTCAAGATCCACAAGCTTGCAATACAAACGATCCAGAAAATTACAACCAATTTTCAAGAGATCCAGTAAGAACACCTTTCCAATGGGATGACACAATATATGCTGGCTTTAAAGATGCAGCTGGTGAAGAACCTTGGCTTCCAGTTAATCCCAATTATGAAACACTCAACTTGAAACAACAACAAGAAGCGACGAAATCAATTTATAAATTTTACCAGCAGTTGGCTCAACTCAGACAAGCTGAAACATTTGTTCATGGCGATTACAAATCGACTGCTATCAATGACAATGTCTTTGGGTTTATTCGTTCATTAAACAACGCGATAAGTTACGTAGTTTTGATTAATTTTGGTTCTGAAAATGTTGTAATTGATATCAACACGTTGGGAGTTAACTTTGAAGGTCAGTCTGAGATTGTACTCGCGAGTTCACAATCAAATTACGACATCAGGTGAATTCTCAAATGTCATAAATATCTATTCAGATGAAATAATTTTCAATATTTCTCTTATGTATCCCATAGCGACATTGTCAGCACAACGGAATTTACACTTGGAGCTTATGACGCAATCATATTGACTTCATCTGCTTCTGTCATTGCAACTTCTTTCTTTATCATCTTGATTGCTGCTACTTTACTTTGTTACATTTTGTAAATAGAATCACTTGAAAAATAATCTACGTAATGGTCAAGTTGGGTTGTTTGTATTTTTTTTATTATTTTTTATCTTATCACGTGAAGATTGTTGCTGACAATTTTATGGAAATAGATGAAGCTTTATTCCAAAGCAAGGTCTTCTTCTAGTCCCAGACTCATGTCACGTAATTTTGTAACCTTCGTCAATCTAAATAAATAAATATCGATGTCTTTTTTGTAGATCAGTTTATAAATTAAAGTCGAGAATTACTTAAAGCTTCATTACATATTTTATTCAGGAACAACAAAGCAACTTAATTAAAGTTACTTTGATTATATTCAAGGGACGTTTCTCATATTTCACAAACTAATGTCTGGAAACTTTTGCTTTTTGCTCTTACGTATTTTTATGTATACGATGATATTCAATTTCAGATGAAAACATGAAACATTAATATCATATGAATATTATTAGTTTACTTTAATTAAAGAAACATAATAGTTTGATGTTTATACTTGACTGTCACACAAAAGAAACTTTAAATGGAACAAAATTTAATATTGTGAGTATCTAAGTGTGGTTTTAACTTAGCATCAATTATTCAAGATGTTCTAAACTTCCTAAAATTCCTCCCCTTTAGCCTTTTTCCTTCTTTCAAAATTCTAAACTATTTGCTCCAAAAACTACCCTCAAATATCAAATGGAAATGACTGAGAAACAAACAGCACGTGGAACAATCGATTCAAAAGCATGAACTTTGAAATTATTTTCACATCATTTTTCAACATTAATAAACTTCAAAACTTTGAAGTATTTGATTGAAAATATTTTTGACATTGAACGGGAAATTTTTTTGTTTAGTCATTCGGTTCTAGATCGACAAAAAAACATGAAAATTCCACTAATAATTGTTGGGTTTTATATCAGGAAAGGAAAAGAAAAAGTTAAGAATTAAATTAATTTCTAGTTTACATCTCGATTGTTCCTTGTAAATAAATAATCAATGGTATGAGGCTTTAATATCAATTGTTGAGGATGTTTCAAAGAATCTAAAATTAGAAATATTTCAAGGCTCGTTTTCAATTTTCCATATTTTTCCATGCCTAAAGCTCCCTGATTTCTGAGACTGACTAGTTTGATAAATATTTCATTTGATAAATTTAAATGTTAATAATACAAAGTAAAAATGCTTTTGTTCTCTTCTTTGTTTGAGTGAATATAATGAAAATTTACTTCACAAGATCTACCATGGAAATGAAAAGTAATTTTGTAGTGCTTCTCAACTGATTGAAACCCACAACAGTTCATCAAATAAACATAAATTGCTTTTAAATGAAATCATAGGAATTTGTCTATTTCTGTGTTGTTAACTCTATTGAAAAAATGTTTAATTGTAAGGTGAAAGTACGCGTAGTTATAGAAACGAAATACAAATAAATATAAAAAGGCATAAAAAAGATTTCTTTCAGCATAATTCAATGAAATGAAATAGAAGTTTTACGTGACGAGTCCACAGAGTCCATGAACAATGATAACATAGTAAATACTTAGATATGATGAAGCGTCTCGTTATCACGAAATTACTTGAACATTCATTTTGATGATGAAACCATGAAAAAATTCTTTTTCTCATACTTGCTCTTGTGAATAAATGCTTCAAGAAAGATAAAGTTTATGATTGGAAAGATGTGACGGATCAATGGACAAATGATGATTGAGGTGAAAGCAAGCATAGTTATGAAAAGGAATTTCGAATTCTAAAGGTTACGATTAAAAAAACATTCACGCAGTCGATTAAACTTTCGTACATGAAAGAGTCAAGAAAACAAGTTGCGTCTGTCCAAAAATATTCTTTTTCCATTTCATGTGAACTTGGAAAGGGGTTAAAATATGTACATAAATATCCCAAAACAAACAACATGCCTAAGAGTTATTTAAAACAAAACAACAACAAGAAAAAATCAATTTCTGCATTGCTGCTTTTAAAGTCTACTTGATGTTACGTTAAAAAGTCCGTTCATCGCTTTTATCTTACTTTTGTCGTAAATAAATTTTATGTTTTTCTTTCGAAACAAAATTTAATAGAAAACCGAACGATACATATATGCAGCCTCATATTATTCGGATAATTGAAAAACATAAACCTACTTAAAGCATCAAAAAGTCATTCTGAATGAAGAAGACCAGACACTTGATACCCGCAGCCAATATTTATTTAGAATAAATGAATAAAACAACATTTTTGTTTATGGCACATTTAAAACATTGAAGTTCATAAAACGGAAAATAATTTTTGTTAAGCTTTCTGAGGCTTTTGAAAACAATACTGACAACCTCAATTTAATAGTCAAGAATTAACCCGGCAACATTCAAATGCAGAGTTTTTTATGGTTCTCCATGGAAAGGAAATGAACCATTCGGTATGGTTATAAATTTCATTACACAATTGTTTGAAAGAAATTTTTCCGAAGACGAAGGGTAATGCGAAGAGAAGAATTCACAATGGAATTATCTATTATCATGCCAAGCTTTACAATTATGTCTGACATCTCATCTTATTTACGCTTCGTGAACAAGCTAATTGAAGGGTTCAATCGAGAAAAGCTTATGTTGTTAATTTATTCACGTCAGTATCATGAAATGTGTTCAGGAAATTTCATTAATATTCTTTTTCTATTTACAATATTTAGACGAAGAAGAGATTTTCAGAAATAATTCTTTTTGGCGAACATCTTAATCCACTTCACTGTTACACAAAATTTAATCGAAACTTGGCTTATCATTCTCAAGACGAGTTAAATAGAATATTTCAACGTTAATTGCCTTTCAATACTTTTCGATAAGATAGCTTTAATGGTTGAAGCTCTGAATAATGTCTTCATTGAGTTGGAAACATTGAAACGTTCAAGTCGACGAGAGATGAGATTAATTTTATTGCTATTTGTTTGTGCCACGGTGGCATCTGCTGATTGGTGGGAAAATGCAATCGTAAAGTTTTCATTTTAAAATTTATAAAACATAATTTAATTAAAAAAATTGTACAGTTTTATCAAATCTATCCAAGATCATTTAAAGATTCCAATAATGATGGAATTGGTGACATTAAAGGCATCATTTCGAAGCTTCAATACTTGAAGGACACTGGTGTGACCGCAACATGGTTGAGTCCAATTTTAAAATCACCACAAATTGATTATGGCTATGATATCGCTGACTTTACCCAAGTCGACGAAATCTTCGGAACAAACGAAGACTTGGAAGAACTTTTCACTGAAGCACACAAATTGGGAATCAAAATTATCATGGATTTTGTAAACAAATTAGATGTTAAATTTTGTTGTAAATAGTTTTACGGTAAATTTGTTTATCAGGTTCCAAACCACACGAGTAATGAACATGAATGGTTTAAGAAATCGCTTGAAAAAGAAGCAGGTTACGAGGATTTCTATGTTTGGCACGATGGCATAACGAACCCTTTGGGTGGACGTCCTTTGCCACCAAACAATTGGGTAGATATGAATAAATATTTCATCGCCTACAATTTATGTAATCATCATTAATGTCTCATAATTCAGCAAGCAGTTTTTTCTACGAGAGCTTGGACATGGAATGAACAAAGGCAGCAATATTATCTCCATCAGTTTGCTTCAGGCCAACCAGATCTGAACTATCGGAATCCTGCTGTTGTTCAAGCAATGAAAGATGTTTTAACTTATTGGATGGATCGTGGCGCTGATGGTTTCCGAATCGATGCGGTAAATTTTATGACATGACAATGCTTGTTTTTATTTTTTCAAGTGCCCACTTATCAAAATAGAAAACTTTTAGATTAATCACATGTTTGAGACTGAAGGCTTTCCTAATGAACCACCCACAGGATGGACAGATGATCCAAATAATTATGGGTGAGTTAAATGTGATGATGAGGAATATCAAAAGTTTAAGCATTCTTTATTAAACTTCAGATACACACATCACATCCACACTAAAGATTTGGTAAGATAACAACTCAAATCACATTTATTGCTGACAAAACTTAAATTTTCTATTCAGGATGAAGTTTATGACATGGTTCGCCAATGGCGTGTACTAATCGATGAATACAATTTGAGTAATGGAGGTGACACAAGAGTTTTATTCACTGAAGCCTATGCAACCATTGAAGATACTGTTAGATATTATGCAGACGAAAGCGGAAATCCCGTGGCACATTTTCCATTCAATTTTATTTTGATTGAAAGGTTGGATGAGAATTCAGATGCTCAAAAGTTCAAGGAAGAGATTGACAATTGGATAACTGCTGTTCCATCTGGTGGTGTGTCAAACTGGGTCGTAAGTTAATCTTTTCAATTGAAATCTAAATTAGAAAATCAATAGAAAGTTTTGTAGCTTGGGAATCACGATAAACCAAGATTTGGATCACGATATGGAGTTGAGAGAATTGATGGAATGATGATGCTCCTTTTGACGTTGCCTGGCGTTGCTGTAACTTACAATGGAGATGAAATTGGAATGTTGGACTATCGAGATATTTCATGGGATATTACTTTAGATCCGCAAGCTTGTAATACAAATAATCCCAACGATTTTAAATGGGCGTCGAGGGATCCTGAACGAACACCTTTCCAGTGGGACGACACAGCTTATGCTGGTTTCAAAGACGCATCTGGTGAAGAACCTTGGCTTCCAGTTAATCCCAATTATCAAACACTCAACTTGAAACAACAACAAGAAGCGACGAAATCATTTTACAAGTTTTACCAGAAGCTTGCAGCATTTCGTAACCATTCAGTTTTCCAAAATGGAGACTTTGAGTCGAGAGCTTTCAACAATGAGGTTTTTGCTTATAAAAGATCTTATAATGGCGCATCCTTTGTAGTTCTTATTAATTTTGGCAACAATGCATATAGCTTGAACATCGACGAAATGAGTGCTGGTTTTTCAGCACAATCTCGAGTGGCTGTTGCTGGTTCGAGGTCGTCCTATGATGAAGGGTAAAAGATTCCCCAAAATATTTAATTAGATGAATTTTAATTTCTTTTCTGTATTTCACAGCGTCATTGTTGGAACCAACCTCTTTACTCTAAGAGAATACGATGCGGTTATACTGGAATATTATATTCAAGAAACCACAACTCTGCCAACACTACCCACACAACCGGCAACAACAACACCTTCAGACACAACTGAAACAACTACACCAACTGATAATGCAAACACAGTGATCGGAAGTTTGGCGTTGTTCTTGATAACATTCTTATTGCAACGAATGTTTTAATGAATATTCTTGAAAGATTTCGATGATTTGCAAAGCACAATCAATCAAATAAAAGAAAAAACTTTGCATAAACGATAAAATATTATTTAATTCTCTTACCAATAACATAAGAATATCCATCTAATGTCAAAACACATTTTCTAGTAGCACCGCTTGTAGCCAAAGGATAGCGAAGTGTTCGATTGGAAACATTTCGATTGGAAACAATTTTTCCCGGATCAGAGTGACATTTGTGGACCAAATCTTTGGTCTTGCCACTCTGATTAATGTCTTGTTCCGAATCATCTTCACTAGAATCACCCATGACTTTCGTCTATTGTTTCTTTACTTTTACAATGGACACAATCAACTTTATTAACTATGTCTCATAAATGAGACATTTATTTTCTCAAGTTCATCGTTTATGGTTCGAGAAGAAGTTTTTCCTTTCTTCTTTAATATAGCAACCAACTTTAATGTCTACTAAGTTCTGCTCGATTCAACTTAAGGGTCACATTTGTGTGTGTTAGTCAGAATAGTAATAACTCTTGAAACTTTATTCTTTGATCAATGATGATAATGAATGTACATTTAGTATTGAAAACATGAAGGCAAATGATGAGTTTAATACTTTTGTTAGTTAACAGTTGATGAGTAATACAAAACTTGTTAAATGCTTGGAAGCATCGAGTATAAATTAATTAAAAGTGATAAATGAAAGTTGATATGACAACTCGCAACGTGCTGATGCGATGTGAAAATTATTAAGCAAATAACTTTTGCTGTTTCGTTCATGCTTTAGAGGTTCACAAAATGCGGGAAGGAGAAGGAAAATCGATATTATGTTAGAAATATTTCGATTGATTGTCAGACGCATTATGAATATTTAGAGCTCTATACGATTATCGTAAAACTGAAGGAAATGGCGCAACAAGTTGATTGTTGTTTCGAGGTTTTTTCTCTCTTCTATTTTATGCTTCTTTTATTTTTATTATTTCTCATCTCAGCAAATGAATTTTGCTTCTCTCTAAGTTGACTTTTGATTCAATGAAGGAAAGAGCGAGGAATGTAATCGAAATAAATAAGAAACGAGACATTGTAAATTTTTGTATCTTTTCTGTGATGTTTGCTAATATTTCATTTGTTTATTATCAATATATAAATCCTGCTCATTCATTGAGTCTAACTTTACTGAATGAACGTTAATTAACGCTTTTATACCAAAGAAAATTAGCAATAAAAAACAAAATTTAGAAGTAGCAACAAGTATTTAAAATTTAAATGTCAAATTTAAATGCAGCAATTTATTAAAATACTTTTGATGTTAAAATACCTACGAAGACTTTTGAGATTAAAAAAGATAGAAAATTTAAATATTTTTTCAATGAATTAAATTTTGATGATGTAAAAATTAAGATGAAAAAGTTATTTTTACAAGCATTTATTTTGTTAAGTTTTGTCCAATCAGGAAATTTTTATTTCAGACGGAAAATAAACAAATTAAAATTTATTAAAAATTCTAATTTGTCTGAAGACTTCAGTGAGCATCAGAAAATGAGTTTTTTATAGTCGATTAGGTCTTCTAGCAGTATATTCAAAGCTGAACTCATTCAGAATGCATATAGCTTCGTATTTTATGCAAATTTATAAATATTAATATTGAAAGTTGATGACACAGAACATTTTTTAAAAAGTATTCTGGTTTTCATTGAATTATTTTTATAATTAGACGTGTAGTAGAAAAAATTACTTCACGTCTTTTCCTTCTCATGCATGCTTCTGCATGTTTTCATGAAAAGCAGAAGAAGCCTCAGGCTGAATTTTTATTATTTTATTAACAAAGAATTTTCAAAAGGTTGGCATTATTTTCAGGGGTTTTCATTTTCATTTCCTTCAAGTTGAGTTCTTATTATTTCCAAGAGTTTCACTTTCGTCGATACACAAACACAAAGTATAATTGGGATGAAAACGAGCATGAATTTTTAATTATTTTTACTTCTCTTCCTCGCTCACTTAATAATTAAACAAATGAACATTCACTCATTATGTTATCGACTCACTCGCGTATTTTTAGCGCACGAAATTCTCGAACTTTGTTGATTGATATGAATGTGGAATAAATTTCATATAATTTTACTTTAGGCCAAACAAATCGAAGCCATAAAGACAGCTTAAGTTGCTTATTTTATTAGCACTCACTTACGAATTGCGACAAAAGAGGTAGAAAAAAATTAAGTTTCATCCAATAAAAAAACCCGTTGAGTTGTCGAAGTCTCAGCAGCACTGACAAACTCTCAATGTTTCGATTAGCATCACTTTAGCTTCTGTTTACTTTGAGTCTGTATTGGCAAAAGACGAGTAATACCAATGAATATCTATCGATTGCGAACTTGAATTTGTTTTTAATTAAGTTGATGAGTTACAATCGACTTTGTAATATAAAATCACAAGTAAACTTCCAAAGACTTTGTCACTACAAATATAAATAAAGTTGAAGCTACGAGAAATTTTCAAGTCACTTGTTTTGTAAAATATTGTTTTACAATTTTGATTATTTTTGCATTCAGTTTGTATTCAAATTTTATTCATTGAATGTCATTTTCATGTGATGCCACATTGACGGGTAGTTCGTATTGATGCATCGTCATCATCATGAATTTAATTTTGTTTTGTCATTTATTTTATTTTATGTTCACCCCAGTAACTCTTTTATGACTGTTAAGTTATACTCCTACGCACCATTTCTTGCTGTTTTTCATCAAAGATGCTGATAAATAAGCATTTATGTTTATGGAAATATCACATTTATATTGTAATTGTATTTTTACACGTCTATAGCTCTTTCATTTATTTTTTCCTTCTGTTTTGGTCCAATTTGTTTAACAGAACTGACTTTTTCACATTTACTCGCGCACAAATGTGATAATTTCATCCATATGTGTCTCGACGAAATCTTTTATCTCTCTCTCGTATGTATGTCGCGCTTTGCCGTATGAATGAATTTTCTACACTCGTAAATTTATTTCCAATATTTTTTATTCACTTTCATCATAAAATGTGTTTTTTTTCTCAAATCAAATTAAAAGTCATTCCTTTCTATTATTTATTTTTCTTCCCGTCAAATTTGATTCTTAGTTGATTTAATTCGATTTGGTTTTCGCGCTTTCCACGCTATCCAAACAATTAATTTCTTCTCATCAAATATAGGCTCCCGAAACAAATCTCATACGAAGCGAAGTGTTAAATCGATAGATCGAACGAGAGCAAAAATATGTTAATTAATTCACCGAAAATCACATCAAGAGCGAGAAGAAAAAAAAACATAATCAGTCGCCAATCTACGTCAATAGATTCGTTTAGCGATATTTAATGACGTAACAGAAGCTTTCGCTATCATTGATAACGTATCGCAATTGAAACATTAAACTGATGGAATGATTTATCACATTTTTTCCATATCTTTTCACTCAATTATGACTTATCAGACTGACGACGAAAGCATTATGATTATGTATGCTCAAATGTTTGAATAACTTTATTTGAACATTGCCTTCATTTATGGATCCTTTTTGATGTTAGATCAATGTTATGTTCCGCAAACTCATTGCATATTTTTATAATGTTTTTGTTCTTATTCAATTGATTTTATAAAATATATCCACGCGTTTAACGGATATCGCGATAAATTAAGCATCAATTGTCCATTTGGCGGTTTTATTGAGTGTTTTTGTATACCGAATGCGAGCTGATAGTAAATCACCGTATCGAACCGATACACCAAATGGCTTATGTTGCTTAGTTGTCTTAAAGTGATTTCTGATCCCCGATACAAAGCGTCAAGAGAAAATAAAGCTTTTTGGCACGCGAATGAAACACAACTGTTCCTTATTTCATTCTTGAGCGTTGGAAAGCAGCATATTTTGCAAAGTATTTATACTTTTGTGGATAGAAGTCTCAACAAGAGCATGTTTGGTGAGTTCAAATGTTGTTTCGCTCAGAGAAATTTCCTCGATCAAGAGCGTAGCATTAATTTTGTCTTGATATTTGCACAATTTTTGTAAGAGAGAAGAGAATTTTTCTTTCGATGAAAATTATGCTCTGTAAAAGCGACCAAAACAAAACATTATTGCATACAGCTGGAGGATTCTTTTGCGAGAGAAAACTTTTCAGAGATTGAAAATGAAGTTGAAGAGAATTTGGTGAAAAACTTATCATCAACATTTGCAGTGATTAAAGTTCGAATTGTTCATATTGGGAGAAATGACTATTTTCTTTCAATTACAAATCGAGTAACGGAAACAGGAAAACACAATCATTAGCACTTTGACACAGCAGAAAGCTTTGAGTTCCCCTCCAGGGAAATTAAAAATTATTTATTTGCTTTTCTTCGTGACTTTTACGTCTTTATTGGTAAATATTCATTTATAGAACGAAGTTCATTATTTTGTTCATCACGCAACAAATATCACACTGACACACACATAAACATTTTGGTTGTTCATTAAAAGGTGAACAGCAAATTGTTTGCTTGCATGTTTATCAGAATTAAGATACAGGAAATTATTGTATTTTGATTGACTTGCACAATGAAAAATTAATGTTTAGTGTCGTTTTGTTTTCAGCACGAGAAAGTTAAATAAACTTTTAGAGTGTATTAGATGGGAATTTCCTTCAGATAAGAGCAGTCTTGAGTCATTATAAATTTCTTAATTTAAAAATATTTAATGTTTAACGAAATTTACCGACATAATGCTTTCACTTATCCTGGGACATGCCAGGTAACAATAAAATAGAAAGTACTTAAAAAATCAATATTGACCTTCAACATCTTTGATCATCGACTTTCCATTTAAGTCCCTTTTGGGAATCATCATTGCGGAATTTTTACGACTTTATAAATTGTTCTAAGTTGAAAGGAAAAAAGAAGACAACAAAAGAAAATGCTTTTGTCATCGCTGCTTTGATGAAAAGTTTTACGAGGTGAGTATATGGTCAGTTGAACGAAATGCTTTTGTTAAGCTTATCGGATAAGGAATTGAAGCGTAAGAAAGGATGTGAAGGTAATCTGTCAATTGCTTCCATCGTTCTGATGATCCAAACTACAATTTCGAATGTTCATCAAACGCAATCATTTTGAAATTTAGAAAAAAATTGAATCATTAGGTTGTTAACAACAATTCTAAATGATATTTGACGAATCAATCATTTTCAGCTAATATTATGAAGCAGAATCATTTTCATTTCATTCTTGTAAATTCAATTTTAATTTTATTTAATATCGTGATAGCTTAAAGCAAAAAAAGAAAGCGGTCAACAAAAACAAAACTCTGTTACTGATAGAATTGTGTTTTCATCGTTTTAATTTTCTCATTTTTCTTTTTCAATCGTGATAAAGTGTCGTCAAGATATTTTGCTTTTGGGCGATGAGCAAATATAAATTTGGCATACATCCCAAAGTCAAATCTGTAATTTTTTCATTTCTGAATCTGGTTTAATGTTTCACTCAATTTAATAAATAACAGCAATGAACTGATTTCACTGGTTTAAGATTCACTTTTCATAATTCGTTTTATGAACTTTTGCATTTGAATTGATGGTGTAAAGCGGCTAAAAATATCATGACCGTATCTCATCATAAGATTGAATTTACCGCAACATTAATCGTTTTATGCTCGTTTTGTTTGCTAACAAAATATTTACGAGGAATATGAAATGTAATGCCAAAGCATCAACAAAAATTTATAGCATTCAACACTCGATATTGAATTGAAGCTCGTAATGGCTAACAACGAATATTGCTGCCAACATCAATTAATTGTGATTGACGACAGCAAGTTTTCTCCCTCGAGAACATACTAAATATGTCACGATTCGAAGGCCCATTGCGCATATAATTAATGTTGGGTTGTGATTTCTTTTTACTTTGAAAAGGAATGAAATTTTATTGACAAGAAAATTTGAAATAAAATTTTAATTATGATTAAGAAAGAATATTCCGAATCAATCTCTATTTATTCTAATATTCAATTAATTTTTTTTGAAGTTTTTTTAAACAAACTTAGATTAGTCAAGAAGTAATGACAGATATGTGGATACATTTTCGATTAATATTTTATTTTTAAGATAACTTTGATTTATTACTTTTTAAAATATTATTTCTAAATACATTTGGACTCACCGTTTATTAGAATAAACAATTTTCAAGGAAATAATGTTCAACGTACCTGCAAAAAGAGAAATTAAAATAATATTAATTAAATAGCAAACATTTTGTAATTTAAATTATTCAACGGATAAAAGGGAAATGTAAAACCATACAAATGTTTGATGCTCAATTTCAACAGTTTTCATCGAATTTTCCAAATATGTTCATGTTTTTCCTTTTATCTCACCGAACGAAAGAATGAAGCAAGTTTCATCTGATACACAAAAGATTGAAATTCAATTGATTATGTTAACAAAATGAAATTTGCATCTTTTTAAGTCTCTTTCAATCAATTTTAAGCTATTTAATTTGCATTTTCATTCTCTTCACTCCTAAAATTGTTTGCTTCTTCAAAAAGCTTTCATTCTATATGCTTTATATTCGTGATAGTTCTGAATATTTCATTGAATATAATCTCTATTTATTTATTCGAACGATCCTGATGTTATAAAAATATTTCGAACACGATTTTATTTAACTGACTCTCTATAGGTTTTATTATTTATTTTAACAATAAGAAAAGTATACTTTTTGGATTAACATTTTTGTTTTGATTAAATATTTTCATGAAACAAAAGAGCCAATACAAGCTTCGTTCAATAACATATACGAATCAGTCGAGCACAAGATAAGAAAATAACTTGAAAACGATACGAAAACTCTTCGTGGAAATTCTGTTAGGGGAATTAAGGTTTTCATTTAATTCAGAGTGGATCAATTTTTGTCAATGGAAATAAACGGAGATAAGCGTTAGATTCTTTCTTAGAAACGTTGCTGTATTTCAAAGAATTTTTATGGAGTTTTTCAACCGTTCTACAGTTCAGTGTTCTCTCTAAAATCTCTTTTCTTTTATTTGAAATGTTGAGATCCTTAACTACAGCATGTGTCATCTCTTCAGACACCCAGTCGAAGCGTAAAAGGAATTCACAATAGGCGTTTAATGAAAAAAACGACGAGAAATGGTTTGAGCACGAGGAATTTTATGTTTAAGACGTGACAATAATATAGGAGATGGCTTTATTGCGTTATTTTTCATCTTCTGGATGGGAAAACCGGTCAAGTTGTGAAACGCATTCGTCAAAGTCCCGTTTCGATGCTTATCTGTATCCCCAACATAGGCAAATTCAAAAGCGAAAAAGAAAATTTGATTTCTTTTGGCCTCGTCTATCTCATTGAGTTGTCAACAATGAAAATCTCTTTTATGGTTTATGATTAAAATTTTGTGATTTTCATTCTTCGCTTCAATAACAAATGAAATTGATTTTGAGTCAGTTTCACAATGCGATCTTTGAATACATTCAAATGATGAAATGGACGAAGAAAATAAAAATTACTTTCATCATGTCGAGACTTTGAGAAGATTTATTTAGACAAAATCATTTTCATCTCAAGTGTTTTTTATTTTCTTTCTAAAAATAAAGATAATAATTGGTAGCTTTTATAAATAAAAGATTTCTAATTGAATCTCCCCTCAAGGTGATCCCATAATCAATAAAATCATGAAACGATAACTGACAGATTTGTAGATAAGTTCTTAAGACATGTTGGCAATAATTATTTCTGATTTTCAAGGTCGCATTCTTATTTAATTAAAATCATTTTCAAATGATTATTTATAGTCAACTAATTAGTTATTTATCTTTATCCCTAAGATTTTGATAACAAATAATCAAGGGAAATTATTCGCTTCCAAGAAAGTATCTCGCATTCGACAAAAACCAAATTAAGCTCTTCAAATAAAATTTCAATTAAATTCTCAAACTGAGTGAAAATATCAACTCAATGCTGGTTGGGTTTGTGATAAAAATAAATATTACAAACTAATTAGAACATCGCTTCCGATCTGATTTAATATAAAGAAATCCCTTATTAATTAGTTAAATGATAAAGTTTGTGATTAAATAAAATTTGGAAATATTCATTAACTTTTCTAAGGTTTTCATGCGAAAATATTCTTTGGACAATATTTGAAATGAAATCAATAGAAAAATAATCAAAGTGACGCAAGGCAACATGAGTAAAGCTTTCAACAACCTTTTGATACATTCAGAAATTTTTAAAGTCAGCTCTTAAACATTTTTGACAGCCAAAAGTTTGTTGAACTTCCAAAAAATCTTTGTTGTTATTGATGTGTTTATTACATACGTTCAAAATAAAAAAAAGATGTTACACAAGAGAATTTACAAGAGGGCAAAAATATCATAAAATATTATGCGGAACACTTTTTACACTTGAATAGACGTCAACAGAATTTTCCTTTAAAAGTTCATTGTAAATGGACTAAAAATACAAAATTGATGGTGTGAAAGATTAAATTTCTGTTTAAGCATAATTTCAGTTTAAGCTTACATTGTTCGTATTTTTTTATGAAAGCCTTTTCTTAGATTGCATAGAGGAAGCGTGTCAGGTTATTGCGAAAAGCTCTTTTCCACTTGCTCAAATAACATAGTAAAAGATGTCGAAGGGAAGTGATAAGGAGATAATGGGAATGTATATTGTTATGACGTCTCGTTAAAGCGGCAATTTCTTATGTGTTTACACTGCCGAAATAATAATGGACGTCTAATAGCATCAAAAAGTATCGAATTTAATTTATAATCAATATGATCCAAGAATGAATACCGGACGACTAAAGATATGTTTCCCCTTCCAAGTCGTCCTAAATTATTTCAATGAAAACTTGGAAAATTCCACTGCATTGGTTTTATGTTTTCCTTGAACATTTCAAGGTTCTTCCATACCTATCGTGTAAGTGAGTCCGTCAAGTTCAAATGTTGCACTTTGACATTTTCTAAGCATCTTCGTTTGTTGTGTGCTCGTTGACTTCACTCGACTGAACTGGTTATTTAATAATTCTTCCTGTTGCGACATTTTCCTCCTTAATTGATTTAAATATTTCACAAATATTTTTCGCAATTTTCAGCAATTATAAAAGCACTTTGAGTTTTAACATCCGTTTATTAATCTAATCGAGAATAATTCCTGCAATTTTAAAGATTTATGCGGCTTTAGCAAAATCCGCTAAATTTATTAAGAGACACGAAACAACGTTCAAGTGTTTATTTACCATTTTTTACCGAGACTTAAAGCATAGATTCTTCGCTAACTAAACAAGGAGCAGAAGGTTCTTGTGAATATCACGGGGGAAATTATATTTTACCACCTCTCGGGTTCTTAACGTCCTAGGTAAAGTATTTGTTGTATATTCAAGAATACCGCGTTGCTTATCATAAAAACATGCTTAACATTCTAATATTTCACAAAAATGGAGCAAGAAAAATAATAATAAGAACTTCAGAAGGGAAAAAAAGAAAATCCCCCCAAAACAATTTATGTTTTGAAACATCAAATTGAAATTGTCAAATTAGCATCATATTGATTTTCCACTTTTCTGTCTTTTATTTTACTTTGAATCTGAAAAAGTTCTGTTCTTCTTTATTTAATTCATAACAGCGAGTCTCTTAGCGTTTTAGATTCTTTAATTGAGTACTTTCATTACTTTCATTCTTTCAATAAAATTGGAAATTTTTAATGTTTATTAAATATTTCTCAAGACTTCGTTTTGAATGGATAACAACTTTAGGTGCGCTCGTTTTCGACCGCTTTGAGCATCGTTTTTGCAATGACAGTATCAATAACACGTAACGAGCCATCTTATTTCAATCTTAAGGAGGGAATAAAGTCATCATTTCAAGTAAGCAAATTTGATTTAAAATATATGTAAATCAGTTTTTTCTTATCTATTTAGCTTAGTATAGATGATGATGGAAAAGAAGGATTCAACTTGTCATCAAATGAGAGCAGATGAAAAATATTTTTTAAATTTAATTATCTATACGAAGTCAACAACGAATTTCGTCTTGTTATCTTCTTTCAAGTGGCTTTTATTTTTAATTCGAAAGAAAATAAGAAGGCGGACAAATAGAAGACCAAAAAACTGAATAATTTACAAGTCATTTTTAATGTATGTTGATTAACGAAGGATTTTTTTTTTCGATTCGAAAAGTCTGCTTCATGAAGTTAATTTATAATAATCAGTGTACAAATCTTTGTTTATGTAAACAAATCCAAAGCTTATTTTTATTTGATTAAATATTATTAATGAATCAACTAAGTAACTAACAAAATACTGTCGCAAGTCAATCTGTGTCTGACTATTAATTTCTATACAAATACAATTCCCTTTGTCACCTTCACTTCCATTTTCAATCCCATATGGAAAACAAACACATAGCACATAAATTTGCTGAAGCAGCTAAAGTGCGCTCGACTTTCACGTGACTTTGCAGGAAAACTAATTTTTTTCCACCATCGAATGCTTTTGGAAAAAAAGATTTCCTTTTTGTAACAATTGATGATATGGGAGTTTTAGCTTTACGTGACGGTATTGAACACTTAGCATATAATTCGACACTGAAAATGAAGTCAACATTTGGTATGTTTCGTTATAAAAGCGAATTTTTTTTCTCTTGAAACTCTCCGGTTATCATGGCGATACAACAACATAACTGAAAACATTTTTGGTGTCGTGAAAAATATTTTCGTGTGATTTCTCTCATTTCCTCTCTCTCTCTTATTAATGCGCTTTAATAAGTCGATTTTCAACGATACAATATTATTTTCATTCAGCTCAATTTCTAAATCCATCGAGTGCTATTATCATTTCCGAAACAACTGATTCACACACTTTTCAACGACTACTAAATGAGAAACTTGAAACATTTTCAACACGCGAATAATTAAAAGAATACAGAAATGACTGAATCAACAATGAGTCTTAATTTTCCCTTGATACTTCCCGAAGCTTTCCTTTTAAATTCTTTTGTTTATTTATTTTTTTAACGCATCTGCTTTTATAAGGAAAAGTTTCGTTTAATCAAACACATTGAAGAAACAATGAACTGAAATAGGTAGTTTGTCTTTTATCGAAACGAGAAGAATATTGTAAAAATGCCTAAAGAAAGAAGAAACTATATAAACTTATTTATTTATTAAGTCTTTTGAAATTGTTGAAAAATTTAATTAAAAGTTGTAACAATGAAACCATGCAAATGTGTACTTTTCAAAACATTTGAAGGGCTTTCAGGAAGGCAACAAGTAACTTTTAATGTTCAATTTCTTGTCTTTTTTTCCGATCTCTATCCTTTAAGAAATTCCGTGGTGAATCATTGTTAAAATATTTCGTGTCGTTTCAAAAACGTGACGAAAATAAAAATAAATAAATAATTTTTAAAATCAATATTCTCATGTTTAAGTAAGAATGCGAAAATTTGTCAAAGTTTTCAATACGACAGCGAAGAAGAAATCGATTTTTTATCACATTAAGAAATCCCTCACATCAATGAATGTTCAAATTGCATGAGCATCGAGCTGTTCATATCTTTCCTTCTCTCTTACTTTTTCTGTATCTCATCCTTTTCTTTACCACGTCTTGTCATCGTTTCACAGTTGAAGTATTGGATATAATAGAAAAAAAGAGTAAGCGAATCTCCTCGAAGAGATTTGTACGTAAAGAACTTATAAATGTAAGAATGTTAGTTAATTTATGGATTTCCTGTTTACGAAAAACTTCAGTTCAGGGAGATGACTGATCACTGGAGTGAACTTTACATGTATATCTAGGTGAAAATCGATGAAGAAGGATTAAATGTGATAGCATAATGTTCAACATGAAAAACTTGAACGTGATTTATTCAATGTTTATATAAGGATTTTACTAAGCCAATAAACTGATAAATATTACAAGACTGGAAATATTATTTTGAACAAGTTGCTTGCTTACCTGTTGCAAGGGCTTAAAACTTTCAAGCAAGTATCTACTTAAATATTTCCTCAATATTTATTTCATTAACATCATGTTAAAATGTATTCTTTTTATGTCTGTCTAATCTTTTGATATCCATAAATTACGGTTTCAATAACTCAATCCATAATTACAGAATTTTATTATTTCAAATGACAAATCATAAATTATTAAGTATCAAGTTATGTTCACTGTTATTATTTATCAAGAGTTTAATGAATGTTAAATCAAAGTTAAGAGGCAAAGCCAATCATTTGCTAGATCAATATTCAAATTCAATTCAGAAGATATTAAGCTGGATTTGTACTTCCTACATTCATAGAAAATTACTGTGAACATTTTTATTCTCTTTTCCTTCATGGAAACAATCAAATTCCGTAGCGATAGTGAACAGAAGCAGATTTCCCTTGAGCAACAGGTTACACGAAAACTTTGAAAATAGGAAAAAGAAAAATAAATTTTCAATCAATATTGAATATACATACAGACTGCTTACAATCGATTTCCTGATATATTCTAACTTTATGGCGTAAAAATAGCGATAATAAAAACATAAAACGGATAAAGTTTTTCTTTTTCGTATAAAGAAGAAAACATATTAAGCAGTTTATATGCTTCATAAAACTACTATGATTATTGCATCAGGTGCTTTCGCTTTATTAAAATTTTCTTTATTTTTTATGACTTTCATCAGGAATCTATCTGATGAAAATAATTTCAGTTTATGGCTCTCATTTCTCCTCTAATCAGATGAAGAACAATTTCAAGTTTCTTGTTAAAGCACTGATGCTGTCCTTTGAATTATTCGTCGTTCACATGCCATTTCATAGCTTTATGAAACAATTTTCTTACGCTTGCTTTATTTAATAAATTGATTCGGAAACCTTTTTGTCGGCCTATGAACTGAGAAGTGTACGTGATGTGGAATTTAATGAATGTATCTTTCATGTTTCAATCTCGCACTAAAATATTTAATAAGCCGTGTAAATAAGGTAGAACCGGATTTCAGATTCCAAAATAGACTAATGCAAGTTCATTGGAAGCCTTTTCGGTTTTTAGCGGTGAAGATGGAGAAGGAAATGTTTTTGGAACTACATCATCATGATTTACGAGATAGTGACACGTTTACGACCCTGAGCGTCTGGAGTGTTACGAGAAATACAGAAAATTTATTGTATTTTGTAATCGAGTTGTTTAGTTTAATTAATCGATTTTAAACCTCTTCGTTTCAATACAATAATTACAATAAGAGAAAAAATTAAAAAGGAAAACGAAACGTTTCTTAAGAAAAGTTTTAATAATTGAAATTTGTAGGTAAACCACATGAAACTGACCGCGTTAAAATAAACAAACGATGAATGGGCAAAGTGAAGCGTGTAGGAATTCTATGTTGAGTGTATGTGCGAGCTATTGAAGTTATGTAAACATCGATCTTTTCACAGTAGAGAAAAAGCAACGAACTTGTCAGTAATCCAAAGTAAATTATAAAATGGTTATATTTACATTTGAAAAAGGGTAAACATGACCAAGCAAATATCATATCGTGATTTAGTGACTTCGTGAACGAAAAAAATTGATAAAGGTTCAAATATTCATGTTCTTACAGGTGTTGTATTACACCTACGCAAGGGACAGTTGGGTTATGACATCAAGTATTGGTTGGCAGTAGCTTTGAAAATAATAAAAGAGTCTGAATAACTACTTAGACATTAAGAAAATGAAATCCCACCCCCGCTGACCTTAATCCACCAATTTCTCTCAAAGCTTTAGAAAGAAAATGAGAAAATCATCATAAAGATTTAGGATAATGTCTTGAAACGATTCCAAGCGAAAGGCATTATGACAAAAATTATTTTGTGGTGAATTAACATAAAGATGAGTGATTTGTCATGAATAATTTTCCCATCAGCAGTTCTTTCCTCATCATCATAAATCTTAAGTCGAGTTGAGCAAACATTTTCCACTTAATTAAGACAAAACGAAGTTAAAAACGTGTTCAGAGATTTATTTAATCTTATTTTCATGCTTGTAACAATTTTTTTTATTTTTCATTTGCAGTCGTAAAACTTTTTGTTCAACAACAAATTCAAAAAATTAATTGAAAAAAGAGCAAAAAGTATTTAATGTGATAATGAAATGTACGAGTTTTCGATAAAGTTTTATGATTTTCTTCTTCTGGTTGGATTGAATTTAAGGATTTTATCGTCTGTTGTGGGAGATTTTTTACGATATTCTCGTAACAATTGAAAGAAAGTGATTCAAATGTATCAAAAGAACTTTGTAAGTTTTTCCATATCATCTCAGATGTTAAGCGTGAAGAAACATCAAAACTTTTGACATCCATTCAACGCCTTTCATGAAATTCTTTAAATACGTACAAAAGCTCGGCGACATTTTTAACTTCTTCTTTACTCTTCATTTTAAACCCAAAATTTTTCTTCTCTTGTCAGCGTAATTAACACTTTATGAACTTTTCTTCCTTTCTTTTATTTCCGTACGAGCATGAACTTTAGATTAATGCTTTGAGTGCCTTTACAGCATTCTTCATTAAACTTTCATTTTTCAGACGATATACGAAGTATGGTTCTAAGTGCGTGAAAGTCAAAATAACTCAAGATGAACTCACAATGTAACAAATGAATCTCGTGAATGTTATGTTGTTCTTATGTTGACGTCAGGTAATCCTACACGAGCTTCGTTGTGATGCGTAGATTAATTATGTAGTGTATTCAATTTTTCACTTTTATAACCTTTTCTGAGTTGAATAATTAATTAAATTTTTTCTGCTTCTTTATTTTTTGAACTGTCATTCATAACAGTGGTGTTTGTCATTGCTTTCTAAATTAATCTGGTACACCAAAAATGAGACTTTAAATATTAAATTTTTGAACAAATACACGCACTGAAGAAGGAAAAGGATTTTCTCATCACAAGATTAATTAAAGTTTTATATTTTTTTACATACAAAACCAATCTATTTACTCAAGGCGTTAACAAACTCTTCACAAGACAGCTGATGGTGAAAGACTAAAATTTTTCATATTCCTTACTATTTTTATTTTTCTTCTCGTTCAATTTTTTAAGAAAAGTACTCTTGTCGGCGTACGAAATAATTCTGGTCGAGTTCTTTCGCTCGAGAAAGCATGAAAGCACTCGGCTGTTTTCCTTTCTTCGAGAGAACAGAGTGAAAGCATTTTTCTTTTTTCGCTTTACACATGCGCTCTTTCATTACGAGAGAAGTTTGTTAAAGAAAAATCTTTTTAATTCAAACGATTTCTGGTGAGCGATTGACAAGTTAAGTAGAGAAAAATTGTGAATGAGAGTCGAAGAAAAACATGGCTTTGATATGTTTGTAGTTATATTCAGTAATCAAATACATTGCGACACTTTCTTTTACGAATCATTTTAATATAAAATTCATCAACATCCTCAATAAACATTCCAAGCACACAATGTTAAAAGATTTATACAGCAAATTTAAGATTTGTAGGCTATCAAAAAGTTTTTCTTTATTAAACACGAACTAAAATAAAAAGTATGGAAAGTAATGCTTTATCCCACTCGTTTGTGCTTTTAGGTGAACGAAATTTAATATACGGTTAGATATACTTCAATTCACAATGGAAAAGAATACATTTCTCTCTCAATTCTTGCAATTTAGCTTTCCGCATGCCAGAGAAAAGGATCTTTGGTCTTGAAATAACCGTACGATAATGTTTTTTTTAAATCATATATCTGCTCGGCTTTCAATTTCATGAAATTATTATGCCCACTTACGGCTCGTTATGTTGCTGTTGGGATAATATAAAAGGTTGGCCTTATTCAGATTTCAATAAATATTTTATTATAATTTAGCTATCCCGCTCTGAAACTTAACAATTCACCTACCCTAAACGACCACTTTTAACAAATTCATTGTTCAAATGGATCTTAGAAGCTTTAGAAAGTTTTTAAAAGAAAACTTGGATTGCGAGAGATTACTTCTTAACTTTCAAAAGGAACTCAATCCCAAAAAGAAAATTGCTAATTCTGAGGGAGAGAAGCCTCGAGCAAATCTTTAACTTTGAAATGCTTTATCTGCTCACTCAAATTCTGAGGAATCAATAAATCAGAAAATTGAAGCTTCAAAAATAAACTTGATTGAGAGTCGAAAGAAGAAAAAACCTTGAACGATACGAGATTAGTTATTTTTGGATTGTGGTCGATTCACCTTTAGAATAGAGGAAGGCAAACAATAAATATCCAAGTGAAAAAGATTACTTTTAATGAAAATTAATTTCATAAATCTATACGCATGAATCGTCATGCCATATGCGTTGATCATGAGTCGACATAAACATTTTTTTCTTCCTTCTTCATTTCATTTCCTTATTTATTGATTTATGATTAAAAGAGATTAAATATCATTAGTGGCCCAAAATATTTATTGCTTCATAAATAGATTTTAAGGTTTCCAAAGTTGGAATGTCTGTTCATTTTGTAATTAAAATTTCTGGTCACTTTTTTGGGGTTTATGCTGAAAATTTAATTTTGATAATTTTTGTATGATGGTAGCACATTTTTCAGTGACCATTTTGATGATAATTTTATTTTTTATCGTCGTAATTTTAACTTTTTAACTTGGTTTAGATCTACATGCTTCCCTCTGCGATACTCATTCACTTATTGTGTAGTAAATTTTAAAGTTCCCATAATAAATCGAGCTTCTTATAAATATATAATGACACGTGATTTATTATGAGAAGCAACTAAATTCACGGTATATAAATAGAAGAAAAAACATGAGCATTACAACATTCTATTGTCAAGTCTTTTTCCTACAGAAAGGAAAACATGTGATGAAAGAATTTTCCATTTTCTTGTCGTGTTCATTTAGCGTATATGAGATTTCTATTGTCATAACAACCGTGTAAAGGAATATCATTGAAAAATATAACAATCCTTACTCTATGACGTTGTTGTCATAGTTATCTTTGGTAATATTGTTGCTTGTTGTAAAATCTAAAAACAATATTGAGATCTCGATGATAGAGAGATCTTCACAAATAATTCTCGTTCAACATTTTTTTAACAACTCTTCTCATAAAATTTCCAAACAACATTAGAAAAATATCTTTCAAAGGCATATGAAATTATTTTCATTTTGATAAAATTTGATATTCAAGTATACACGATTGGCTTGTGGCATATAAAGAACTGAGCACGTTTTTAAACTAAAAATTTTTTGCAAAGGATTTCTTTTTTGAATAAGTTCGCTTTAAGGGGAATCAAGAAGTTGTCACAATGTAAGCACGTTACGATAACAATCTTGAGAATTTCCTTTAAGTTAGACAATCTCAATGATGGTAGCATTCACTCACCTTCGTGCTTTATCTCAACTAAATTAAGTTGCTCTAGTGAACTTCTTTTATCCTGCAATTAAAAAGAAAAACAAAGTAATAATGTTTAGATAGAAGAGGAATAAAAAGAAACGAGAGTTCGTCTTAATTATTTGTCTTTCTTAAATAAGTAAGAAGAATGATAGAAAAGAAATGGCTAATGTGCTTTTTTAATGAAATCTTTATGAACTCTTACATATGTTTGTATGTTTGTACATTTCCACAAAAAATAAAAGCAACAGAAAAAGCTTTGAATGGCCGAGAATAATTTCATGCGACAAAGTAGGGTAGTAAAAACGCCAGAAACATAAAAGTTATAATAACATGATTAACATGGAAAAGGGAAAGAGAGAAAAGTGATCCCCGAGTACATATATGCAACCCTTTAATATTTTTACAGAAAAAATACAACATTAAAGAATAACAACTCCATAATTTACATGCTTTTATGTTGATATCTGAGTAAGTATTTACGTTAGCATAAACGAACAAGATTTCCTGAAAATGTTTGGCTCATGTTTAATTTTGCGAAATCACTCAAAGAAAAAGCAGAATTTACACATCAAAAGAAGAAAGAGATTCAGAGGAAAGCGATAACATTTACAAGTTTTTTGAGAAAGCTTTTGAAGGAAAGAAATCGTTGAAGATAACAAATAGTTTTGAAAAGCGACTACAATTGATTTCATATCAAAGAGACTGAGAAGCAACCATGAGAAAATATGTTTATCTTGAAATGTTTAAAAGTAGAAAACTTACAGCAAGCTTATACACGCTATCATCTGACTGACTGTTAGTGATTGGAAATCTCCAAATTCCTGAGTGAAAGTTTTCCAAAATGATATCGTGGTGAGAATGGAAACGAATGAGAACTTTCTTTATCAAATCTTTAACCCTCTAGCCTACCTCGTTTCCTGTTCAGTGATTTTGGTAAGCATGCTGTACATTGTGCTGCGATATCAGTTGAAGGATGGCAAATCACAGTCCCCATCGAGACAGCAACAGCAATGCCAAAAAGATAATCTTGTAATCTGTAAAAGAAAAAAAATCTAATAAATTACTTAAGTCAATTAAACGTTCCGCTTTATCTGTTAACAACTGAACATTGCTTTAATGTTTTCTACATCTTTAAATCTACAATCAAACAGTGTTATGGATCGTCAAAGCCAAAGAAAAGAAAGAATTGCTTAGAAGAATCTTTTACTGAGCAGCCATTAAAGGAAAGAAGAAAATTATGTGCCAAAAACACTCAAAAATTAAGAAACAAGGCCGAGGCAAATGTTTTATTTAGTGAATGATAAATTTATATGCTGCAATTAATAACAAAAGGAAAACGGTCGGAAATCTTTCGGAATTATCATTGCGTTTAGATTGCGCAATGAATTTTAACGACTTTGGGAGTGTTGGTTAAATTACTTTCAGCAATATTTCGTGGTTTAGATGAAAAAGTTGCAAATCTTTCTTCTTATCATATCCGTAAATCGTGGGCTATTCATAAGGGAGGTTGAATAATTTTAACAAGAGTATTGAAGATTCACTTTCTTTCGAGAATGTCTTGTCATCTTTGATCGTCCCAAAAGCTCAGATTTTTGATAAGGGAAAATGGATGCCAATGGATTTAGGACGACAAATCTGTGAGTCGTAAAGGCAAAAAGTCTTTCAATTATGCAAGCAAAATATCTTTAAGAAAAAACGAAAATTAATTCAAATTAAGGAAAGCAGTTCAAAGATGTATTTAAATAATCTGATTGGTTTTCATCAAAGTTTATTTGTTGTCATCCTTTATTCAATTTAAATTGAAACAATAATTTAAAGGTTTATTTAAAAGGTGTTTGGAAATTGAAATACATTTGCAGAATTTATTCGACATCTTGAAAGTATTTTATGCTTTCATTATTGCAGCAATTGATTTTACGACAAATAAATATTTTTTTCATTTTACTGAATTATTTAACTGCAGAATTATTGCACGTCGGAGTTGAGGAAGAAATTTTAATACAATTGAATATGTCACTGTCAGCGTCTAAGTATTTAATCAACAATCCACTGTGCATTTTAATTTAAAAACATCAACTTATTGCTTCCAAGAGTTTCTTAATAAAACTTTTTAAAATTTCTCATCATTTGCATATTTGAATAGCAGAAGATTTCCTAAATAACCAACTTAAGTATGCCACATTAATCAGTTCACATCAGCAGCTTATTTATTAGATACAAATTTCAAGTTTTCCCCTTAAACTCATCACATACTAGATATGAGCTTCATGTGATGTTGTTTAACTCTTAGTTATCTTCACTTTGCTAACGACGACAAGTGCTAATTAATTTTTCTTGTTCATAAAGACTTTCAATGTTATACACAATCAATTGTAGTCTGCAAAGTTTGCAATTAATATGACACTTATTCAAATCATCGCCTCAACGGATCATGTTTGCTACTTCTATTTGATATTTATATGCAGTTTTGAATGGAATGGATAAACGAGTTATAAATTCAAAACGTCTGCATAATAACGTTGATGTCATTAATTCGAGTTGGATTTTATAAAAATTAAAAATGAATGAATAGTAACTTTGAAGATCTTATTACAATATCAGAGATACTTACGAATGAAAGTGTGAAAGAAGATGCAAGAGAAGTGAATGACGTGAATTTTTTTATGCAAACATTGAAGTATCTGTTACATGTTCAACCATGAGTCATAAGTCGAGGATTCTTCATTTCTCAAAAGTGTCAAGGAAACATTTGAAAGACTTTTAATGGTGACGCTTTTAAGATGTTTGATAAAACATTTTAAGTGTTACATGAAAACTGCAGTTGATTGAATACATAATAAAGTTCTTGTTAAATTCTTGACATCATGGAGCACTCACAAAAAAACCTTCTCATGGTTAACTATCGTTAATGTTTATTTATTCTGTTTGCTTCATAGATCCGAATCCAACAACTTGTCGCGACGATGTGAATTGTCATATTAAAAATTCAATACACCACCCAACATGTTTCATTGAAGCGATCATTTGAGGAATGAAGACAGAGTGTAAAGTAACTTCAATGAATCGTGTACGTAATCCACATATCGTCATGTATTATATACGCTATCTGGTCGCATCTTACTTCATAAATAACTCGTTTTTACATGCCATCTCAATGATTTCCAATATACGTGCCGCTTAAGGAAATTGAAAATAATCTCCACTACAATAAAAAATATTGAACATTTTTCAATGTTAAGTGCATTGGTTGCGTAATCGGATTCAAATTGTCACACGTAATCATATTTAGATCACGTATGATAATAAATATAAAGAGTAATTGTTTCTTGTTCTTAAGCTAATTTATTTTATTTAATCGCAAACTTAAAGCATACAAATTACCTTCAATTAACTTTTAAACACTTATTATTAATAAAATTTAACGAAAAGCTGCGTGACAATTTTTCGAAATAAGTCCCGAGAAACTCCAATTAAATGATGATTTAGAGCTTGATAATGTTCATTTTTGTTTGGTTCTTGCTTGCATACATTCAGTCGAAGCATAACATAAAAAATCAAAATGTCAATGAAATCGAGTTCATTGATTTTCTCGTGACATAGTATAATTATTATTATGGAAGTAAAGCTCGTGATAAATCTTATATTTGATCTTGAGGATTCTTATTATTTTTGTTGTTGAAAAGGCCCTTGGGGTCTTTGGACTTGTTTATAAGTACACAACCTTTTTATGTTGTGCAGTTCTCTTCTTTTTCTCCATTTTTTCCTCTCTCGAAACAAGAAAACTTTCAAGAATTTTCTCAATGCTTTCACAACAATGTGAAACTGCAGATGTCTCAGGTCAAACATCTACGTCATTATGTGTCATGACGGGGTTTATTTGAAGAGCAGTTTTATAAAGGGCAAACATTTAGCACAACATATTTTCTGGGCAATGCGAGAAATCACAAGAACAAGAAGTTAAATACGTCTAGTTGAAGAAGGTCTAAAGATCACAATTCTTTCTGTTAATATTAAAAACCTTTTTATGAAAAGAAATATGTCCAAATGTAAATATTTGTCAAGATATATTTGAGATGCCTTAAAGAGAAAATGCTTCTTTAAAGATCTTTATTGTATATTTTAATAAAAACTTTTACGAAGTAGGAGAAAGGAAGGAAAAGTAATTCACAAGGTTTTCTTTCTTTACTTTATATTCACAAGATGACTTCTAATTGTCCAGAGATTCTCGACATCCTTGAACATTCTAGATAAGTAAAAGTTCAGGAAAATAACAATTGATGTCAAATTTCGGAGCAGCTTTAAGTATGATAAGTGAAAATTTTGAGGGTTATTTAAGTACTAGAATTTAGTAGAACTAAGTAGAACTAATTGAAATTTCCTTTAGTTACAAGCCCCGGTCAGAAAATTTATATTTTTATTCATGCAATGAATAAATATCCACATCGAACATAAATTCCCTCATAAGTATTTTCCTCGATTTACTTTTATACTTGAATTATTTTTTAATAAAACCCCACACTGGAAATACATACTTTCAATTCAAGAGTTAGAAGAGAATCTTTCTTATACTCAAGAGTAAAGTGTAGAGTTGAATGTTTTTCAACTCAAATAAATCATTTTTCCTTCATCCTTTTTACACTTGTAAGTGATTCATTGTTTTCATCACCATCCAATTAAAAAACAATTCATCAGCATTTATTTGAGAATAGCGTTTTTATCACGTACAAAATCTTGATGTTTTCTTTACTCTAAATAAACAAAGGGTGTAACTCGTGAGATGACAAGATGCGTATTTAATGAGAAGCGGGAAGAGTACATTTATAAAAATAAAGTGAGCTTTCTCTCAAACAAAGTAAAGACAAGAAACGGAAGTAGAACAAACAAGGCTTCGGGAATCTTTCCAGGTGCTTGTCAATCTTAAATAAAGAAAAGAAACTTCTGCTACAGACTTTTAATTCAATTTCCTCAGCATAGTTTCCTTTGATAAAAAAGAAAAATATTCCAACAACATTAAAGAGATGAAGAAAAATAAATAATAAAGAGATTCAGAATTTCATTTCAACTAACCACAGGGGAATCACCTGAATAGAACAGCTTTTGATTGATATTTATTTATGGTCGTTTTTTCATCACGTTTCAGACGCAAACTGTGAATTCATTTGTCACATAGTTTACGAGCGTCTTTCAACGATGCTTTTAGTGGATAGAAGACGAGCTTTTTATGTATAATATTATTTTCTTCATCTTCACTAATACTAATTAAGAACAGCAAATGTACAGACTCATAATTAAATCTCGTTTATATTCAGCGGTCTTTGAAGAATCTGGCTAAAAGAATCAAGTTGGTTAGCTCAGTGACATTTTCAATTAGTTTAATTGAACCTCTGTGTCGGTTGAAATTTTCCCATAAAGATACTGCTGTGTTAAATCACGATAAAAGGCTTTAATGCTAATGTCATGAAATTAAATGCAATCTTTAAATGTTTGAAAATATTAAATCGCAAATTGTTTAACTAGTTTCAAACAGTTTATTAATTTATCATTATCGACACGAAATATATATCATGAAACATGAAATAAAAGCTTCATTTAGCAAAACGTTTGGCTATTTCAGGTTTATCATAAATTCTCAAACCATTTTGATATTCTTTAAAAGCAATGACGCACTGAAAATTTGCTACACATCAATTAGCGATGGTTGAGTTATAAAATGTATGCAACAAACAAAACTTTTCTCATTCCTTCATTTCTGTTAATTGCTCGAAAAAAAACTGGATGAGATTAAATTACATTTGGAAGCATCGCGTACATTTTTTCTGTATTTTCACCTTTATTTGTGCAGACCTCAAATTACAAATTACTCGCAAGCGTACAATTGAAAGTCTCCAAAGCTTCAATGTTCGCACCTTTCAAACTTGATTCCATTTGAGCATTTTCAGGCATTTGATGTTCATTAAATTACTTTATAATTAAAATAATTGCTTAACTTTGTTTGCTTCTTCATCTTCTTCTGAAAGTCCAAATTGTATGAAAATATTTCCAGACTACAGAAAAGTTTTCCTGAATAATAAATTTCAGACTTCAAATCATTACATGAACATGTAATGTTGAATAATGGAAAACTTTCTTGATAAATTTTCAAAATCAAAGTCATCGTTCCTTAAGTTATTGATTTCTACATCGTTCTTGACTCAACATACTTTTGATAAAGCTTTTGATTATCCTTCAAGTGGATCTTTATTGAAATATTTGTTTCATGCATAAGTAAGCAGCCAAAAGCAAGGAAGAGGCAACATTCCTCAATAAATATTCATCAAGTTTTTCGATCTATATAAATGAATATCGATCGTTACTCATTATACAACAACCTTCATTTACATATTTTACATTGGATTGATTGGAATTTTTGATTGCATTAATTTAGTTGAGAATCTTCAATTCACAAGAAAATATTTAAAGCTTCATTTCAAGATGAATCTTTAGATGTTCACCCTTTATGGTGATCCGGAAAATTACCCCAAAATTCTTTTAAATGCTTCTGGCTCAATTACAACTCGAAATTCTGCAATGTTTGATCGGGCAAATATGTAAGCTGACTTAATATTTAATTCAATTTAATTCTCTTTTTATATTTTTGGACACACAAACATTCTCAAATTTCATATTATATGTGGATGCAGTAGTTGTCCCTTAAGCTATTTAAAATAAATTATGTTTTGACATGTTGATAAAAAAAGTTCGTCTTGGGGTTTAACGTTGTTCATATTTGCTCAATGAATTGATTTCTGTTGTTCTTGTTTGTTTATTTATTTTTTAATCATTGCTTAAATCCCTGCTGTGATTGTTATACAGTAAAATCTCGATAAACAACAAATAAAGTTCATGAAGCTAATTAGTTTCACATTAACAATCTGTCAACTTTCAATACTTACGGGAAATTCAACAAAAGAGAAAAGAAGTTGATTGAATTTGGGAATTAATTTTCGTCGAAAATTCTGACGGAACAAATTCGCAACATAATTAATTTAAAGTGACTAAACATACAAAACGATCCCGACCTAACAAGAAGTCTCATGTGATTTTATCACATGTAATTTGTTTCTTCGTCATTCTTAAATCGTGTTAAAAACTTTTTCTTTTTCCTCCTTTTGCAAAAGACTTTTCATTCATTCAAAAGTTAAATTGTTTTCGTTCATGATAAATTGATTTGTTTCGCATTCGTTTTATGGTAAAATTACTGTCGGATCTTTCTTGCAATTTATTATATATCTGTTTTCGTATTTCTTTAACTTGAGAAATCTTCATAATCATCGGTTAGTTTGAAAAGAGACTCATATGTTTATCTGACAGAATATTTTCAATAACTCATTTATCACTTACCCGAGCGGCACAAAAGGCGATGTCTCTCACAAATCTGGCATACGAGTATCGTCTCCATTTAAATGGGAAGGCTTTCCTTTAGAATCCGCCATATGAAAGACATTTGGCTAAAAACTACTGGCTATCGCCTAATTCTATCACCTTAAGTTAGTTATGTGTTGGACTAGTGAAGAATTTCTTAAGCTGCCTAATGGTAGCCTTATTTAGAGTTAATGGCATGTGGGGAAGCACCATAGCGTCAACTGTTAGTGGTAAATTGATACTTCGGTGATTTTCGCTGATTTCTGAAGGAAAAGCCAAAGGAAGTGCCAACTAAAAATCGTCGTAGTGCAAACGTATGACTCCGGCACGGCGAGTGTGTGCCGCTCGGGTTAGTGCTCTACAAAACGCTCCAAGCAGCTAGAGGAGAAGTTAATGCAGCGTATGTCGTTAGTGAAATTTATGGCATTAATATCACCAATGTGTGTTTACAGTGCTTTTATTTTCATAAGTTGAGTTTATTGAGACATTTCTCATCATACATGAAACTGACTGTGAAGTATTCTCGTTTCCAACAATAATCTCAAGCAAGAATGCATTGCCGCCTTAAGTTTCGCTTCTAAAAGTTCATTTCGTGAACTTTTATGTTGAAGATTGATATGCCGACATTGACATTTCCATTTTACACAAAATCATTGCAGATTAAAATTAATAAGAATTGTAAGTTATGTAAGTAAATTCACAACGAACCATAATTCATTAAAAACAAAACATTTTTCTTTCTTTTTTGTGGCGTGTTACAATCCAATTATTTTGTCAGTTAAGCAGACGTTGAAAAGTCACGAAAATTTGATTTCATTTTTTATGAATACAAGAATACGTCAGGTGGGAAAGTTCAATATGCAAATAACCTTTGATTGAGTTTTTGTGGTGCATTTAATAACGATAGCAAACTCATTGCAACTCATAAATTGATTGATTATTTTTACGTCAATTATTCTGATAACAATATTCAATATTGTAATAATAATTGATCATTATGGAGAATTACCAAGAACAAGCACTAAAAGATAATGAAAGTAATTTGTATTTTTGCACCAACAACTCTCTTAAACCTTATTAAGTCTTATTGCTGATGCTTTTTAAGTTGATAACAAAATACATAATTGAATGAGAAAAAAACATGCCTTGCAATTAAATTAAATTATGCATAATTAGGAAAGTTTGTTAATAAGAATTTTAGAAATGAAAAATATTCAAATTCGTCATCGTAAATTTGCATAAAATTAATGAACCATGAAATCAATGATGAGACTAAATAGCGATGCTGTGAAGAATCAACTTAAGTTTAGTTTTTTTAATAAAACGTTCAGGTTTAAAATAGTGTAGGTCAGGATTCTCAACATCAGACGAATGAAGCATCAATTTGAGTTCATTTGAATATTTATTGCTTTAGTCATGCCACAGAAGCCTACGCCTTCCTGTTTACCATCAACGTCAGCTAAAGAATTCACTTTGAAATCAATTTCCCGCTTGTCGTTAATTTTATTCCTTCAAGTACGTAAAACTCTTATCAGTCATGGAAATCAGGGGAATGTCTTCAAGGCGTCATTGTAAGCTTCACTTCTTAAATATTTTATCAATTAATCGACATTCTTCGTTCACATTTCTCTTCTCCATTCATCCTATTCAACATGTTCAAAAGTGATTTCTTTCCCATTATTGAGATATCAATTGAGATTTTTTCAGCATTTTTTATCGATTCTTGGTAGGTTTTTATGTGTGTCTTATTCGCATATTTTGACGTTCCTTAAGGTAATGTGAAGCGCCATGTAAAGCGTTAATAATTAGGAGCTGGTAAAAAGCAAAGAACGAGAGGAAAAGTCGACAAGCGCAGATGATAAATTCTGATTGATGTTTATTGACATCGCTGTTTGCCAGCATAATTGCCATAAAGCATAAGACGCTGGTGTAAATTGTCAAAGATGTTTATTGCTGATCTTCCTTCGCCAGACGCCACCGTTTGATTACACTCTAAGGCTTAGCCTTTTCCTACGGTCGATTAATTTTTGCAGAATCGCTTAGAATTCAAGATCTGATGGTCATTTTAAATGAGTCATGGGAGTTTGAATAGCAAAAAGATTTTTCAGAGACCGTGACGAGAAGACATTTAGGACTAAAAGCTAAAGAAAGAAAATTTCCATTGTAAATCAATCAATTGTTATTTGAAATGTCTATAAAACCATTGGGATATTTTATAAATGTATAATTTTGAATCTACAAATGATGTGTCGATAGGAAAAGTTTTATTCAACGCTACACAATTTATAAACGATCCTTAAATGATTGCTCAATGTAATCGTTTGTTAAACTGATGTCTGCTTATTGTTTAATTGTAAAATCAATTTCTCGACCATGATAAGATATAAATCGTTGCGTTATTTTACCAACTGGCGGCTTTATATAAAACATACAAGAAAGAAAGAGAAACACCAAACTAAGTAATATAAAAACACAAATCGCTTAGTGGACAAAAAGAAGTCATCAATGATTAATATGACATGAATCGGTTGTCGTGATATGGCGTTGAAGGAGAAAAAAGGCTATTTTGGTATTGTTTTAACGCGATGAAACCAATAAAGCTTTGTTTCTCGATGTTTATCAATAAAAATAATACTAAAAATGAGAATTTTATTGATTCTTAACATAAGGTTGGCTACAAGACTTTACTTCGCCAACTATGCTGATCATTGCAAATCTTTACATGGTTTTTAATTCAAACCAAGCGTCTTCGAATAAAATTCTCAATAAAATAAATTGAGCAGCCTTTTAACAAACCATGATGATGATTGAATGAGGACATTGTGAAAAGCATGTTCATTTATCGTATCAATTGTTAATATGGCAAGCTTAAAAAGCTTTCTGTCTATTAAATACATTTTTATCGAGAACGTAAATTTGAAATTCAAAAAAACACAAAGCGCAGATATTTATAAAGCCGTTTAAAAAACATGAATTAATCAGTGGAATTTTTAATTTGTCAGATGATTAATTGCTAGTAGCGTTCATATGATTGAAAGCTCTGTCAATTTAATTCCATTTAAGTATTTTGCTTCTTCATCTGCTTTTAAACTTGCTTAGCACTTCAGATTTTGCATTCATGGCATGTATTAAGTCCATATGTGTTTCATGGAATTGCTTCGCGCAAAATAAAACGCATTGTGCATAGGCGAGACGAAAAAAGAAACATGTTTCGAAAATGTGTAGCACCAACACTATCGTTCATTGCTTACACACGGCGATAAATTCATTTTTTTTCCATCCCAAAGGCAAATTTCTCGTGTAATGTGGATAATTTGAACTGCTTACCATCGACGATTTCGCAGCATTTTGGTGGTGTACGGGATGAATGTTCGATACATGTGGTCAGCTTTTTTCATCATCATATAAAAAGAAGTGCATTTTCAGAAATGGAATCATAGTAAAATCAACCGATTTAAGCTTCACTTCATTCAGTGCAGTGCGTTTTAGTTCATTTATTTTAAATAATTGTAAAAGTTTATTAAAAAAAATCCTTAGAAATGTTAATGAAGGTACAAGGACGTTCATTTAGTTAGTTTTTTTTCTTGATTTGAGTGGAAATTACTTTCATTCTTTATGAGAAAACTTTAGCCGCACAAAGCATTGAGATAAAGGCGGTTTTTGAATTGAATGGCTGTATAAAGTAAACGAGAAAGAAATTTTCGGTTTCATTAACATTGGATTAGTTTTAAAGTTTAAATGAAAAAGATTTTTTTAGTGCTAGCTGAAAATATTTTAATTTAGTGGACGAAGTAATTAAAAACTTGTTATAAACTTTGAAATACAATAAGCGATTAAATTTCAATATTTAGATTTGCTTTAAATCTATCAAACAATATAAATTTTACTTTGCAAACATATTGAAATTGAAAAAGTTCATCAGATTTTTAGGAAGCGAATTGAATTTCGAGAAGTTTTCTAAAAACAGATCGAAATCGCTTGTGACTTTAAATCGATAAAAGTTTTAGTAATCAAACAATTGCTTCCAGAGATCGGAAACGGTACCAATTATGAAAAATATTGAAAGTTCACGGTTCTCATCCTTGTGGTTAAAATTGGAACCGGTTTCTATCTCTGCTTGCTTCTATTTATGTATATAAATATTTAACGAGATTTCTAACGATGTCGATGAGAATACAAAAGAACTCTTCTTGTCAACACTCCCACAATGAAACATTAGATTTGATTATTAATTACGAAAATAAATAATATGATATCATAGTTCATCAAAAGATTTATTTATCGACATATGTTTGTAGTTAATTAACAGTTTTCGCATCAATAAACATAATTATTCAATTGATTATATCGGCATTGTCGGGTTATCAATCGCTGATGAATAGAAAGAAAAATGGCAGTAAAGTTCATTAAAATAAAAAGCTTGTTGGAAACAAAAACAACATTGTCGGCAGGATCGTCTGCTGACGTTCGTAATTTGACGTAAATCATTCAAAAGAAGGTACAATGATGAATATTTTTAACTTCTATCATTCAAATCTGCTTTGTTACGTAAATATTTACATTTTCAATGGCTCCAGGTAAAAGTCAAAAATCGAGTTGAATTTCTTTTTCGTCATTACATGAACTCAGCTAATTAATAAAATATCAGCATTCATTCATAACAAAACAACTGCCATGAAATTGAATTTTCTTCTAGTTTATTTTAAACTTGTTACACTTATAATTATCTCAAACAATTCAATTGTTTGGTTTTCCAAGAAAATTTAAATTTACAACGAAAAACAACAATCCGATAAATTACATTTCAAAATGCTTGTAAATTGTATGAACCTCATTCAATTTGTGATGTTTTGTAAGGGTCCAAGGCAGATATATTTCATGTTATTGTCAACAAAGTGTTTTAGTGCCTGTCACCCTTCAACATATCCCTTTTCCACACCTTTTTTGTCACATTCGACTCTAGACCAACATTTCTCCAGTAAATCGGACATGAAAAAAAATCTATGTTTAACTTGAATTTCACTTTTTAGGTCATTCTTGTGTGTTTAATGTCGCTTGCTGTGGGTGTCAATTCAGGTGCAATTGGAATCGCCCCTGCTGCTGTAATATCAGCACGAACAGAGCTAGCCGAAGAAGAATTCGACAGTCATCCCGAATATAGCTTCTCATATTCTGTCGATGATGCTTTAACTGGGGACAACAAGCAACAGCATGAAACACGATCCGGAGACTCAGTCGTTGGTCAAGTGAGTGTTGGAATGTGATGACATTTAGAACGTTTCTGTCTGTAATGAAAGGTTAAAAGTCAAGGAAACAAATTCAATTTTGTCTCTTCCTTAACATGTGAAAAGAATTTCGTATCTTTAAGTAAAATTCCAATTTTCTTATTTCCTGTATCTATGCTCCCCATAGGGTGAAAAGGATATCAGATTTAGATTTCGCATAATCTTTACATACTTTCACATCTCTCTGTAATGACATTTAGATAATCACGCTTGCTGAGCTTATTGTAACTTCGTTTCTGCCTTAACTTTAAAAACTCAAAAGCACAGAAAACAAACAAATAATGAGAGAAAATTTTCTTTCATCTTCGCATTGGCATTCCTTGAACTTTAAAAAGGAAAGAAAAATAAATTCCAATCAACTTTTAGAGAATACAAGGATATTGAAACTATTTTCAATAAGAACTTAAGTAAGAAAAAGATCTCGCTTGATGAAGAAGATTCACAAGGTTGCGTAATGTTATTTAAATTTATTCCAGTCTTATATTGCGAATCTGTACATTTCTTGGCTCTTCTTTCCTTCTTTCTTTTTCACCATCGACTCGCAACTTTCGGAATTTATTTTATTCTTCATTCCATTACATTTTTATGTTCTCTGACGACGACACCACGAGAAGAACATGAAAAGAGAGAGGCAGTTCTTTTTTTGCAATTTAATTTGCATTGTAACGAACCTTTAATTGAATTTTTATTTTTCTTTACAAATGCGCAAGATATCCGTGGAACGTCAAAGTTCCAAGGGTGGAAGAGAAATTTTTTCCCTTCTTTACGATTATTTTGCATTTTAGGTTCATTCAAGCGTATACTAATTGAGCGCTTTTCTAACTTTTAATGTCAACTTTGAACTTTGTTATTCATTACTAACTTTTTGCTCAACCCTTTTCATTTTCAAGTATTCATTCATCGAATCTGATGGAACGAGACGGACGGTCGATTATGTAAGATTTATTCATTAATTAAAAATTTTTCTAGAGAAATTGCTATGAAAATTCATGACATTTCCTTCGTTTAGACTGCTGATGATGTGAATGGATTTAATGCTGTTGTAACAAAAACAGCTGCGGAAGTTCCTGTGACAAAAGTAATTGCATCACCTCCCCCAACTAAATTGATTGCAGCTCCAATTTATGCTGCTCCTGAGCCCGTTATCGCTTCAGCAAGAGTTTATACAGCACCTGCGCCACAACCATATAAGATTATTCAAGGAAGAACTTATACTCCAGTGGTTTCACACGCTCCTGTAGTTTCTGCAACTTATAGTGCTCCCATATATTCCCATGAGTCATATTATCATACCCCAACCGTCTTCTCACATAGCCCATTGACATATCACGCACCAGCCACCGCAATCATTCACCATTAAATCATGCTTAAATTACAATGAATCATTTTCAAATCCACTTTACTTCTTCTTTTACTTAAAGTATCGTCATCATCATCATCATCTGTCAAATACTGATCCCACCCAATTAAGATTCTCACGTTTCCAACATATTTGAAGTTAAATTAATTGGGATTTGTCGACGGTGTTAATGAATCTTTATGTTCTTATCTCGTTAAAAATGATTTTGTATATTTTCCAACATAAATTATCCAAAACGACAAGACGAAAAATAAAACATTTAAGAAAAGAAATCTAAATGTAATTTAATACAGAAGCTTTATTCAATTGGATCTTGTTAAGAACACAAGTAGATAGTCGTTGAGGTAATTGAGGAAGAGAAAAGCTTCCTTCTGTCTTTTCCTCGAGTTCTACTTCCATTGCTTAATTAGAACTTTTATTTTACGAACGTACATAATATGTTTCTAATACTTAGCAACTAACAGCTGTGACAATGGAGACAGAATCAACAGACATTGTCTTAACTTTTCTCTTTTTTTCTTCTCCAAACATTACGATAAAGAAAGTTTCTTCTTTTCGTTTATTATTTTCAGTTCTCCCTTTGCAATAAGCGTCCAGGATTATTTATAGGCTTAACAAGCTTTCAATATAACTTCGTTAGTAAATAACATCACACCTTGCGGTTCTCTATTCAGTCAAAGAAGTTCTGATGATACTCAACATGGTCGATCTCTTTAATCTAATCTTTTCATGAAGGGTTTCCAAAAACTGGGAACGTTAAGATTATTTCCAGGTATTTGGATGATCATTCTACAAAATCATCTTTTTTTTCTAAAACCAACCAAAGTCACATTTGTACCGGGTTGTTAAGATAACAGTAAAACACGAACCCAAGCAATCTCTCACCAGTACAATTTAGATGTCACCATATTTGGTTATTGGTACGAAACACTAAGCATAAATAAAACTAAAACAAGTATAAGAAATTTATATTTGTTCAAAGACCTTCTCTGATTTAAGCCAAAGATCGTAAGAAATTTATTATTAACTGACACGAAAAAAAAAGCCCACAGCCAGGTGTCTCTATTGTTATAAGAGAAAAAATCTTTTTTTCTAAGCTTCCGGATTGCATTTTTTCATGAGAGATTGAAACGTGATTTATGTAACTACCCCAGGTTATCTTCATTCACTGTGAACTTGTGAAAACGTCGTCACAACTTTTTTACCTGACTCTTTCATCATTTCATCGTTTTCTTCCCTTTTTTCTCGACTCTGCCTTCGAGGTTACCCTTTCAGATTATTTTTTAAGCCTTGAAGGTGATTTTTCATGGTGAGATTCTTTCAATTTCTCAAAGTCTTCACTTCTTTTCTTCATCCTCTTCTCAATATTTTATTTCACTTATTCAAATACAATGAAACAGGATTCAAGATTGAATTAGCTTTCTCATCTGATGATTCACTTTCTTCCTTCTTTCTCTAATGTCTTGAAAACTTTCAAAAAAAAACTTTTGTTGTCTTTTATCAATACAGATAGCCCCAGAATAAGAAAGAAAGGAAAAAGCAATAATAAAAGACTACGATGGATTGACTTTAAATCATCTTCCACTCTTAAGCTTTATAAATAATTCAAGAATTGGGAAAGCAATTTCTCTCCATTTTTCCACCTTTTAGGGTAAATTAAGTCGTAACAAGCTTTCTCTGAAAATAGATGTCGACGACAACGACAAACAGCTGTGAATGAAACTTATTTTGTTAATATTTTTTTACCCTGTATGAATTTATGATCGGCAAAAGAAGCATAAACGAAGACGTCTCGGTGAACGTACACATAAAAGTATTCTTTGTCCTGATTATGTGATGTTAACACTTTTTATGAAAAGAACATCGCTTGATGACTCAATCAAGTGCCGTTCATTCTATATTCACACTCTGTTAGATGCTTCAACCGCCTGTAACCATTCGTAAGATGTTGGACATATTGAGAAACTTTGATTAGACTTTTGTTTGCTTGTTTGTTTATATTTCCTTTCAAAAGCTTTCTAATAACATCTTCATTGAAAGAAAAGAAGGAAACTAGATGCAGTTGAAGTGCCATTTCATCAATTCTATTTAAAACTTTTGATGTTGTCATAATGAGAAACGTTTTAATCAGAACTGTTTTCATTTAATCAAGTTAATGTTTATTATTGTGACATGTTTGTCAGAAAGACGTCATACATCATGTCATACATTTTATATAGAACATAAATTCATTTGAAGCTTTTCCTGTTGTACAAATTTCACATATACATGAAATATTAATAGCAATTGTAATCGCATTTTCTTTTTAATGAAATTGCTTTGAAGCATTCATTAATAACGAAAGTTTCAGTTCATCATTTATGTCTTTTTGCTTTCCATCAACTCTGTGCTCATTACAATTTAATAAATAATAAATTTGAAAAAGCTACGTTCTCTCATACGTATTCCGAGATAACAAACATGATGAAGATTATATCGTTGAGAAGTCAACAATATTGTAGTTTTCCTCCAACAGTAGCGATAGTTGCCACACAATTCTACTAAAAGCTTTCATGAAAAAATTATTAGCAATGAACAGAACAATGTGATTCATAAAAAGATCCCACAAGCATTTCAACACAATAAAAAAGAACAAATTCAGATTTTATTGGCTTCTATTAAATGGAATTGGCATTCTATTGTTAAATAAATTTATAGATTAACAGGAACTCACTGCTGAAACTCGTTGAAAGCTTCAACAAAGCATTCCACGTTGTGGTTTTCAATATGGTGGAAAATATCACAAACTTTACTGTTCTCATAAGGGTTGTAAGTTTACTAACATCTTTCCAAGTAATTTTAACTTGAAAACGAATAAAGATAAAAGTTTAATTTTCAGAAAAATTAGAATACTTCACTAAACTTCTTTTAAAGTATTTTCTTCTTCAAGCGATATGATTGAAAATTGTGATGGAATTTTCTTTTTCATGATTCAAACTTTTGTTCATGAGAAGTTTTCACTGGAAATTGTTTTCGTTTTTACTGATGCAATACGAGAAATCACATTACTGTAGGATTATTAAGATGTAGAAATATAATGACATGAGAAATTCTTACAAATTCTTCTCAAACTTTCTGATTCTTAAGTAAGTTGGGAATTAATTAGAGCATAAAATTAATATTTCACTTTTACCACCATGATTCGTAACTTAATAGTTATTTGGCTGTGACAAGAGATATTCGGAAATGAGTTATGTGATTTCATCTGAAGTTGTGATAAAAGCCAAACCAAAAACACGCAATTATGTGGGCGGGAATCGTAAAAATTACTCTAGGTCGGAAACGTGATTTTCGCAAGGTAAACAAGTAAAAAACCATCATCAATCATCTGTCTGTGACTATCATGTCAATAACGACTTTCAGGGAGTCACCCGTGAAATCAGTTCAGCTTCTTAGGTTTTTCTTTCAGATTTCCATTCCGCCTCTTCTTAACAATTTACATATCAAGAAGAGAGAGGTAAAGTAAACAGAATAATGAGCTTGAAACGATAAAATTAAATCTTCTTCAAGCTTCATGAATCATGATTTAGAAATTAAATTAAAATGTGTTGTTTTATTTGAACTTGTTGCGCCTCAAACATCCTTGGCTTTCCCTTCCTTTCTCTACAGCTTTCAATTGCAAGGAAAAAAACCTTTTTTCAATTTTTGAAGCTGTAAATGGAAACATCAGATAGCTTTCTATGTTATTAATTAATTAATACATGTATTCTGCTTTCATCCTTACTGTAAATGTCTGAAGCATCCCATTTATGAGGATTATATGAGTTACCCCAAAGCAAGGTAAAAATTAAATAGTTTTTTTTTATTATTTCATCCGTGACATAACATGAAAAACATTTCTACGTCAACACGTGCTGAAACCTTTTACTGAATAATATTTTTTTTCGTGTTTTTAAGGGAGAATTAAAAGTAAAAAATAGAAATGGCAACGTAAGAAGAATAGCAACGAAGACTGTTGCTACTGACATTGTCTCAGTGGCTGAGAGTGCAACAAGAATTATTAATTTCTTTGCTTTTCTTCATGAAATTCAATGAACATATTTACGAGCGACGACGTTAAAGAATGTTTATCAAAATATTTAATTCAGTGTTTTGGTGAAAAGTTTTATTTTCTAGAAATTTTGTTAAAATAAAAGCTTTAAAATATTCCTTACGGCGAAAAGTTTGAATATATATTTTATCGCATGGAATTTTAATTTTTAAAAGCTTGAGGCTTGCTTAAATACGTTCAAAAATATTTACAGAGTCTGTCTTCATGTTTAAATGAAAGTTCAAACATTTAGCATGCATCGTACCTTCACTTATATTTAGAACAATTTATTTCAAGCAATTTGTTTTCAAAGTTTCAATACTTTCAAAAAAAGATTTCTAAATATTTTTATATAAAGTTTTCTTTTCCACTCACCTTTTTCAAAAACTTAATCAAATATTTATCGATGATGAAAGTCTGTTTTTCATTTCATTAAACACTGTTTGTAACAATGTTGGCACCTTCAAATAATAAGCTTATTCTCACGAGGTTTTCCGTTTTAATAACTAGAGAAGTGTCAACCGTTCAAGACTTCGCTTCCTGAAATTTCCTTTCTTCCCTTCTTTTTTGCTTAAATTTTACAATAAAAAGTTTGCTGACAGTTTCTTAAGATATGAAAAGTATCATTTATGAGACTTGACTCTTATTGTGTCACGAAGAGAATGAAGCACGATAAGAGTCAAGGAAATGAAAGCAGAAAACAGTTCTCGTCCCCTCCTCAAAGCTAACAAACAACACGAAAACCCTCAGAAATTAATTGAATCGATCTTAAATTGGAACACAAAAGTAACGAAATAAACAAGAAATCGAAAATTAATGAAACACCCGCGCTTCTGGAAAGTGAAATAATTTCCATGAATATCGATGCTAAAAAAGTCTGAACAGACGCGACATAAAATTGATCAAGTCGTTTGCGTGCTTGGTTTGTGATTTCATTTAAATGAACAAAAGAGAATAGTTTTCCATTTGACTTCATTTCACTTTTTCTAATGGTAAGTATTGGGAAATTATTTGTGATAAGCACACAACAAATTTTCAATTTCCTTTTAAAGAGAGAAAAAAAAAGCTCAAGTAAGATAATAATTCTTTTCCTTTCTTTATGCTCAAGTTTTTTCTGCAAAACAATTCAATTTTTGCAATTCAATTTGTGCGCCTTTTCCCACTTGATATCTACCGATTTTATGCTCTCACTCACTTTCTTCTTTCCTCTCTCTCTCTCTTTCTCTTCACTTAGTAATCCACTGTGAATTTATGATCGAAATATATATTTTTAGTTCTTTTTTAAAAGTCTTTTCTTGCATGTCAAAACTTGGAAGAGAAAAGAATCTCATTTACGCTTGAATCGAGCGAAAGACAGTAAAGAAAACTCGAGATAAACGATGATGAACTTTTTTCCTTCTTCGTCCTCGCTTTCAACCACAGAATCCGAACCAAAAAAATTAAAGCAGAGAACGAATGTCGAACAGTATCCTTTAAGCTTCGAGTTCAAAACGAAACTGAGTGTATCGTTGTTGAGGCGAATTGTTCTGCTTTTCTCTTTTCTCCGTATTTTCCTCCCGGCACGTTTGCCATTTTTTTGTTCAAACTGTTTTCGGCTTTCGCTTCGTCGTCGGTTTAGAACTTCAGGTTTGTGATCAGGGGAAGTTTTTTTATTATTATTATTTTGTAGGTAAAGCAAATGAACGAAAATAAATTGTAATTTGAAAGCTCTGTTGGTGGCAAACTATTTAACATAGAAAAGTGTGCATCTGTCGTGACAGTTGAGATTTTGAGAGCGAGAAAAGCTTTGAATATTTGTTGTTATTACTTTGTAATAAAGTGAGTAGCAATTGTTGCGGCAACGAAACAACCATAATATTGATAAATAACAGACTTCTGTACTTAATAATTTGCCGTGTGGTTTTGTGGCAATTTAGCTTTCACTTTCCAGTTGTTTAGGAACATCAGAAACAAATTATCGATTATCTAATGTGTGAAAACTTTTCAACTCTTCTGTTCAAATGAAAGCACAATCTTATTTGATGAATTTTCATACCCGCCGGATAACAAGATTCTATCAAACGCATGAGAAGTTTTTTTATATTGGAAATCGTGTTCGTGTACCTCTAAGCAAAATTGAGCATAAATTGTAGAAAAGAGAGAACTGAGGATTCAGATTTTCGTTTTTTTTTTCATTCCCTGTCTGCTTTTACGTTTCATCAATCAAAGTTTATCAGGTCAGACTCAATCGGCAATGCATAGACAGAAAATTTATATGAAAATGATTTCGACGCTCATGGTTTGCACAACTTATTTTTACTCTCTGGCATGAAATTTCCTCTCCAAATGTGTTGTTCTCGCTATGTTCGGTTGAAGACGAATCATCATTACACATATATTGTCACTTCACACTTCTTTTATTGAATGGATGGGAACAAAAACCCCAGCTTTAAATCCACTTGAATGCCTCAAGACGGTATGATAAATTACCAGCTTTTAATAAGAGAAAAAAGGAAGAAGTGCGCATAAAGCAAAAATTGGTTCGAGGGTGGAAAAAACGAAAGAGGAAAGAAAGCAAGCAAAAAGTCTTTCCATAAGAAAGAGCAGATATTTGCCTTATAAGCTTATACAAAATTAGCATATATGTTTACAAACCTTTCAAAATAATCATTTAAATATTTTGATTTTATAGACTTTTAGTGTGTCTGAAACTTTAAAAGTTTCGAAGGTCATTTTTAAAGCTTTGAAGACATTTTAAATTTAAAATAATTTGAAAGATTGTGAATCTGAACATGTCTCTACATTCAATCCTCTTTTTTCTCACGATTGACATTAAAGAAATCAAAGACGAAGAAAGAAGCAGCCTAAGGGTTGATAAAAAAAAGCGACAAAACTTTTCCCTCAAAAACCAAACTGTCAAGAAATCTTCATCACTTTTTATCTATGTCATTTCATGCATAATTGCGATAAAACTTCGCAAAGCTTGTAATAAAAAAAGGGCAAAAAGAATAATTTATGTGTTTCATAATTTTACATCTCGATGAAAAATAATGACAAATTATGGTGGAAACTTTGTTGAAGTCAAAGAAGAAAGAAAAAAAGGATATCTAACAACATAAAAGTCACAATATTAAATTAAATTTATAAACTTTGCAATTTTCTGCTGAATTCAACAAAACCACGTACTGCGGTCATGTTTTAGAAACATTAAAAAATTCTTCTTATAATTTCAGGCCTAATTTGTGGTTAACCATCATGCTGTATAAATACTTAGATATATAATATTATTAAACTTTTATTTTTAGACAAATGATGACGAGAAGATTGAATCCGCCGCTGTTGTGAAGTTTTTTTTTCTTTCCTTTTCTTTATTCGCCAAGTAGATAATAGAAGAAAGCTTAGAGATGAGAAAAAGAGAAGAAAACAATTTAGAAAAAGTACAATAAAAAGTTTTTCCTTCCGACTTACGAGACAGAAATCATCAGTTGGGAATTAAAGTCTATGAGCTATAAAAACCTAATCACATTTATCAACTTTTCACTTCGGTGGAAGAACGAAAATTAGTTTAATCAAAGCTTACCAATTTCTCACTCGTTTACTGACGCAATGACAACACCTCAAAGAAATAACACTAAAATGATGTGGCATGTTTAGATGAATGCATCTAACGATATAAATAAATTAACATTGATTCGATGAGATATTTAAGAAGAAATGAGTAAAATGCTCTGTTGAATTCTTCTACTTCTTCATGCATCAACACAAGTGGCAGTATTTGGGAATGACAAGCACCTATAATAATTAACATTCATTTTCATTTATTCAATCTCCCATTTCAATCAACCAGAAGGAAAAGAAAGAAAGAAACAATGAAAAGCAACATTAGTGAAAATGGCATCGAAAAATAGACAAACGAGAATTCTATAAAAAGTTAATGCTGATGATACTCGACTATTCGCTCTCATTTCTTTTTTATCGTTCGTTTATTTGATTCTTTGTTTGTGTATTTAAAGAAATAATTGTCCAATTCTCATCGATGTTGACTTTATTATCCTCCCACTCAAGTAACTTAAGTGGCGTTCTCGCTCTCCAAAGAAACGCCTCAAAATGTCAATTTCATGTAATGTATTCAATTACTTGAATTTCATCAATATTTTGCTCTCAATCATGTAATCCCACTAATTAAGTTAGCATTAGGTGAACTTCTTTTTATCTTTTTAAAAAGTCTTCACAATTTTTTTATTCCATCATTTATCAAAAGAAAAAACTAATTAATGCAATTGAAAGTACAATCATTGACATTTTTTTGAATGAAGGAATGTTTTTAATTAACTTTTGTGGTTTCTTCTGTGTTTGATGTTTTTACCCTTCGTTGCAAAAGATTTCTATGACTAACAAGCTTAAATTCTGGCATTGAACTTTTATTTTTGTCAAGAATTGACATGACGATGAATGAAATATTTTAATGAAGATTATTTAAGAAACGAAGAAGGTTTCTAAACGTGTTGAAACTTTACTAACATTCAAACCAAAATCTTCTTGTGCTAAACCAAAAACGTGACAAATACTGAACACTGAAGTTTTTGGAGGTTCGCCACAAATTATGAGCGAGTTTCAACATTTTGAGTATCTCTTTTTGAAAATTAAATCATTCAAAATATTCTTGTTAGTTTATAAATCAAACTTTTATTTGCCAACATTTCACTACAATGTCATTTGATAACTTATTCTTCTATCATATCAATCAACTAATAACAAACTTTCATAACATAAGCTCCTTCAACATGACCATTGTTTCGACTTATGCCTTCAACAACATCTTCCAAAATGCTAACATAATTGAAGATGAGATTGTCAATTAACATGACAACTTACCAACTTTATGTTATCCAAATATCATTTTCATTCACATCAGAATTCTTAAACGTTTAACTTGTAAGTTCTGATGATTTCCTCCTTCATTACTTTCGATCTGTTCATTAAATATTTGCAGCAATAAAGATAGGATCAAACAACTTCATTCACTCCAATTTAATTGCCATAATTTTGTTGGTCTCGACTTTTTAATAGTTTTTCGGCTTTTATTCTGATTATCACTTCAGTTTTTTTCATTATGAAGCATGGAAGATAAAAATTCACTGACCATGGTGGCTCCAAGCATAGACGATGGATGGATGCCAAGTCACTTGAACTTTCTCCAAAGGATTGCCAAGAGTGAACATAAGCTGCTGTTTGAACAAATTTTGTGTTCAATGCTTGACCCATTTCAACTGAACCGAGTGCACTTGACACGAAGCCATCCCCATGGTAGATTGAAACTGACTCTGGAGAACATCCAATGTATTGCAATACTAGAGTGAAACAATTTCTCGACCTCTTGCGATTCAATCATTGCCCAAGCGGCACAACTCCCCTTATGCCTATAGTTTGTCTTCAGCGGATTTCTTAAAGTCTTACAAGCGAGGTTAATTATAAGACATATTAGGCCCCTTATAGGAAACTTGCAATTGCAATGGAAAGTTTCCTATAAAGTGACTTTTGAGTTAACTGTTTTTGAATTGCCGCTTGTCCCACTCGGGTTAGCTGCATTAAGTTTATCAATCTTATCATTTGTTAATTGTTAAGCAAAATTTTAACTTTAAATGAAAAGTTCGCTGATGGACATTTCATACTCATTTCACTCGCAACTTTGTTTAAAACAAATTATACAACTTTGAAATGTAAATAATGTCAACCATCATGTTAAGAGGCCTTCTTTCAGAGCAAGGTTTTCATTTATTTAGTCAGTTTGTTAGCTGAAAATGTCTTCTTTTTCTCCAGGGATTAAAAAAAGTTTGAAAATTTCTTTTCACAAGTTCACGTTTTTCTCGGTTCTCGGTCATCGTTGAATGTGATGATTATCAATTCACGGCGTGACTACCTTAATCGTGCTACAATTCTTCCAACATGATTTACTTTTCGTTCGTGGTTAATCACCATTATTGACAATAATTCGAAATCATCAACTTCATAAAGATAGTCAGAACAACGATTCGCAGATGTTCTGAAATATTTCCGGACTTCCAGATTGTAATCCGTTGAAATCTGCCAAGTTTTTTCATCCTCTTATTCCATCCATGGTGATTATGTTCATTTCGTGACGTGAATGCATGCTTTGAAGACACCAAAGTGTTGCGGTTACTGACAATACTAAAAGGATGTCATTTAAAGTTGCTGGTTTTATCGACCATATTGCTTCCTTTTTGTCACGAGATGATTGCCTTTCAATGCTGTAAAACAAACTCCGCACCCACCTTCTAGACACATAAACTTAGTTCCGGTCAATTTAACATAGGTAGTTTCAAATAAAAACACATTTCGGTCTGTATCGATTTGTTCAGTTGACGACAAAATAATTTCAAGGTAAATTAAACTGCGCAGAAGTTAGCGATAAAAGTTAGCGATAAAAATAACCAAAGTTTTGGTTATTTCTCGAAAAATAGCTGCGAATCGCGAAATTTAACCAAACTTTTGGTTATTTTTATCGCTAGTTTTATCGCTAACTAAAGTTTGGGTTAAATAACACTATTTTGGAGTAGTTAACCAAACTTTTCTGAAATAACCAATTAATTTGGTTACTTTTATCGAAAAACAATTGTAATTTTAAAATGAAGATGGCGCTGAAAACCGCAACTTTAATAACCATAATTTTCCAGAATAACCAAACTTTCAGATTTTGTTTATGTGTGAGTGTGTAATTTCACAAATAACCAAAGTTTATCAACCAAAGTTTATTAACCAAAGTTAAATAAACATTGTTTNAAATCTTTGGTTATTTCACACAACTTCAATTATAAGGTGAAGGAAAAATATTAATGTGTAACCAAAACTTTGGTTGTCCTACACAAGCAATAACCGAATCTTTGGTTATTCCACACACCCAATAACCAAAACTTTGGTTATTTCACACAAGCAATAACCGAATCTTTGGTTATTCCACACACACGATAACCAAAGCTTTGGTTATCCCACACAAACAATAACCAAAGCTTTGGTTATCCCACACAAACAATAACCAAAGCTTTGATTATTTCACACAACTTCAATTATAAGGTGAAGGAAAAATATTAATGTGTAACCAAAACTTTGGTTGTTCTTCACATTCAATAACCGAAACTTTGGTTATTCCACACACCCAATAACCAAAACTTTGGTAATCAGCCAAAATAACCGAAAGTTTGCTTACTTGCCAGAAACAGTTTGGTTAAAGAAAGTTTGGTTAGTAAAGTTTGATTGCAAGTTTTTACACACACACATGCAAATTATGAAAAATTTGGTTACTTAACCAAAACTATTTTCTATTATTAATGCGAATCGCAATCATAAGCGATAATACACCACCTGCACGGAAAAGTCAAGAACTAAGTTTTTATCGCTAACTTTTATCGCTAACTTATTCCCAGCGTAAATTAATGCCTTTACTCAAATACTTTTCACTGAAATCTACTTCAAGAAAATGTCTATCGAATAATTTTCATTAAAATTTATTCAAAAAGTAAATCTTCTTTTGAACTACTCAACTCAAGATTAAGATTTAAAAATTTTCCTTTTCTCTCACTTTTTCTTCTTTCCATCTCTACAACATCAAATTTTCTTCCAAAAGGTCAACGAAATAATAAATTCTTTTAGCGCGTGTCAAACTTTTATCATTTAGCTTAATACAACCCAAATTTTAACGACATTCAATAACAATATTAATGATAAGACATCGTTGATCGTTGTTGAGCGACGACAAGAATAATTAAAAGAGAAATTTTCGTTTTCCCTTTTTCCTTTTTTCTAGAATACGTTTAACGTTTAATGTTAGTGTCGTATTGGATAATTTTAGCAGCAACGATTAAGACTACAATTAATTCCTCGAGTTTAATGATTGTAATTGAAAGCGTTGTGACAAACTGACGTCATGGTTAGGGCGTCAATTTTGATTACTCAGTAATTTGTAACGATTGAATCAATAAAAGCAATATTGCGCACAGAAATTGTGTAAAGCAATCCAATGGATTTCATGACGCAATGTTTTTTATATTCTTGTTAATCCTTTTTTCTTTTGAAAGTTGATTACCGATGTCCCAGCAATGGTTTATATTTTTGATTGAACAAAACATGAGAAAAGTTAACGGTTGCAATATGCTGCACAATTTCTACAATCTTGCTTCATTAAAATGCTTTTGAATAAACTCCGATTTACATTCTCGAACGATGTGTGACAGTTTAACACATTGTGGCGATCAGCATTAAAATATATTGTTGCCTTACACAAATATGTTTTTCTCTTCTTCTTTTATTTTGCAACATTGTAAGTAGATATATATGAAACTTAATCCTTTTTGAATTGTATTGCTTACTTTGTATCTGCAAGTTCCAATAATTCACATTGCACAAGATTTCCAATTTTCTTTAATCGATACCAGTCAATGTTGTATTGACAATAAAATATCTTGAAAATGATCTCCATTGTGATTCATGAGAGTTAAATCGTCCTTCTACGAAATCATCACCTTTTTTCAGAAATAATTTATTTCTCTTTGATCGCGCGTTGAATTACAAAAGGAATTTTTTCTCAATGTTTTTCTTTCTGGATGGTGAGATTATTGGAACAAAAACATGAAATGTAAGATCGAAACAATAAAAAATATTGAGAATTACAAAAATTTAAGACTCCTTTTACATCATCGTTAATCAAAAAGTGTTTTAAGAATTCTTTCTGTTTGTTTTTCCTGTTCTTTATTAATTAAGAAGAGTAGGAAAGTTGTTTATTCAACGTCGCTTTGCTTTTATTTTTATGGCTCAATAACAGTTAATTACGAATCGATAATATTGATTAACAAGGCTTTCCTTAAACATTGATGTATATTAAATACATTAAACAACACAAAACACCAAAATATCTTATATGATTAGAATTTAATCATTAGATATTAAAATTGGTTCTTCAATGAACTCTTCAAAAAAAATTCTTTTCCGGAAAAAATAATACGATCCTTAATTGATTAGCCTGCTTGAATTTTGTTTTATTTTTCATAGAATCTTACAGAAACGCATCAAGATAAATTTAGAATCATAAGAATACTATATTCGAGTAAGTTTCATTTCTAGAATAAAAGCAACGTTTTTAGAATTAAAATAAATCAAGTAAAACCTTACAATTGTCGAATGAAACATTTGAGCAGCTTTCAATATGAAAAACATGCGATCAGACACTTTTAGACTTTCGTATGTTATTCGCATATATTTTCTGTAAACGCATGTGAGCTTTGTGTAGACCTCTTTTAGAAGGAGTAAATACTGTAATAACAGTAATTTTCATCTTGAGGTCACCACAATATCGTAATACGAATCCATAGGTGGTATCAATTTCACAAAAGCAAATTAAAATTGATATTTGCAGCAATGCTTTATTTTTACATTATGCAATACAGACGACTTTAACATTTATCGATATTTAACTCATTTTTATATTTCCTTATTCTGAAAAGTAATGGAAAAGAGATTGAATATTTATTAGTATTAAAAAATCGTTCATATTTTTTAGCAACAAATCATTTTTATTTTGTCCTTTTTATTTAAATATTTTATAATAATTTTAAATTACTTTTTTCTTTATGTTGTCTGAACTCCATACGATCGTATAATTTTATCAAGTATTTTTTTTTACTTTTCATCTTCATTAATTTTAAGTTTATTATTCCAAAAAGATTACTTTCCTACATTTTTTTATTTTAGAAGAGAAAAAGAAATTTTACAATAGATTTTTACCGACCAAAATACATTTTTGAGTAATTTCTGTTGATCGAAACTTAATTATTGTATTTTTTATTTATTGGTAAGAAAAGTGTTGTAAAGTGGTAGCCTAAAGAAGTTGCGGTTTATCAAAAGATTGAAACTTATAAATGGACATAACTTATCTATCGACATTATTCATTTGTGACTTTGTGTGTTGTGTTGATTTAAAGTACAATGCATTATAGATTAAAATCACAGATAATATATAATATTTTCATGAAATAAGGTTTTGAAAAAAAGTAAGAATTTCAACTTAAATTTGTTAGCTATAAAAGGGTTATTCAAGAGTTCAATCCTTTCATTGTTCAATTATTTATGACTCGAGTCGTGCCTCATTTAAAAGCCTTCCACATACGATTCTTCCATGTCTTTCATTTTATAAAAATCATCGATTTTTCCATCATTTATAATTAATTTTACACCTAAAGACTACACAGAGTGTATCATCAATTTTTTTTTTCAATGTAATAATTTTAAGTCTTATCAGTTCAGAACTTTTAACCGCGCGCTTATTCATCATGTTTCATGGTGAATTGAAAACACTTTACTTAATCCAATTTACACAATTAAGGAACAGAAATGCACAAGAACTTAAACGGAAACAATACCAATTAGTCAACTAAATTCTTTTTCCATCTCACGTTTTGAAGCCTAAAAGTATTTACAATTTATGTTTTTTTTCTTCATTGCCAATTACATCAGTAAACATCTAAGTATTTTATTCCCGAAGTAGTATCCTTGAATGTTTTCCTTTAATTCTTTTTTACGTATAATTTTTTTTTCTCGTGGAATTTTTAATTTCAAATGGAACTTTACATAGATTGTTCTTATTTGAGTTTTGTGGTAGATTCACGATATTAATTTTATTTTTTTTATAAACAATCCATTACTGATGAAAACACAAGTGTTTTTTAGGTTTGACTTTTTGATGACATTTTTATCATATTTTCTCTTTGAACCCTGAAATTTTGTACTACCGAAAATTTTTGTAGGTAATTTTTAAGTTTTTTTTTGCTTATGTTGAATCAGGGGTAACAGTTCAATTGCGAAGCTTTAAATCACACATTGAACTTATACAGCTCTTTAATTTTGTACTTAAATTTTGGTTATAATTTATGCCGAAAATTTACCTCTTGTCATGAAAAACACTGAACATCTACTTTTACACACAAAACTTCATTTAAGAATTCAATTTATTTGTGTAAGTAAATTTAGTCTCTCTAACCCTATTCATTTAATTCTTGTCTTGTATACGTTGTCTCTTAATTCGTATATTTTGAACTCTCAATGCTCAAAGTTTAAGTGGGAGAATCATTTTTAATTGTGTAAATTTCAACAATTCTGGGCAAACGAAAAAATGCGCTTTAAATTTGATTGTATGATTTTATATCTTTATGTTATGCTGGCATGTATCTCGTTCTATGATCAGATTCATGGCAGCATGTTCTAGACTTGTGTAAGGTTTCTGAAATGATACTGGACGGTATCAAAAATGTAATGAAAGTTTGATGATGTATCATGAAATTGTATGAAAATGATGATAAATAATAAAACCAAAATTAATTATTGTTTTGTTTAAAATTTACAATGTATTTTTCAAAATATATTTATCAATATTTTTACATTAACTTAACAACTTAACAGAAAACTTAAACATAAGAAGAAAAAAAAATTGAACTTAAATTAGGTTTCTTAGAGAAAACATAAAAATTATAATTCACATATAACATTAAACATAAAACATAAGGAAAATATAGAATAGAAGTGAATTGGAATTCTCGGAAGACCAATTATTAATATTCCATTGCTTAAATTTTAAAGATAGAAATGATATAAAACAAAAAATCAATTACAATTAGTACTTTGATGTTTAATTGTTTAGACTCTTTCCATATCAAAAGTTATGACTTAATTTCCAGAAAGAGTTTTTAAATGAAAAATAATAAAAGAAAAAATTAAATCGCAAGTTATTTTATGTAATTTTGATTAGTCAATATTTTCTTTTAATGTTTTACATAGATATAACCTGAACTCCTATTTCCTGAATAGTTTTCTTTCAATTTAAAAATCTAATTCATGTTTTTTTTTCTTTTAATTTGAATAAGAACCATTTAGTTTGTTTTCTTTCCTTGGGTGGCAGTTGAAATGAGGTAGAAGCAATCGTCGAAATCAAGTCTTTTATTATTATGGTTGAAATAATCTTAGAAATCATACAAAGACTTTTCTTTTCTTGAAAATATTTTGCAGTTCGTGACGACGATGCGAAGAAAAACAAATTTTAGCCGTAATAAATAATACTTAAAAATTATTCCCTGAGACATTTTGATGAAAAAATAATTCCATTCATGAATCGAATTGCTAGGCTTAGATATCTTATGTATTATTATTTTTTTGAAAAACGTTTTATTAGCCATAATTCAGAAGAAAATAACTTGCAATTTAACTTTAATATTTTTATAAGCTCTTGTACAACAGCTAATGTTGAATAAATCAAATAAAATCTTATTTATGCCAAATATATGTGGTAAGTGTGCTAAAGTTGTTTTTTAATTTGCTACCTTAAAGTTCTTAAACCTGAGTGTGATTATTTTTAACCAAAAGAAAATGTTAGATTATACATCAACATATATTTTTGCCATCAACATATATCTAAGTATATGAAAAAAGGAAATAAATTCACTGTATATGAAAGGTTATGTTTTGAAGGAAATTGATAAGCGCATTGATTTGTGATTTCTCTAATCGTACAACGATTTTCATTATCATCTTCTCACTTCAGTTAAGACTTTGAATGGTAGTATGTGAATAATTTTGAAAATAAAAGTTGAATTTTGACTCAGCTATTGTACAATATTGCTTGATCTCATGTTATTGGAAGATTGTTTTCAATTTGCTTCTTACAAATTTTAATGTGAGTTTGTTGTTTTCTGATTTTGACAAGATTATTATAAATTTTATTAAATGTGATAAAAAAAGATAATCAAACGTCAAGCTGCGAATTTAATTTATGCAATGTGATGATAAATCAATTATTAATATCATTTGCTTTCTGATTACTTCAAACCACATTTAATAAATTTTAAAATATATTCTTGTCACTCGTTTCTATAGTTTTTCAGATCTATTTCTATTTTTTTTAATTATATCTGTTTTCAATTGTGAAAAAAAAAACATCTTTATTTACAAAAGTCTTCAAGATATTATTTATTCCTTTTTCCAGCTATTGTCTCGCATTTGCGTAAACAAAATTAATAACTTTAAAAGTTTCTGATTATGTAATCTATTGTAAGAAGGACACTGATTAGTTTGTATATATTAAATGCGTGGCGTTGTTATTGTTATTCTTCTTGTTTCTTTATTTTGCTTTCAATTTATACTGAATTATCGAAGACTGTAAAAGGGTTCATTCGATTCAACTTCATCCTTTTCGACATGAAATCAAATTTGATTGATGTATTAGTTTGTTGTTTAAATCTATTGCATTGTTTGGAGTATTTTTGATTATTCAAAAGCTCCATCGTGTTTGTTGATATTCAGAAATGAAGAAAAAAATAACAGAAAATCAATTAAATAAACAAGACAACGAAATTTGCATCACACTTCAAAGTTTCTTTCAAAAGTTTTAACTTCACAGCGAAGGTATGAAGCTATTTCCAAATAATAATATTTAAAAAATTATCAAACGATTTTCTCTCCTTTAATTAAGAAACTTATTTTAAAATTTACATCTTGAAATTGTACCTGAGTGTGTTGCACATGTGACTAGTTAAAAAGTTAGAATCAAAAATGTTGTTAAAAGGAAATTAAAGTGTAAAGAATGAAACGTCGGAAGTAAGACAAAAAGACTGAAATGACTAAAACTTGAACAGATGCATTGTTTCTAATTGAATTTTAAATGGCAATGTTTTCAGCTTCAATTTGTTTTCCTGATATAATTCAAGCCTCCTTAGTTTAGAAATATAATTAAAGCCTCACACATTTCCATGCAACCTAATCAAGATCAACATTTCATAACTTTTTGACTTTTGTTTACCTTTCCGAAACTGTCAATTGCGCTTGGGTCTCATTAAATGATTGTTAATAGGAATTTGCTGGTTTTATTTTGAAAACAACTTTGCAACTGGTGTTTGTTAGCTTTTTACTTATGGATTGAAAGTCTTAGCAGAATTAGAAATAAAATTATAAATTTATGATTGCCCGAAAAGTTCAAAATTGTCCCAAACTCTTTTTAATTTTTTTCTCTCATATGTATTATTTGTAAGGTAAGGAAATTTGCTTAATTTTTCACATTTTACGGAACATAAGGTGAGATAAAAAATGGTGACAATTGTATTGTATACATCGAAAGATACTTTTATCATTTTTTTTTCTTTTTGCCTAGAAGATTTTGCTTCGTTATTGTTGCAGGAGTTTTTCTTTTTCTTTTAGAAAATTTATTTCCTAAATGGATTTTATACATGAAATTTTGCCATTAAACTAATTAAATTCATATTGCATTTTTTTTAATAAATCGTATATTCATCTTTGTTTTGCTTTTTAATTATTTTGTTTTCAGTGCTTTCGATGATCGAGCTTTATGAAAGTATACAGTAAAAGCTTTAATCTTTTGAAAACTTTGAAAACAAAATATTCCTTGGCCTAAACATCATTTTATGCCTAAACGGTTATTGTATTTAATGATTTAAGAACATAGAAATAATGATCCTAACTACTTTAAAACTTCTGTTTTGTAATTGTTATAAAGTTTTCTCTTTTTATCAGTGAGACTTTTTTGAATGGCAGCGCCCCTGGTAGAAACTTATTTACAGTCATAATTAATTTTGGTTTTCAACTTTGAAAATTGTCACCATTTTCCATGGACTATCAAGGAAAAGAAAAGGAAATAGAGAAAAAGAAATAATGTATTTTATATTTTTATTATATTATTTTTTCCATTTTTTTACGAAAATAAGGAAATAGAAAATGAAGGAAAAACTATAAACTTTGACCTTAATCTGTACGAAACAGCTAAACTACACGTTATGCCTTAAGTTAAAAACCTTTTTTTGTTTTTTTTTCTCTTTCACGATCAAAATTTTACAAGCTATCATATAGCTTCTTTTGCTTTGTCTTCAAAAAAAAGTTTCAATTTCTCTTCTTCTTTTTGTGATTTTATGCAAAAAAAATGTTTTTTTATCTCCTTCAACCCTTAAGTTTAGTACGCTTGTGTAATTGTGTGATTTCTCATCTTTAAGTTTATTTACATCAAAACAAATTTTTTTAGTTTATTTTGTAATCTAAACATCTTTTTTTAATCATAATTTTATGTTGGCTTCTAAGAAAACCATTTTTATTTTTATTTTATTCACCATCATCGAAAAATTCATATTTTATGCTTATATTTTCAGAGTTTTGTGTTTATAGTGCTCTTCTTTCTCAAAAATCAATTTAATTAATGTTTTTGACCGAAACACTTGTTTTTGGTAGTCCACACATTTTTTTATGCGAAAAAGTCCATCAACTTGTTGATCTATTTTGACTTTTCATTTTTTTTTCTTGAATTTTGACATGCTCAGCATTTTCAAAATTTACCATTTGCTGGCCATTTTATTCCAAAGAGAATTTTATTAAGTTGACCTTAAAAATTTTGATGTCCGAAAATAAGTTTTTCTTTCTTTTCTTATTTGATGTACGTTTTCCGAAATCATTTTACCCAAACGAGAATTTTCATGCATTCATTGTATTTGATTTTGAAGAAAGATGTAGCTTTGAAGGGTGGCCAGTTGAAAGAGTTGAAAATTAAATTGTCAAAAGTGTTTCTTTTGTTTTTTATTCTTAAACGCCGAAACATTTTATTTTATTTTATTTTCATGAAAGGGCATTTTATGTCGAGTCGAAAGTCGTTCAAAGTTCACATGTACAAACTTTTGTTTTGAAAAGACGTTTTGCTTTTTCTTGATTAATAAAAATCATATGACAATTTTGGATTCACTTGTAGCTTTGAAATGATAACTTTGTGCTTTGAAAATCATGATCGAAAAGAACCTTTTTATGATTTCAAACGATTTTTTGTTTTGCTTTTTTGTAATTTGTAATTTTTTGTGTTTTTTTCCTATTTCACTTTTTTTGAAGTTTTCACTTGTAACTTCCAATTTTTTGTTAGATATTACAAGAAAAATATTAATATGGAGGTAGTTTGATTTCTGTGTGTATAAAACATATCAACAGTTCTATTGTAGTAGTCTCATTTGTTATTATTTTTAAAAACATTGGCTTTGAAAGGAAACATAAATGCTGAATGCACACAACATGTGTGCACAATCATAAATCATTGATTTGACTCGAATCGAGTTTACATATCTTTTCAATGTGTTTATGATATTTTGACCAACTTAAAAGTCTATTATTTTCATAAATTAATTCAACAAAAACGAGGTATATCATGTTTAACGGGGGCGTTGTAGGATGTCCTTAGAAATTATAAAAGAATTACAGTTTTGAATTATTTTGTGTGATCTTTGCAAGGTAACTAAATTGAAATAAATATCATTGTTAGGAAAGAGAAATCTGACAGAAAGATAAGTGAGTGGTTATATAAATTTAGGACTTTTGATACACTTTAGTTTAATATATAATTCAGACTCATCGAACAAGCGGATCAAAATATTTGTCCCAAATCATTTCACCGTCTGCAACTTCTTCAACTGTTCAGAAAACCTTTCATAAACCAAAAATCAGATGTGATAATATTTTCATTTCATCAATTCGTTAAATATAAATTCTATCATATAATTTCATCAATTCAAAATTTTTTTCATCTTCACTTTCTCCCTTCTCTTATTAATCATTTAGTTAACAAATTATAAATTTATTTTCTTCACATTCTTTAATTATTATTTTTCATTTTATTTATTTGCTACTATTAATTTACTCTATTATGTTAATGTCAATAATCAAATTGAAGTTGTTTTAAGGAAAAAGAAATTCATTAAGAACGGTCAAAGAATGCTTCTTTATCCTCGATGAAAAGTTGATGAAGTTTCTTTAAATTTCACGACAATGTCATACATCGTCAATTGAAAATTGCATCAACTTGAATTAAGGAACACAAAAACAGAAAGAAAAAATGTTTCACAATTATTTCAATCATAAAACATAAAAAAATAAAATTCACTATTGATCACAGAATTAAACTGGGTAATTGATCTTTATCCTTATTACATTTGCGCATTCCAATTATTCACCAAAATCATTGAGTGTTTACATGGAAAACATTTCAGCTTTTATATTCATATCACCATCATCAAAAAATCTCAAAGAATCTTTAATCATTTTTCATTTCACATCATCTCAACATGAAAATGTTTTCCCACTCAAATCATTTCTTATGTTTAATAGTAATTTAATAAAAATGAAAAATAATAATTTGCATCATCCTTTTTTTCTCTTAGTAGAATTATTTTAAAAAAATGATTAAAAATAAACGTGTATAACGGTAACTTTTTTCAACTAGATTTGCTGATTCAATTGCGTCATTAAAACGCAGCCTTTTATTGTTTCTCGTGTTCAAGATTTCTTCTTTTAACTTCTTTCGTTTAAGATTTCGATATTGTTTCATTTGAAAACTCGTTAATGCACATTGAAGTCAAAGATTTTCTCTCAAATTGATTTAAACGTTAATGGAAAATTTTTCTTTTTAAGTATTCATGGATAATTTCGTTGACTTGATATTCTTTCAAGACAGTTAAATTAATAGCGGATTTTTCTTTTCTATTTCCTTTAATGCAGCATTGAGATCGATAACAACTTATGTATTACAATTGTATTTGATATAATAATCATAGGCACCCAAGTTTCATACTATTTTCTTTTTTCATCATCATTTAAATTATTTTAGATACTTTATTTTTGTTTCTTTTTTATTTTCTTGTAAAATATATTTCATAGTTCAATAATGCATTTTTCTTTTTGTAATTTGTACATCGTCATGTGTATTTTTTATGTTTTAATCGACGTTAGTCGTTAATGCAAAAAAGAACCATCGGTCGGAGTTTCCAATTAAGCTTTACACGTGATAACTAGCGTTGCTCTCATCTGATAGAGTTCTCGACACCAGCTCGCTTTGATGAGAAACGCGGAAGAAGTTTGCGTGAGTGAGTTAATTGAAAATGTCCAATAAATTATTATTTTCATTCGGCAGGTACATTTGTGTTAATTATGAAGGATTCATGTGTTTTCTTTTTACGTTTATTTATTTTCTTTTGATAATCGGTTTCGTCATGCCATTTGTGGCTTTTTAGCTAATTGATTGAAATATGTTGAAGCAAAAACAGTTTTTTACACGTTCTTGCAACTTGATAAGCGGTTTATTCTTCTATTTTTTTATACTGTGAAATCAATTGAATAAAAGAGTTTCCAGAGAGCTTTAGTACTTAGCTTTAAATAGGAAATCAGTTACTCAACTTTATGTTTGCCTCTTTATTTATTTTGATTTCTTGAAAGCAATCATATGATTTATACGCAAAAAGTTGTATTGTAATTTTACGGTTATTGATAATGACACTTGTGGTGATTCATTTAAAAGTAAGAGTAGAAAAAAGTTCCATTTCTTCGGCATAAATGTTGCAGTGAAGACTTTTCTCGTCTTCGGTTTACTTGGTTGTCTTATAGTTTCAGTGAAAACAATCAACTTTATAACTTTTTGTCTCTTTTCTATTACATTTTATCCTGCTTTTAATTAACAACTGATTTGAATTGTGTGTGGGGGTGGTGGAGAGTTTAAAGGAATAAGAAAAATTAATTAAAATTTGTAGTTCCTAGTCCATGAACGAATAAAGAAAACTTTTCCATTGAATGTTTTAATCATATTTTGTTTTCCTGTCTGCATGTTTTTGAGAGAAAATCTTTTTTCATGTACAAAATTTTAATTAGTCAAATAAAAAATAGTTTTCTTTTTTTTGCGCCCCGTTTGAGCGTAATTCTTTTGATGTTAATTTTTTTCATGTGTTTCATTTAAAAAGCAACTTAACTTTGAAATGGCGCAACAATTTCCTGATGCTTATGCTCGCGTGCTATGTGACGACGTACAGTGTTATTACGTGTGAATGTTCTCGAACAGAATGGACATGGTACACGAATTCCTTGATGACGTTGACGAATATGAGCTCTTAAGTTGGTCTCGTAGCCATATTGTCGATCACATAGGGGACACTGAAGTTTCTTGCCTGAAAGAATAAATTTGTTCGGTTTTATATTTATTAAAAATAACTTAAGGTAAGAAGGGAAAACTCTGTAGAGGAAAGTTTTTTTTTATGAATCCTTTCAATCTATATTCAAAAATAAAATAAAATATAATTAAAATGGAAAAATTATCGCAACTCATAAAAATGCTAGACTTTCAGCTCATTGTCAAAATTAAACTTCATCACAGTAAGAGCATGAGAATCTTCGAGTGTAGTTCTTGGTTCTTACCATCAGCCGTATTTACACTTTCTCTATGAGCACTTAAGACATTGAGCATATCGGCGGGTGCGATCGTACCTTCTAAGCCTACGGGAATTCCTTTATTGCTTCCATATGGCACCACAGGTGCAGTTGGCGTGGGCGGAGCGGATGATGCGAGCGGTGATTGCAATTGTCTCATTTCCATCTTCATTCGTAAATCTTCAGCACCAGTCTGGAACGACATGTTTTCAATTAGTTTTGCAATCGCTTTTGAAGGGCTGCGTGTAGCTGTTACTTCATTTTTTATGTTCAAATCCGATGGCTTCTCCGTTCCGTTGCGCTCGTCTCGTTCCGATGTTGATGAAGTTCCATTGCCTTGAGTCGTACTTGGACTATGATTCTCGTATCTGCTGTAAAAAATTTTCAAAGGAAGGAAATAAAAGAAATCTTAAAAACTTATCGAATGATTTAGGACGAAAAGAAATTTACTTAGACTGTTGGGGTGAATCGCGTTCCGTTTGCATTGTATCAGCTTCCGTTGGTGCCACTGATGATCCACTACTTGCCGGTCGATAACCTGACTTTCCTACAGGACTCGGACTTCCCGTGCTTGTCTTTGATCCATCTCTCAACACACTTCCACGTGTTTCCTGTTGATCAAGATTCGTATACGGATTCTTCATGTGACGTTTTCGGGCCGGCTCGTAGGGACTGGGCATGTACGGTTGAGGGTGCAAGTAATTGTGGGGAAATGTCTGAACAGCGCTCTGCATAATCAGATCCGTTTCACGTTTAATTCCACTTTTTGTGATTGGATCGAGATTAGCGAAACTATTACGCTGGCGACGTGGTGGCAGCTCAACAGATGAATTCTCATGAGGGAAAGTCGAATTTGTCGTGCATCGACCATGTTCAGTTGTTAAGCCTTTCACCTAATTTTCAATTAAAAATAAATATAAAGATTTAATAAAATGAAATTTTGTCTTTAATTTAAGATTTAAGTAACCTGTAAGCTTTCGGCAGCTTTCAGAAAGCTTTCCAAAGCTTTTTGTGAAACATGAACTTCACCCTTGTACATGAACTCAAGCAATGCTGCCATATTTTCGGCCGAGGTTGCTTCGAGAATCACGCACACTGAGCCTGTTGCCAATGATGGCGATTCAAATAAATCAGCGAAATTTTTTGAGCATGCCGCTAATATGAGTTTGTGAGCTTTAAAGATTGTTCCTGAAATGATTGAAAAATGAAAACAAATATTAATTAAAAGTGAATATCTAGAGAATACAAAGTGTTGAAATTGTGTTGCGCAAATAAGTCTCGTTTCATCATGCATTCCAAAATGTGTTTGCGTTTGGCAGCAGTTAGCGCAACGAATGAAACAGAAAAACATTTTTTTTTATTTGGCAATGGCCTTGAATTTTTCAGAGCACTTGTATATAATGAATGCTATCAGTAACCCACATTGGTCATCATCATCAGTAAGGGGGGATCTAAAGAATAAATCCTCTTAAGGCGAGTAGGACATGTTGTCCATGTTGGACGTCCTGTTTCGCTCCCCTAATCATCATAGATGATTTATTTGCTAGCGCATTCGATCCTTTCAATTGTAACTGATGTCATCTGTTTAAAGTCGTGTTTGTGTATGTGGCGTTTGTAACGGGATGAATTGGAACTAATTTTTTCTTATGTGATACTCTCTTTGAAGAATGTGTTGTATACCCCTGTTGTTTTAAGAAAATTTATTGTGCTAGATATTTTAATGTTTTTCAAATCAATATCATCTGGAAAGTGCTTGTCGAAATGTTTTAACCTTTGTGGTGCCAGTTTTTCACAATCCTTTAAAATATGCATCATAGACTCTTCATCTGACTCACAGAATCTGCAAGTTGGAGAGTTAAACAAACCGTATCTATACAAGGATTTTCTTAAGCAACAGTGTCCGGAAAGATATCCTATTGCAACTCTTAAATCTTTCCTTTTCATTTTAAGTAATGTCTTGGCTATCTTTTCATCAAACTCCGTTATTAAAAGTTTGGAGTGTTTGAGGCATTTTGTATTCTTCCAGTATGTTTTAAGGCAATTATGCATCCAAGATTTGATTTTTTCTTTCAGATTTGCTAGTGAATTTGTTACGGTTAAATCTATTACATCTTTCAGTGTTCCTTCGTTTGCCAGTTCATCAGCTTCTTCGTTTCCTGCAATGCCTGAATGGCCTGGTACCCAGACTATCTTAACTTCATTGTTTTCACCTAATTTATTTAAGATCTGAGCACAATTTCTGGTAGTGGAATTGAACATGCAGAATTTGTCCAAAGCTTTCAATGCAGCCTGGCTGTCACAGTTAATGATTATTCTCTTATTCGTTATATTTTTAAGAATTGAATCTGTAGCGGCAAATTGAATGCCAAGAGTTTCTGCCTGCATTATAGTGGTATTATCACTAAGTCTTAGATTAAATTTTGATTTTAATGCCTCGCAACATGCTCCTATTCCTGTTTTATTATTTTTCTTTGAACCATCTGTATACCAAATAATATCTCCAAAGCTCGATGGATAGTTTTCTGTCCAATCATTTCTGCTTGGAATGATTACTTCATAGCTTTTATTTGTATTGTTCCAGAACGAAGACCTGTCAGTGTTCACATCAAAATTTTCTTTTATAATAATATTGGAAATTGAAGCATGTCCTGAAGATAATGCAGTGTCGATCCAATCTTTGTTGCCTTTTAATTTAATGCATGTTCTTAAAGCCCTTTCTTTTATTTTTAAGTTGATAGGTGGAAGATTTAATGCTGCACTGATTGCATCTGTTGGTGTAGATTTTGTTGCTCCAGTTATATTCAGCAGTGCTAGTCTATGAACTTTATTAAGTGATTTTGCATATGAAACTTTGTTTGCCTGTTTCCAGAAGGAGAGACTTCCATATGTAATTCTCGGGAGAACTATTTGTTGATAAATGTATGCCATTTTCTCCGGGTTAATTCCCCAATTTCTTCCAACAATTGATTTTGATGCATACAACGATTTGAGTCCTTTTTCTTTCATGGTATTGATTTGCTTATTCATAAGTAGTTTGCTATCAAACCAAATACCTAAATATTTTATCTCTTCAACTCTAATTATTTCTTTGTTAAAAAGTTTAATTTTATCTAATTCAATCTTTTCTTTCTTTTTAAGTCTTGTGAATCTAACAAAGTTCGTTTTATCAGGATTTACATTTAGTCCAGTTTCGTTACACCATGTTTCGACTATTTTGAGAGCATTATTAATTCTCTTGCATACTTCTTTTCCGTTAGCTCCTGATGCCATAATAACTATATCATCTGCGTATGCTATTGTATGAGCTTTATTGTCTAGTTTCAACATTAATTCATCCATCACCAATGACCAAAGCAGTGGAGATAAGCAACCACCTTGTGGACATCCTTTTTCCGGTTTTATTCTTAGTGAAAAGTTTTCTTCTTCCATAAGTGTTTCTCGATTTGATAATAAAAAGTTTATCCAGAGTTTTATTATTTCTCTGAAGTTCTTACTGGTCATAGCTTGATTTATTGTTGAGATCGAAGTATTATCAAAAGCCCCTTCTATGTCTAGAAAGATAGCTACGCAAACTAAGTTTTTATTAAAAGCACTTTCTATAAAACTTTGGACATAATGCAATGCTGTATCAGTGCTTTTATTGACTTGATAAGCAAATTGTCTATGATGGAGTGGATTGTTTTTAAGCTCGAAATCTCTTATGTTCTGATTTACCACCTTTTCCATCGTTTTTAACACAAACGATAGCAAGCTGATGGGTCTAAAAGATTTCGCATATTCATAAGAGTCTTTGTTCGGTTTAGGAATGAAAGTGACATTTGATTTCATCCAACATTTTGGGATATAGCTCAATTTCAAACTGAATTTGAAAAGAGATACCAGCGTTGGAACGATTATCTTTGACACTTTTTGCAGAAGAGCAGGAAAAATCTCATCATTGCCAGGAGATTTGAACGGCTTGAAACTTTCTACAGCTGCTTTTACGTTATTATAATTTATTATATTCTCGATTTCATCATTATCTATTTCAACATAATGCATAATTTGATTTTGTGATGCCGTAACAGAAGAGTTTTCTTCAATTATTTTACAATTTGGGAAATGAGTAATGAGAAGCTCGAGATAACTTTCCTCTAGGCTGTTTGTGTAAGTGTTATCACTTTTTTTGATTGAGCCAATCTTCTGAAGCTTTTTGGATTCAAAAAGTTTTTGAATTCTTGCGCAATCTTTCACATTATCTAATTCTTCCATTTTTTTCTTCCAGCTTTCTGCCTTTGCGATCTTGCACATTTTTTTATATTCATTTCTTTTAATTTTATATTTTTTAATTGCAATGGTTTTCTTAGTTTTGAGAATTTCTAAGTTTCCTTCCTCCTTTTCTATTTTCTTCTGTATTTTATGAATGATGCGATTTAACTTTCTTAGATTTTTCCTTTCATTAATGATTGAGATATTTTGCCAAGGTGTAACGAATGAGTATTTATTTCTTTTTAGCTTGCATGAGAGGTTGAAGCTGTTCATAATTTTATCATTAAACATTTGAGCAAGACTTTCAAAATCTTCATTTCCTTTTATATCATTACAGTTGAAAGAATCAAAATTTTTTGCGATGAGTTTTTCGTATTTTATCCAGTTAGTGTTCTTTTTGTTCCGAAAAGTTTGCAATTCCACCACACAGTCTTCTATGTAGAAGGAAATCATTCTATGATCAGAGAATGATTCATGTCTCTCTACTTTCCAATTTTTTATCTTCTCGTTAATATTCATGCTAGCTAAAGATATGTCAATAATTGTTTCTCCATTTTTAAAAGTAAATTCATCCCCTTTGTTAATTATCTCCAGATTTGTACCGCTTATAAAATTTACAAGTTCAATACCTCTGTTATTTGATTTTTTGCTGTTCCATGCTGTGTGATAAGCATTAGCATCACTGCCTATTATGATTTCTAAATTGAATTTATTTTTGTATGCAATTAAATCTTTCATTCTTTGTGAGATTATGTCTGAACCTTTTATTTTACCGTTTAAATACCATGAAACAATCAGAGTTTTCTTAATATCTCCGTTTTTTGACTTAAGGTTACATGATATTACTGTTTGAAATTCATCAGATAATTCTGCGATGAATAAACAATTTGTCTTCTTTATCGTATTTGAATTAACCCATAAAGCAGTTCTCAGTTTTTTTATTGCACTTGTTTTATCATAAAACATAAATCCATTTTTTATATTTTTTAATTCTTCTTTGTTAATGGCAGGTTCTTGTAGAATAACAAAATCTATTAGACATTTATTACAGAAACAGTTAAGTTCTTCGATTGCTAGAGGTCTTCTTCCTGCATTTAATTGTAGAAATTTTACCTTATTTGTGCCTTCCATTATATAGGTGGTAGAGAGAGAGAGCATCTTCGTGTGTTTGATCAGAATTTAAATTGCATTTTTCATATTCCATATTCCACTTTGTTTCATAGCTCACCTTATATTTAATTATGTTTTCTGTAAATCTATATAGTTTAAATCTAATCATCACCTTGAATTCTCTTAAATATACCTTAAAATAACACAAAATAAAAATAAAAATAAATGTAAAGCTAATGCAAGTAAAATTTATGTTATATTTTGAGGGCTTGACTGAGATATTTTTGTGTTGGAGAGAGAGAGAGAAAATCATGTTCATTCTTTGATCAAGAAGCAATTTATTTTTATATTTCACTTCAGTTTTATTCTTATTTTTCCTTTTTATAACACTTTTCACATTTAAAATAAAAAATCTAATTATGAATTCATAACAAGTAAGTATCACTGATTCATGCATGTTGTTATTTTTTTTTTCCATTTCAGAACTTAATGCTATTTCCCTAAAGATAATTTTCTTTTTATAAATTTTCCTGTGATAATTCACTTTTCCCGCGTGGAAGAATTTTTTAAATTCATTATTTGAGACAAGATTCCACTTATTCCTTTCCTTCTTCTTCTGAGCGTTCTTTAGCTTCCTTTGCTTTCTTGGCAATCTTCTCATAAAGCTCTGAGAGTGAAATCTTCCTCTTTCTGTTGGTGAAAACTTCATCAGTGCCTTCTGCAGCAGCTTCATCTTAAATAATTTTTTGCAAAAATAAAAAGAAATTAGTGACGGTAACAGAAATCGGGTTGAATAAATATTGAGAATTTTTTTATAAGTCAGGTTAAATTTATCAGACATACCTGATTCGTAGCTTGTTAAGCTTCTATTTCCTGCTTTCTTGATGATGGCTCGTTTCTTGTGAGTTCCAAACTTTGTCATAAAAATTCCTCGATAATCCATCAGATGATCAATACTCCTTGGGCTAATGAATAGAAACTTCTTAAAGTCATTAGCCTCATTTTTAAAAAGCACCGTCATCCTCCAGTTCTTGATATCCAAATCATGTTCGCTGCTGTTTTGTATTGTTTCAGCCGCTTCATCAAAAGTTGCCTTACTATTTGGGATGCGCAAAGTATAAGCTGACGCAAGTGTTACCTGTTTGAGAGGAACACACAATGGTTGGAAACTGAGGTATCTCTTCCATGCTGTGTTCTCGACTTGAACTTTAGTCAATGCTGCTGTGACAACATCTGCTGCTTTCTGAATTGCAACTCCACTTTTAAAATCAAGTTGCTCGAAGATGTGCCTGTTTGCATCACTAGGACCAGCAGCTGCTTTCTTCACTTCCCTGATGCAATTGTTGCCAATTTTGGTTAACAATTCATTGAAGCTCTTCTTAGCATTTTCATCAAAGACAACTCTTGGGTAGCCTTTGGGAACGAATGCTATGAAGATTGAATTATCCGCTTCGACAAGTTCAGGATTGCTGAACAAAGACACCGCTTCTTCCAACAAATCTTCATTAATCATCACGTGGTTTGAAGCAAGGCCACTGCTGGATGCAGCGACAGATTTTTTCTGATTGCTTTCATCGGACGTTTTGGCATTAATAAGTTTATCAGCAAAAGAATTTGAATCCTTTGGTGAACCAGCTGGGAAAGTTCGAGCCTTTGGATCAGATGCAGAAGATATTGGAACCATCATTGCATCAGCAGAGGATGTTGTAGCTTTCATCTCATCATTTTTTTGTTGCTTTTTGAGTGCTTCAAAATTGCGTGCCATGTCTCTCATCTGTTTTCTTAGCGTTTCCGTTTCGTCATCTTTTTTCCTGAAGGCTCCTTCTAGTTCTTCAATATATTCACGAAGAAGTTTTTCTCTATGAATTGTTTCTTCGTTTCCATTTACGCTTAATTGTTTTTCCACCTGTTCAGCTAATTCTTCATCATTTGACGGGGACTTTTCATCGTTTTTCATTGTTTTTTCGCTTCTGAAGTATGTCTCAATTTCCGGCTGCTTTAATGGCTTCCTTTTGTTGCCAGTTGATCCCGCTTCGCTACTAACGCTGACATAATCTTCTTCTGCATCAGTTTGATCATAATCATTGACGTCATTTGAATTTTCGTTAACTTCTTCTGCATTCATCTTGCGTTTTCTTTGCCTGGAAAAGCTGGTGATATTTACCAGTGAAAATCGTTTGTAAATTCTTACCTTCTTCCTGTGGTTGTCTTTCACAAAATGTCTGAAAATCTCGAGTGATTTAGAATAAGAGAAAAAATTTAGAGAGAATGCGTTCGTGTTGGTTTTTTTATTCATTACTTTTATTGTGCTTATGACTTCCTTTACAGAGTTGCATTGTGATATATTTTTTTTCAGAGCAGAGGTGTTTGTTTTTGTTAGCAGAGTAGCTAACAAAAGAATTTGCAGAGCAGCAGAGTTTCGGCATGTGTAATGAACAAATATTTCTTTGGCTAATTTATCAGTAATTATTAGGATTACATCGTCATTTTTAAATTTTTTTTCAAAGTATGTCACTTTGAAATGTCTTTATTAATAATTTTTTATTTTTTAAGGATATTTGATAGCTGAAAATTAATTAATTGTTCGGCTCTTACGTTTTTTCCTTATTTACCTCTCAACTCTCACGAGAGAACTAACCCACATTGGTGGAAAAATAAAGTATGTTATCAGAAATAACGTTGAGAGGCACAAAAACACAAAATTTACATTGTTTTTTTTTTCTTTTTCACTCATCATCGCAAAAAATAATTTTTTGTTGATAAGAGAACTGCATTCAACTGATTACTCTTATAAAGCTCGTTATCATTCCTTAAAACTTAAGTTTGTTTCATATTTCTGCTGCGCATTTAATATGTGAAATTACATTCTGCTTGATATTTTGTTGGTTTTCCCAGGAAAAATATAAAATGTTTTTGAAGAAGGTCATTTCGTGTTTACGTAAGCCATTCGACATAGTAAAAGACGCATCATTTGCACGCGCGCTAAATTTTTGGCAATAAACATGCATTAACACACATTTAAAGACCTTGAGATTTAATTTTTGTGTTGATGATATCGGATGAATTGGATAAAAATATGGGGTCGTTTGTCAGTGCCACTTTATGTAGACTAAATTGCTTTTTTATTAATTGGAAACATTCTTTTCTATGATAAACTTTTTTCTATGAAATTATAGTCGGAATATAGAATAATGACACGTTGAATCTCTTGAATTTCTAATCTAGTCAAATTTCTAATGAATTCTAATTACTACCCCAGTACGGTTGTATTTTTAAATGTCATCCGATATCTAAAACAGACTGCGTCAATATGGAATTTTAATAAACATCTTGGTGACAATTTACCGCATGAAGTTTTTATTTTCTAAAAATATTTTTGACACAATTTTTTGAAATGAACTTTGTGGATGTATGTAAATACATAATGTCCAAGAATTTGTATTGAAATAATTTTTTATATCAAATATGAAATCAATATCAACACGCATGTCATGATATCTGATTTGAAAGAACGTCTATCATGCAACATTATATGATCTTGTTTTGTTGTCATCCTGACTTAAGATGTGGAAAGTTGAACCAAACACCCAACCACTAGAATGAATTAACATTGAAAATGTTGAGAAAGAAAAAAATTAAAAATAGAATTTTGTTTTCTTCTATTCATGCATTGCATTACATTTCTCTACTAACACACTTTTTTTTAAAATCTGCTGATGTTTTCTGCTGCTTATTTGCCCGCTCAAGAGCGAAGCGAAAAAATGCGCAATTTGGTTTATTTTTAAAATTCCATAGCAGAAGCGAGTCGCTTCGTCCCGATTACACAATTTTTTTGCTTGTAGCGTGAGATGGTATTGCGATTGCACAAAACAAATATCAAGCACTGAAAAGCAGCGAAAAGATTCTAANACTCCTAAAAAACATATTCAAAAGCTACAACTAAAAATTTAAAGCGCATTGTCAACATCACAAAGCGTGATCTCGCGATACGAATTATGAATGGAAGAAGATAGAGAGTGAACCAACAGAAAAATATCAACCACACATGCATGATGACCTATATTTGATTTCGGAAATATTTCTGTGCTTGGTGCTTCACTTTTCTCTGCCCGCGAATGTTAAGAAGCTTCGAAAATGATATAGAAAAGTATGTCATACGCATACAAATGCAGTTTGCTGTTGAAAAATTACAAATATATAAAAATTCGGTTGTGTTTATTTGTTGATGAAACGTAAATTTTAACTAATTGACGACAGCTTAAGCGCACTTTATAAATGATGTGGCAGAAAAGCAACCGTCAATGGTTTCTCTCATAACTTTTAAAGATGCAAGTGCTCGTGTTCTGACGCAAGTGCGACTTCAATGTGACTCTATAACAACAGTTTCTTTCAATTTCAAGGATATTTATTATAAAATATTTGACTCGACTTCACATGTTCACAATTATCACATTCAAAAAACCTCTACATAAGCTTCAAATGCACAGGCGAATTACCTCATCGACGATGTATTTTCAGTTGCGATTACACAACCAGTAAGCAGAATTGAAATATTAGTCTCGGGCGCAATGCAATGGGATGTGGAAACATCACAAAATAAATTTTTATATTTCTCTTTTTCGACTCAATTTATTGCACTTTTACCGTCTCACTTCGCCGCCTTCGTAAATGTAATGCGGGCCAATCAAAATTGCGGAATGAACGTTCGTTCGTTGTTTTTCAATTGAATTCAATTTAAAATGCATTTAATTATGATTCACAAACTTAAATGATAAATGAATTTATTAATAATGAGATTGTTGAAATCTCTCTAAAAATATATTCAACAATTTATTGACGAATTAATATGCGACCTTGAAAATTAAAACATCAATTTTCGTCATTCGGTATGAGGGACAATGTTAACGGGCTCGTATCTAAGATACACGTGCTTTGGAGTCTCTTACGTCGATGAAGGTGTGTCGTGTTAATGTTTATGGAAAAAAACGAATGTCCTCCGGAAAGATTAAAATTTATGCGATGTTGCCAAATATTTAAAGCCACTTGATTTATCAAATGTAATGATAAGACTGATCTTTTAATTCATTTTCCTTATAAGTCTGCCTTTTATTATTATAAATTTCTTAAAGACCTTGAAGGTCCTGTGATGTGACAATTAAGCAAGTGAATTTAATTCGAAGCGTTAAGCGATAACAGATGTTTCAAATAATTTGTAAGTTTCACTGACGCAAATGTTCTGCAAATAATAAGTAAATTATTGAGCTTATTTCAAACAAATTCCCTAGTTTCAAGATCGATTTTTTCTTCAAAAATCTTCTAGGTTTTTCTTAGCAGCTGTTGTATGATAAAGGAAACAATTTTCTCGCATTTCTAAGCTCCGTCAATTATGCAATTTCTATCCATAAATCATCAGACAAAATCGAATTGAGTGATAGATGTGATGAACATTCTAAAAAGATTTCATTTCTCTTCACAGAATAGTCACAAGAAGGAAAAGTTAGTGGAGCAAAAAAAAAGCTCTTCAAATTTACTTTTTCCATTTAGCTAACCAAACAAAAAGCAACGTTTGTGCACAAATATGAGATGTTATCGATGCTGCACATTCAGCATTGAGAAGTTTTATTTTCTTTCTCGAGTGTCCAATGAATAATTCATTTTGCCGAATGCGAGATAAAAAGCAAATATATGAACGATTCATCATCAAATGAAAACGCATATTCAGCGTGCTTATTTCGCTTCGCTGTCTCTTCTCAACCGTTCGTTTTCGTTATGGATGTTCGAAAAATTGGATTTTTGAATTTTTTTTTCAATATCAGACTCGCTAAGTCATATTTGCCATTCATTATTTTCCTGACAAAAAAAATTACGAATAACGTGGAAACTTTGAGGCGGAGCATGCATTGATTGATATGAAAGCTGAAATGATGGAAAATTCATAGCTTCAATCATCGGCCGTTGATTCTACATCGTTTTAGTCAGTTCTTTGGAAATTTCAATAATCCTTTATATGTTCCAGCTCAAACAATTTGTTCATCGATGCCCTTTCAATATTTACAAAGTCTCTATGTCTCAATTGAAACAACGCAAACATAAAATGGGAGAATAAAGAAAATTCATCTATACCTGTAGATAAATTTTCCACCAGTTATTGGAAAGGGAAATAAATGAACGAAAAAAATGCTCCGCTTGAAATTGAAAAATTGATTTATCGCCAATCACCTCTTCCACGAATATTTTTTAATCATTTTTAAAAGCACTCACAAATCACATGGATGTGAATTGAGGATAAAAAGAATTTCAATAATCCTTCTCGATGTCGCGTCATATAAAGTGAAAGGCGGCTAATCGGTGTGGAAACTAATTGGAAGTCTCTCCTTCCATTGATAGTCATTTAAAGAGAAGGAAGCTTAACTTTTCATTAAAACATTAAAACCTTTCAACAGGCTTAAGCTTAAAAGGGTTTTCCGATTCTTGGGGAGGGTTTTGGGCAACTTTTCATACATAGACTTGTGAAATTAAACTGTCTGTAAGATTAGCATCGTCATCATCATCATGTGTGCGTACGAGTTTATCAATAAATTTTTAATTTTGTTTTCAATGACACAACAAACGGCAAGAGCTGGTTCATTGTTTATTGTTCATTTGGTTAGCTCTTGGACACATTTTTATCATTGTCTCAGTTTTAAATAATACCATGCATGTTGGAGGCTACGACATATTCATTTTTAATAAAATGGCTTACGGGACGAATTTTTTTTTGTTTCTCTCTCATGACAAAAGATAAACAAACGACTGAAAAATCCACCAGCTATACACTCTATGTAGCAATACAGACATTTGCCGAATGTTCCACAAAACGAACAGCGGATGTTGTTGAAGAATCATGAAAAGAATTTTTTTTATTTTCCAAGGGAGAACCTGTCGTGTTTTTACATGTTGAAAAAATCTCTCGTTTGATACTTTCAATGGTTTGATTGGAAAATTTTCACGACAACAAAAAAATTGTAATATTTAGAACGATGTCGTTTCAAGTTGTCATAAAAGGGTTTGGTTGCGAATTGATGAAACATGTCCGAGTCGATCAAGATTCTTGTGTTTTATTGAAGTGACTAAAATTGTAAGAAATTATGGAATAACATTTTACTGTTTTTCGTCTAAAAAATGTATGACTTGTACAAATTTACCAATAACGAAATTCCTTTTTCTATCTTCTCTAGACAGTGGATTTGTAGAAACAAAATACATGAACATTCTAAAATAATATTTCATGCTCATTTGGCCATAAAGTATCTTCAAATCCTCGATATCAATTTAAGGGATTTTTAAACATGAAAGAGTTTTCAAATATTTCTCGTAACAGGAACATACCTTTCGTATTTGTGATTTACATAATTAAATTCCATCGATATCATCTTTCTGTCAAAATCAAAATGTTTTGAATTGAAGCGTGAAAAGACCGACAAGATCGAGACTTTAATGATGAAAACTTCCCTTCAATGAGGTTGTCGTAAAACAGAAAGAAAAGTTATGAATGAAAATTCCTTACGATGTTAAGACGTTTTTCTTTGGAAAAGAAAATATTACGTTTCATGTTAGAATACGAGAAAAGGCAAATCATAATAACTCAACGTTACACAAATAAATTTTCCGCCATAAAAAAATGTGCTGCTTTGTGGATGGAAAAAAGGCAAAAAAAATTCCTTTTCTTTTACGATTTCAAAATTTAGGTCTACGTTGAGTTTGGGAAAAAAGGCGGCAGAAAGAAAAACACGAAAAAGAGCGAGCGAAGAAGCAAAGCAGGGTAAAAGAAAAAAAAAGAAAACATCTTGCTAGACGGTTGGTAGACAATATAATAAATGATTATAATATTGAAATGATAGACACACCAACAATATAAAACTTGTTTATTTTTTGCCCTTTTTCCGGCCGCCTTTTTTTCCCTTGTCGACTTTTCTTTTTTTTCTCCTTTACACCACCCCCGTTGAAGACGAGAGAGAAGGAAAAAAAAAAGAAAGCAATAAAGTTTTTCTCCCACCCATAACATCACACCGTGGACCGCGACAACATTTTCCCCTTTAGCTTTCTTTCTTCACGCTGTTTTGTTGTTATTTGATTTACGATTCTGACCTAATTAATGCGTCAAGAAAATGAAGAGCATAAAAAAACATCTGACCGACCGATTGAAAACCCTTTTTTTCTTTTAAAGGCGTCTTTAAGCTCATGTCTGACGTTTGAAGTGCTTATTTACCTAAAACCACCCACTCAAAATCTCTCCGAACATGATTTTTTATTTCCCTTTTGCAAAATTTAAATATCATGAATGGGACGACGACGCGAAAACAACCTTGAATTGGCGTAATCTTGATGCCGTAATCTGCCCTAATTTTCGTAGACGTTGGTGGAAAATCCCTTCAACCAGAAAAAAAGAAGAAACTCATAAAAGGAAAAGAAAACAGAAAGTATCTTAATGATTATGATGCGTTGCTGCCGATTACGTTGTCTTCATACGAATACTTTGATATTCTTCTATTATTTATTTCTATCGAAACACCCGGGCCAAGGCGAAAGCAAAGCATAATTGTGTATACAAGTATATGAATCATCAGCAAGCATAAAAAGAAAATTTTCTCTCCCCAACAACAAACTTGTATATATTTTTCCATATTTCTTTCTTTTTTTTCCTTCCCGGACCTTCTCAAGAAAACCGAAAAGAAGCGAAGCAAAGTAAAAAAAAAGAAAAGAAAGAAAAAAGTGAAATAAAAATAATTTTATGCTTATGTATTTACATGGATGGCATAATAAAAATTATGTGTACATGTGGTGTTTGCTACATTTTCATGATTCACAATTCCTGTTATCGATGATGTTGGGTTGATATCTTATCATTTATTTTGCTTACATAATAATATGATGAAGTCTTTTCTTTTGTATTACTACATAAATACATATGTAAATATGGTAAATATTCAGAAATGTTTTCATGTTTTTACATACTTAGTAGAACATCAGAATTATATTCTGAAGAAGCATTTGAAGTGGATGGAAAAAAAGGACAAGAAACGGCAATTGCTTAAAAAAATTATGCTCGTTCACATACACGATGTCGAAGGATCAGTCAAAAAATAAATTGGAGACCTCACGACTTGCCTGCTTGATGACTCGAGACGAGTAAATTCTTTGAGAGGGTGGAAATTCTTTTTATGGAACATCATAACACATTTGAATGAGATAAGAGAGGGATTGAGGTGTGCGTGGGTGGAAAATTATGTATTTATTTTTATTACTCAACAAGAGAAAAATATTTTTCTTTCTATATCACAACATACATGATTTGCCGACTCTCGTTTCCTCTTTTCAACTTTTTTTTTCTTTTTTTTGCGTGTTGTACGTTCATGTATACTAAACCGTCTGAGGCCGCCGCCGTCGAAAGAAGAAAATCGTGAATGAACCATTCGCGAATGGTGATGGAATTTTATTGTTATTTTCTCGGTACAAACATGATGGATGGATGTTTGTAGTATGTGCTTGTGAATAATTTGTAGAATCATGTGATTTAACCATTTTCGGTCGAATTTAGGATGAAGAGAAAGTTTTCTCTTCTAAAATATAAATATAACAACAAATAAGGATTAATGCCGGGAGAGTTATCAAGATAAGTTTTCTTGTTCGTTTTGTCTTTCGTTTTCGAAGAATAATTAAGAAATATCACTGTTTACTTTATTGCTCGTTCTTAATTATCAACTGAAATCTCTATAGATCGCACTCATTCTCTTCTATTAAACGTGAATCTTATTGTTTACACTAATTAATTGATTTATGAAATCTCAATGGCCATGCATTAATGTGTTTCTAATGTTATCACAACTGTCGTGTCTATTGATCCCTTTTTAAACATTATCATCTTAAACTCACCCTCACAAAACAATGTGACATCGGTCAGGGTCTCTGTGTTGAATAGATTTGAAAATGCTGTAGCCAAATTCGACGAATAATTGCTCCATTTCAAACAATATTGCTGTTGTTGATCCATTTTTGTTTCTTCTCTTTTCTTTTGTTTTCGTGTCAAAATTCTGGAATGAAAAAGAAATAAGAAAAAAATTAAATTTTTGATTTGTCGATTTGTTTCAGTTTTTGTTACTATTATTAGTATTGTGGTCCATTTATAGGCAGATTCAACAGAAATTTCAACACTCAAAAATCTATGGTAATATCTTTGGCAAATTTGTTTCATGCTTTGCATAATCTTGATTATCAGTTGTGTACATTTGAATAAATTATCGGACTGGCAGCATGGGGAGCTTTTTGAATGACAAATTAATAAAATAATCAACGAATCAAGTTCCATCCTTATATCGCTCGATCAAAAGGAAAAAAAGACGACACGTGCGTAGAGATTAAGTTGCATCAGTCTTTGTCTTGATTTTTGTTTAAAAACGAAATTTTGACTTGAAATCTTTGAGTTGTGAGAATATTTTTGATTCTTGCTACATAATGCGACTTTTCGAAACCAGAAAATGCGGATTCTAAATACAAATATTGATTTAAGCTATTTATATTTCCTCCAAATATCTACATATTTTTTTCTTCATCCAATCGTCAAAAAGACGATGATTCGTCAGAGGCAAAATAGATAAAAAAGTGAGTTGATTGAATGAAATGCGAAGAAAAATAAAATTTAATTCAATTTGCATTTCATGTTCGAGTATGATACGATTGAGTTTCGTGTCTTTCCCTCACTTTTCGCCTCAACAAAACGCTTAAAGCCTTCATCTTGGGAACGAGCGATTTGATGGTTAGATGAATGCAATGTCGAGAGATAAGACGAATAATTTTCATCTTCGTTTCATTTTGACGAAGTGCCAGAAGGCAGCATTTCAACGCATAATTTTAAAGAAATTTTAATTTCTTTTTTTTTCATCGTTTAATGAATATGACGAAAAATAGAAGCCAAGTGATTAAGAGTGTAGGCATTGATTGTCTTATTGACACGCTTGCTACTTTAACAGTTAACTGTCTAAACATTTTCTTAGATTAACAAACTCAAAACTGCGTCATTTTGTTTTGATGGCCTCGAAAAAAAATACATCTTGGCCTTAAAAAATCCATTTGCTTCCCATCATTCAAAATGCGTTTCAATTCTTACTTTTATTCATTTAATGCGCATGAACCAAACATTAAAATGCACATTCATTGAACGGGAAAACTTTTCTTTCTTTCTTTCTTTTATGCGTAGAAATATTTGTGCGTTATGAGAAATAATAAAAATCATTCAATGATTTAAATCTCTCGATAGGTTAATTTCTGGCCAAATCAAGCCCTAGTGTTACGGCCAAACAGTAACGAATAACAGTTTTCGTTTAACTAAGCGCAATAAAAAGTGCGTAAAATGAAGTTTTTTTTCTTTCTTTCCATTTTCTTCCACTCAACGCAAAACAAAACGAATAACCACAAAAAAAAGTTTGAAATTGATGTTAAATTAAAACGTCATTATGGTGCGCTGCACACCAGCTACGTGTCCAAGAAGAGAGAGGCAATGAATGATTCACTTTCTAATGCTTTTTTCGTGAAACGCAACGGTACGCTGTCGGAGCGCAGTAATTCTATGAAATAAGTTTTTAGGCGCTTTGAGGCGGGTATTCGTTTTAACATCAGAATCCATTGCTTAATTTCCTAATGCATTGTGAATTCAATCATAATTTTAATATTCCATTGCGAGTGAAAGATACGCAAGTTGAAAGCAACATGAGAGCATATCAATCTAATTGACGTGATACGGTGCATGACACATCAAAAACAACAAAAAAAAAAACTATACCGGGCAAAGGAATATTGTTTTATTAATTTCTTTCTCACACTCGTTCGCCTTTCTCATTGCCTCGTTCCATGCATCGCTGCATAAGAAAAATAGTTCAATGCACTGGTGTAATGATTTTTCTTCTTTTTCTCAGGTCGATTCCGAAAAGTGTTCAAAATTTCTACAAAAAATCTATTTCAAAGAGAGTTTCATCATACTTTCGTAACATAATGCCATTGCGCGCATAAATTAATTTTATTTCAGTTTTTTTTCGAAAGAGCAGACAAATCACAATAGACTTGCATTACAGTTCACGTACGTTCAGCTAATGCTGATTTTAAACAGGTTTTGATGTGAGTTGTTTTCCCTCAAACTAATTGAATTTCAGTTGTTGTTTTTCTTTTACTATATCTCCTTCTCTCTTTCTCTTGTTCGGCTCTTGTTTGTTGCGCTATAATCCATTTCAGCGTTATGAATTCCAAATTAAAAATGCATATCATTCAATTGTAGAGCGGGACGTTTGTTTCTTTTTTTTCCTTTTGGTATCTTATGTTTTGAGTTCAACTGCGAACAGCGAGAGAGATTTACAACTGTACTTTGCACTTCATTATGGTAAATCCAATTTGACATTCATCATTTTTCATTCATATAAATGCTGATGGTCTTTTAACTTCCCATAAACAGCATCAGATGCGATTCTCAAAATTACTCGTTTTGTGTTTTGCATTTTTTGGGGGATTTTTTCTGTTACAGTTTTTACTTTTTTTATTGTGAGACTTGCGTAAGAAGAAGTCAATTTGTGCGTTTCTAGCCTGAGAAACTCATTTCTCTGCGATTTGACTATGCACGTTTACTTTTCTTGATTTACATATTTTATGCAAGGGGTGAGATATGAGAAAAAAATTCGTTATGTTTACGAGGCTCGTTAGCAAGTCTGCAAAAATATCTGCATTAAAACATTTAATCATAATTTAAGAATTACTGTAATCGCAGTATTCATAGGAAGGTGGAGTGAATGTCAAAAACATTTCGTTTTGCCTTAAAACAATCCTAAATTAGCATTCTTTGACTGCATCTGCGTGATGCTCTTGTTTAGTTATAAAACAAAAATGATTCATCAGACATTTGCAAAGTGTTGAATTTAAATTAAAATTTTGCATTACGACTGCATATCGATTTTCTTCATTCCACTTCCCGTGGAACAAATTTTTATTATATAATTCGACAACAGAGAGAAAACTCCATTCACCCTTCCATAGTTTCAATCAACAAAACGAATTATAGACAAATGCAGTTGTCGTGTTTGATGCAGAAGGTAGAGTGTTTGTTGTTGAATTAAATAAATAAAAAAAAGAAAAAAAAACTCTTCTATTGTTGTTTTAAAAAGTTTTTTTCATTCAATGCACAATGTAAAATTGAAAAAGGGATTTATGCTGAAAATGCGTCATTTGTGCATTCACTTTAAGAAGATTTTATAACTAAGTATTATGCGTTAGTTGAATCAATAAATTCATCCCCTAACTATACTCTACATCAATCACATTTCGTTCAACACGTGTAATGAAACATCAGTTCCATCAGTCGCTTGGTGATGAATATAACAAATGCATTTCATTCAATCATTTTAAAAGCAGTTGAAAGTTGTCATTAAAATGATTAAAATTGAGTGCGAGCATTCAGAGCGAAGCTTCATCGCATCTATAATCTGATGAAATGAAAAGAAATATAAAAAAACTGCCGCGTTCATTGGTACAATGCGTAATTACAGGTTAAGAGAGAGCTGCAGTTGAAAGCTACTTTCATGTCGTTTACCCAGTTTGTCGGCTGCCAACATCTAATTTGACTATCTTTCAAACATAAAGTCATTTCGACAGCACGTAAGACGAAATCGAATCAATTTTGATGTGTTTGCGTATTTTACTTCTTTTTTTCTATCTTTCTTTCATTTACTTGACTTAAGCGCAACGCAAAAGCGACAACAGTTTGTTCGGGAATTATGGAACAGTTCATTGAATATTTTATTGTTTGTCCGTCAATCAATTTGGATGAAAAATGCATGAAACAGTCGCATTTGAAAGCCATCAATATTCAGACTACCGAACAACCGCTACAAGTCTCATTATAGAGTTATTATGATTTGTTGTTGTACTGTTGCTCATCGATATTCCGAAAATGTTAAATATTGCTCTTCGTGTACATGGTCGGTTTTTTTTTCATTGCCAAATGTCGATTAAATGTTTATGTTACGTGTGTTTAGGCGATTATCGATTTTATGGCTTAATTTTGTCGACTAACGGTGAGTTAACGCATCTTAAAGTGCACTAACTAAAAGACTTTCATCTGCCTTTCTAACAACTGTAAATTTTAACATTTTTCGTGGGCTTATTTTCGAATTATGCAAGCTCGATTATTGAAGTCTTAAATCAAAATGAAAATTTAATTATGAGCCTTAAGCTTGAGACACGATTTGAATGTGAAAACACATAAAACTCTTCGTTCTCAGAGGATATGGAAACGGAACTATAGCGTATTTGAATCACTTTTGTGCCTTGTTAAAGGAAACATTTTATGTTGAAATCACATTAAAAACAGTAAAATAGCAAATAAAAACGCAAACAAAAGTAATCATAAAAAGCCATAATTATAAAACTTTTTATTTCCGAAATGTGTTTTCTATTTCATTTGCTTCTACATCGACTTTTCTTTTTCTTCTTCTTCTCTAGATTCAATAAAATGTGATTTCAAGCGTGGGTGTGTAAAGATATGCCTTTGAGCTTATCGGAAAGCTCCCATCAGTTTTCACTAATTGCACAAATTTTATTTTCCTCGAACGAGAAAGTTTTTCTCATTTCGTTATGATCGAAATTTTCATGCATACACGCTACGAGATTTTTATTTTCAACTTCGCCTCGCCTCAACTTGTTCTGTAAACGAGAATTTCAGAAAACTTTTGACAGAGAAAACCTCTTTAACTTATCAATTACACTCAGCACTTTTAGCAATGCCTAGGAAAAAAAATTTTTTTCGCTTTGCTTTCTCCATCATTAAGTGCAAAATAAAATATTTTCGTGATTGAAGAACATTCTCAAATTTCCAAGCCCCACAAACAGAGGAAGTTCATTCCTTTCAGGCCTCGCATATCGCGATGAAAGATAAACGAAAATATTTTTCATTACTCGGCTCATTTGTCGAAATGAAATGATGCAAAGTTGCGTCAAGCGAAATTAACTACAACAAACATGAAACACTCGAAAGCGTTTTATTTCGATTCCATATAAACATTTGGAACGGTTCGGACGGAAGTGGGTGGCTTGAGGTTTCCTTTTGCTCTACCCATAAGCACCATGGCACATGCAATACTGAACTTTTCAGCTTAATGAGGCACAATAAACAACTCTATAACAACCGAAAATGTGGAGAATTTCAAGGTTAAATTAAGCGTGAGGACGCTTTTCTGGCTTCTCCTAATTTGAAGCACTAAAAGCATTTATTCCTTGCATGTTCTCCATTAGATAAAAAGACATACGCAAACATCAATTTTAGAGTGAAGTAAACTTTTCCCTTGCTCTTTTAAATGAAAGCAACATTCGCTCTTTGATCATTTTCAAGTGACTAATTGGCTTACATTATTGAATTTCCTTCACTGAAACTTATTGCAATAAGCGAACTATTTTTTTCTGTAATTTCATAAGCTACATATTGATACAAGTTGTTGTCATCAAAGGCAAACAGAATAATTTGTTCAATATTCATGTAGAAGTGGAGAACTCATGAGATATTGTTGACAAAAATTGCTGACATTCAGAATATACAAAATTTATTACCAAACCAATGTTGTTGTTTCGTTTTTACGGTATTGCATTTTTTATCTATTGTTGTTGTAAGGTTATTGCTGGAAATATTTCACATTGCTACTGAACGAAATTATGAGAGGAAAAAAATGGCAATCGAAGTCGTTTGTATTAAAATTATGCGAATGAATTATGACGATGATATTAGTCTAAGTTGAAATGTACGTACGGAAGAAGGAAAATCTCAGGATTCTTTATCATTTCTTTGCCCGTCCACCCACTCATAACTTATAGTACTTATATTGATTTTTGCAAGTTCAGCACAATCTTCTTTCCTTCCTTTATCAACTTTGTTATGAACTTTATTTTTGTAATGATAAGGAAAATCTTCCGTTTCCTTCTACTATTTGCATTCTTGAAAACAAAATTTAAAATGTCAACACGAAAACGAAGCAATAATTCTCAATTAAATTTATGATAAAAGAAAACTTTCACTCTGTTTGAAATTGACATGATTTAAAATTGCATATTTTTGTGACTTTTTTTATAAATAAAAAACATAAAAAGGATTGCTAACGAGAAAACATATTCACCGTCAATCTTCATTTACAGTTTCCACGATAACCCCCGGAAAAAAGAAAACAAAAAGTTGTGTAACATTTTACATTTTTCTACATGATTTACAACTTGCATACAACAGCAAAACGTTGTTCTTTCCATTTCAATTAAAAACTTCTATTGCGAAAAGTCTTGTAATGTGCGATGTCGAGTAAAAAAGCCATTTACGGCATCTCTAATAATGACAATTTTAAATATAAATGGAGCGGCACCCGTTTAATGCTATGGGGAGACAAGATTCTAAAGGGAATGGTTTTGCGATATAAAATATATGTTCGAGAAAATCGTTAACGCAGCCACTCATATAGAATATATGTACGATATAATATAATCAAGTTACGACCAAAGGCAGGCGATATCTATGAATTGTGCGTAAAGCATAAATGTACTCATTCCCTTGTATTATGTTTTCATTCTGCGCTTACATATATATGACACATAATTCATTTTAATTGAATTTAGTTGTTAAAATGGCTTTCACAATAATAAAAGATAACAATGTCATGTGTAATTAAGGTAAGAGAATTGCGAATAAAACATGAATGATATTATTTTTTAACAAGGATATATGTATGTAAAATGTGTTGGAGTCTCGCATACACAATTTCACAATTAATTGGGAAATGAGCTTTTCTTTTTCTCCTTTTTGTTCTTCTCTACTCTCTCATATGTTTATGATCCTTAAGCAAGTGAATATAAGAGAAATTATTAGCCTATTTAAAATTTGGGGTCCCAATGTGAAGCTTTCACGTATGTGATTAACGTGTCGTATTAGAACTTTTGACGATTTCGAATGCTTCGTCCTGGGCTTTAGGGTGGTAATTTAGTTATCCACAATGTGTGTTACTTTTAAGATTATTCATTAATAATAGCAATCATAATTAAGGTTTGAATGTCGTGATTATGATATTAAAATTTTAATGTGATGTCGATGTTAATAGACACCGGAACAAGAATCTTGAGAGAAGATAAACTTGTAACGTTCAACGTTGTATGTTGCTAAGGTTTGATAAATATTTTTAATGAACGATGCTATACTTATGCAAACTGAGGCGTATTTTATGTATGTTACTTCAGACTTTTCCCTGTATAAAATAGACTTGCAATGTTAAGTTCTTCATGAAAAATTTCATCCTATCACTAACTCAGTTTCGTTTGAAAATAATAAAAAAAAGTTCTCAAATAGTTCTGTGTAAAATTTGATGAGGGTTCAAAAAGTAACTTTTGAATGCAAAAGCATACATTAATTTTGCTGCGGCTATGTCGTTACCATCACAACTCATGTTGGAAAAGGACAACAAGCTGAAACTTTCCGTTCTCTATGGCGTAATGCAGAGTAAGCATTGAAAGCAGTTTTTCTTGCGAATGTTTTAGTGATTTCCGTTTTTGTGCTTTCTGATTCTCTGTGTGGGTGCGTGAGAAATAGAAGAAAACAGAAAATAAAAACGCAACTTGGGAAGGTCACATTTTGACGAAGGAAATGTTGTGTTCTGAATAGCAACAGAAAAAATTTTTCACCCCAAACTTACAACTGATATTCACCCTTCACCCTACCAGCCCCAACGCAACGCGTTATCACTCAGAAAAAAATATTCAGCATTTCATTTTTGTTTTCTGTGAGTAACAAACAGAACTGAGTGTGTTGTATGCTTCTATAGCGTGGGTTAGGAAACAGAAGAATGAGCAAAGTTCATACTTAGTCCCCATTCCAAAGCATTTCTCTGACTGTATACGTACACGAACAAGAACATCAAAGTTTCTCGTTTCCCTTTCCTCATTTTCATCGAGAGAAAATGCTTGGCAAGCGAACACATATCATAGTTGAACGAGAAGAGAAATGTTAGTCGAGAAGGATGAGCGATGAAGAAGAAAACTTCACTGCTGTTATTGCAGAAAGTTTTAATGCTCTGAGCTTCTTATAGGAAGGAACGTTTTGTGTGGGTGGGTGATGAAAAACGAAAGGGAAATTTATCTCAAAACAGAAAATTATTTTATGAAATGAAAAGTGAAAGTGCACACGCCAAAGTTGTTAAGCTTGAATCTTCATATGAATTTTGAGAGAAGTTTTAATGCATCAACTTCGTTAGTTCTCTCGATAAAAAACCGCATGAGAAATGTTCATGGTTGGAAAAAGTTTTTGAAGGGAAAAGCTATCTGAAATATTATCGGTAGTAAAAGTTTTCCCATCGTCGGGGGCAAACGTAATAAATAAAATAATTCTCCCAGTGTGGAATTTATGGAACGACCTCGGGCGAAAATTTTCGAGCTACTCGTGCAGACATCAAATAGCTCACTCTTATTTGCATGCAGAGGTCGAGTTTAGGTGAAACGATGAAAAACTGACAAAAGCGTTCAAGGACAACGATTACGTTAAGCTTTTCATTCTCGTTTTTTGTGCAGTTTGGGTCGATAATAGCTTGTCTAGAGTACCTTCAAAGCAATTACCAAAGAAAAGTAATTCTATGTCAACGCAACATGTTCGTGTACATCAAAGAAATTAATTTAACTAACATATATAAAAGCTTAACCGTGCAAAGTTTATACAGCAAAACTTCAAAACTTTATTAATGCTTGTCTCCACCTACGCATTTAACGTTAATGTAAAATTTTATTTTACTACGATGAATAAATAAAAAAAGAAAACAAAAACAAGGGAAAACTTTCCCACAGCAAACACACAAAAAAATTTTTGATACCAGTGATGGTTTATGTATTATCTAGTACGACTTTTCTGTCATTTTCATTTAATTTAATTTGCATAAATTTAATGTTTCGATTTATATTTCGCTCCCATCATATACATCACGTACAGTCTCAATGTGAAAAACAGTTTTTCGGGTGGTTTTTTCGGTTTGGTTTCGTGGTGCAAGTTTCAGCTTTTCTCGCACAAAATTCGTGCCTTTCATGCGAATAAGCTGAAGAGCGTTTGGAGTTGTTTTCACAGTACCTAGATTGTGGCTTGTAATTTAATGAAAATTAATGTCACTCTACATATTGTCATCGTGTTCTAAATTCAAATTGATATGAGCTCAATGTGAAAAAGCAAAGTCAATGATTTGAAAATTACTCTTATTTGTTGATGCGTTTAACTTTATGTCTCAGAAATTTCCATTGAAACCAAAATGTATTTTGGAACATTCTAGAAGGAAAATTTATTTCATAAGGAAAACGAAAAAAATAAAATAAGTGAAAATGAGTCGAAGGAAGTGAAAACTCTTTTTCTTCGAAGGTAAAATTTAACGCGTTCAAAGCTTTTTCAACACATTGTCGTTTCCATTAAATAACAAAGTTTCAAATAGTTTTCTATAAACTTTTCCTAAGCTTCAAGCTGTGTTTCCTTCCGTCTTTTAACATAATTTCTTTCTTTCCTTTTTTAAGCTGCGTTTTACCTTCACACACAGTCGCAATAGAAAGAATTATATTCTTTGCCTTTAATGGCTAAATTTCATATAAAGGTGCGATGAAAAGCCTTAAGACTAGAGCGAGAGAAAATATTTTCTGCACCTGCTATTTTCCCTTTTTCCTTTTTTCATTATGTATGTTGGATGCCATAATGGCAAACGCAATTTGGATTAAGTTTAAATTTATGGTATGGACATTTTTGCCTGGTGCCATGCCTTCGCTTTCTCACCAGCTATCAACGATGCTTTAGCACTGGCACAAGTGTAATATTTAAGGAAGCAAAGGAGATGAAATCTTGGGAGAAATTATTCTAATGACCCAGATATCGTATGGAATTCGTTGCGCTTCCCCTCTGTTACGCATTTCATTTCATTTCATTTTTCCTTTTTCATCAAAACCTAATTAACAATTTTCAATTAAATGGTTTCTCTTGCTCGCATCGCAATGGTGAATATTTTTCTAATTACAGAATTCTCTACGCTCGATCAAACACAAAGTTGTTCATCTCCCTCCCATTTTCCACTCCCAAACAGCCTTCAACGAGACATAAAATTCTGCAGAATCAGAAGGAATTTAATTTCTGCTCGTTTTCAGATGCCTCTTCATCATCAACAATCTACCACCCATTGTGAGTTAATTGGGAAAAGCACACAGAACGGAGAAAGCAACCGTAAAAAAACATTTAAACGAATGTACAATGAAATCCTGCAGAAAGCAGAATTCCGGGCTAGGAAATTTTTTGCAGCAGTCATTTAAAATTAAATTTTCTAACTCACTCACTCACTCGCTTACACACAAACACGCACGCACGCATCAAAACATCAACAAGAAAAAGAAGTGTCGAATGTGTGGGAAGAGAGAAAGGAAAAGTGCTCTATCACGCTATCGATTTTTCCAGCCGAATAAAAAGCCATTATAGACGTTGCAAGCGATGCTACATCCACACACAGCACATTTTTCTCGTTCCTTTCACCATTTCTAATACGCAACTGCAACTGCTTTTTTCCTGGCTGCCGATTTTCCAATCCACTTTCGTCCCTTGCTTCCCTCTGTCTCTCCTTCTCTCTCTCCTCTTCCTTCACTGCTGTTTTCTGAGGAAAAACGAAAGGAAAATGCTGAGCCCTTTCGCATACAAAAAGAAAACCATTCGTTGCAACATCATCGTAAAGATTCAGCATTTTTTTCCTTCAACCTACTTATACACTTATAGTTGAGTGATGAAAATTCTTATGTCATTATGCGACACTTTCATGGCATTTCGCAGAAGAAAAAGTGAAAACTTTGCTTCGCTTCTGGTAATGAACTTGAGAAAAACTTTTTGAAGATTACTTGACTTGACTGAGAGATGAGATGTTGAACTTGCTTTCGTGGAAGGTCGAAAGCAAAGTTATGGTGAATTCAGACACCAATGAACCGTCTTCCGTCCATACAATGCTTCATTCATCAACTTTGATTTCTTACAAAAACAATATATTAACTTGAAACTTCTTAAGGAAAATTAAAGATGAAAATGTTTTTCATAATTTTCCAAATTTTTTCCTCGTGATTCTCCCTCAAACTTGAAGAAAAAGAAAATGCTTTTTGAAGCTAAAAATAAAACTAACAAAAAAATAAAAACTTTGCTTTTGAACTATGGTAAAACGCTATACATCCATCCATCCATCCCATTTTGAGTATCATGTCGAATGAAATATCGCTTTCAAGTCAAGCATTTTCTATTAATACTATTTGACATTGAAAATTATTTCGTTTTCACTTTGAAATAGATTTATTTATACATATGCACATGGGACGGCCAGTTTTGCATTCATTTTCAGCTGAATTTGAACTTTTTTTGACATTTCTTTGTTATTGTTATTGTAGCAATCATTGACTGACGATAATAAAATGTATTTAAATTACATGACATATACATGAATGTATCGTTTCGGTCGTCCTCTAGACATCGGAGAAATGTTGATCCGCGCAACTTTGCAATGCAAACATTGCACATCCGAAAAAAAAACAACTGAATTAATTTGGACATTCATAACAGAATTTATTATAAATTCGAGGATAGGGGAAAAGAGAAAGAAAGAGAAGTAAATGAAATTGAAATATTTTAAAACAAGATTATTAAAGTATACAACACAAGCGAAAAACAAACGAGTGCTTTATTTGGAAAGTGCAAACAGCGCAATAGCAATAAAAATTTTATTTTCTTATTGCACACATATACCCTTCGCCCCCGGTTTCATTGCAGTTTTCCCTCAGCTTTCTATCTCGCTCTTTTTTTTGTCGTTTATCAGTTAATGCGTGTACAGACTGTAACTTTGCTTATGTGTATTGCAGGGAAATGAAAGAGAACTGGATCGATATTGCTGTTATGCAATTTCCACCCACGCCAAAAACTTTAACAAAAAATAACTCTTGCAGTCGCTTCTGGCGAATTTTTCATTTAATTTATCGTAGTTTGTTACCGTGGCAACTGAAACGAACTGAACATGACTAAACAGACTTTTTTTAAAAATGCATATAAGATACATTTATCCAACTGTTGATGAATTAATGTCCAAAGTCGAAAACAAAAGCGGCGAAAATTAAAATGAAATAAATTTGCGCAGAATATTTTTCTTACATTTAATAAAGAGAATTGTGATAGCATTTTCAAATAAATATGCACACACGTTCAATAAATGACATTGAAAATGTTCCCGAAAATATTCAGAAGGATTTTTCTTCGTGATCGAAGAGACTCGAGAGGAATTGGAAATTGAAACTCTTGAGAGTGTTTCTCGCTTATGCATTATCATCATCGCGTTCTTATGACATTGAAAATCTTCTTTCATTGCTATTCCGCTCTGCTTTGTTGATGGATGTTTTCGATGTGTCATAACGTTTTTTTTCTTTCGTTTTTTCATCACAACAACTCCACGTTCTGTTCTCATTTTTTAAGCAAAAGATAGATATTTAAATGTATGATGCACGAACTGCAGAAATGTCAACATCATTAATTTTATGAATGCACATTAATTTCTTTTTTTAATTTATGACTTCATCTTAAAAGGAAAAACTTTTGAAATTCGTCATTGCATTCTATAAATCGCAGTTTATTCTCGTCAAAGATTAACTTATCTAATTCAATGACTTTTGACTTTGAATTTTAATTATTGTTGTCACTCACAGTCTCCATTTCCTATATTCTTCTATTGTTTTAACTTCAACACAACATTCCATTGAATGAGCTCGATGCTCGCTTTTGTTCTAGATTTTGTCATTTTAAATTATGGAGTTGAGACCAACAAACGAAATTACATCTAAACTACACTCGGAAGCGAAACTTTATTTCTCTCCAAATCTGTTTTTACGTTTGTTGGGGTCAGTCTCTATTATTATACTTACAAAATGTATAAGAAAAAAATTAGAAAATTTCGTGGTATTGAAAGAAAAAAAAATCATTTGAGCGCATAGAAAAAGCATTTAAAATGAAACTAAAGTAAGAACTGCGTATTAAATCACCGCACTTAGTTTCACGTCTCTCAGCACAAGAAAACATTAGTAATGTGCACTCAACTGCAACAAACTTTCTTGCTTTCTTTCCTTCACAAGCATTCTTCGCTACGCATTTCCATTCTATGCGCATTTGAAATCGTTTCTATTGTGATTATAATATCCGAGTTTTTATTTTTATTTTTATTTTTTGTATTGTTATTTCTCTTTTTTGGTGAATAGAAACTTCTCGTGTAATTATGCGTTTGAAATTTATTATACATAAAACTCGCTGATGTTTGTTCTAGTGGCGGGTTAATTGTGCGATAGTTCATCATTTGATCTAAACATTGAGCGTGACTTCTTCCAAAAGCTTCTTCAATTGCATAGCACAATTCTAGCAGATAAATGACGAGCTCATACCATGGTAGTCATTAACATTTTTTCTATTTCTAAACAATAGCATTGAGCAGAAGTTTCCATGAAGATTAAATGTGTACATCTCGCTTTTTCTCGGTAATTTCATTCTTGGATGTTACGTTATGTAATTAAGTGCATGTAAAGGTTGTTAGAATGAATTTCCTCTCATTGTTCTTCAATTCAATTCAGTAATGGGAAGAAATTACTTCACAGCGATCTCCATTTCATAAAAGAGAGAATTCAATTTAAGATGCATGGTTGCTGTTTAATATAATTCTTCTGTTAGTAGAGAAGCAGCAAGTTAAAGACCCGATCGATCAAAATGTCTTAAGAATATTAATTTAATGAATATCTTCTTGCGCAACATTGGACAAAGAATGAAAGAGAAAGATGAGAAATTAAGATTTTCAAGAGAAAATTAATAAAAGCCGTGTAATTATGGGCTTTTGGACACAATTGAAAGGAGAATAAGTTATAGATTCAACCGCAATTGAACACCGAGATCAACTTTGGCATCTGCGGTGTGGCGCATCGCATTTAATTCCCAGGAAAAAGACATCGTTATCAGATTTCAAAGAAATGATTGTCTTGTTGAGGTCATTCGGACCTGATGGCGTCAGAATTCATGCACGATTATGTTTATTAAATAAATAATTCAAATGTGTTTGATTTCATCATCGTAATGCTTATTTAAGTTGCAATCAATTGTTTACAAAATATAAAACTTTACGATCAAATGCAGATCAAATTTCGAAGAAAAAATTATTTGCTGTCATTTGTCGTGTTTTTAGAAAAATGATTGAGTTGCAATCTTCCTAGAATTATATTTTCAAAAGTAGAATAAAAAGAAATCGCTGTTTTTTTTTCATAAGAACGAATCATCACGAGATGAAAACAAGGAATCATAAGGTTATATAACGAAGCCTTCGCATGTGATATAACAACACATCAAACAAACATCAATAAATGGCAAGAAAAAAATTCTTGCTGAGTCGAAAAAAAATCTTTGCGCGCTTATAATCCATTCACGGCTCTTAATGATCAGATTTGGTGTGTAAAACAGCAAAACAACAAAGGCGAGTTGATTTTTAATGGCTACAAACGAAGTGTTTGCGACGAAGATTATAAAAAAAGAGTTCTTTTCAATATTGTTACATAATATTTCGCGCCACTACAACCACATGTGCTATAACAAGCATTCCTGAATGCATATTCATTCTTTCGCAGAAGTCGCATATATCGGTTCAGTTCACAAGATGGAATTTCCTGAAGTTGAAAATGTGTCTCTTGACATTAAGCTTCTATGATATCGTTAGGACAAAGAACAGAACGAAACATTTTCGTTGCGCAGTATGAGATAGTACCTAATTAAGTTTCTGTTTTATAAACTGCGTTATTTTCAGAGCTTCCAAAGTTCTAAGTTACGTAAGTCGCATGACATTCATCGACAACAATGATATGCAGTTTGGACTCTTAAGCTTAGACAGCAAAAGAAAAATAAACAATAAAAACAGATAAAATAACACTCCATCTATATAAAAAACTGTTTGAATTGAATCAGAAATGCAAATAGCAGTTTAGGTTGATTAATGACGCGCGCGGTTTTTCTTGCTTCGAAGTATTGAAGCAACGCTTAAAAAATTTAAAATAATATAAAACAGCCAGCGTAGCAGCAAAGAACCAAAAAACCAACCACAAAATATGGAAATTGAGTAAATTTACTGCTGGTGGTGACCTTCAAAGTTGCTTTTCTGTATTTTTCAGCTTGATGATTGTGTGCTTTTTTTTATCAGGCATAGAAGAGAGAAAAAAATGTTTCGCTGTTTACATCACGCGGAAATGACGTTTACAGCGTGCCAAAATAACTTTTTAATGACATCGAAAACAACTGCATTAAGTGCTTTTGATGATAAAGCGTTCATCTAATGGTCCCTGATTATTCCTATGTCGGTGTATAAAAAAAAGTCCATTGTTTGTCGCAGGTAATCGCCAAAAAAAACGAATGTTTTTTGTACCTGACAACACTACTTGGTGTGAATACGAAAAGCGCTTTAAGCGTAGAACAACTTCAAAAAAATTACACAATTTTTACACACCACAAATGCGAGAGAAGAAAAAAAACCTCCGGTGCTTTTTTCCATCGCCCAAATGCGAAGAATTAATCAAGGTCATTTATATCTTGTAAAATTATTTTTTCTACTTCACTTTACTTCGTGTATGATTGCGTCCGCTCAACGCGTTATATTTTCATCTATTTGTGTAAGAGAAATAAAATCGTCATATTGTTCAACTGAATATCAATGTAATTTTATTACACGTTGCGATGTTTTCAAGATAATGGATTGATAATTGATGTCGCTTGTTTAACCCTTCCGTAACTCAGGTAATATTTCTCTTCATTTAAATCCAACTTAAAAATGCTGTCATAGATCTTTCCCAAAACAAGGAATCATTACAAATTCAATTTCTTATACTCTTCCACTGCTTCAACTGCAAAAGGGGTTTCATAGAACAGCCATATATACAAAGTAAGCGAAAATTCACTTTTTTTTCTTATGAATTCATTCACCACCACAAATGTCGAATAAAAGAAAAAAACATTTCTTAAAGATTTTTTTTGTTATAAAGTTGTGAATTCTTTTCTTTTCGGGGGTACTAAAAAAATGATCAGATGACGGTGTATGAGTGAAACGAAAAATAAATAGCTAAACTAAAGTGATTCAAACTAGTGGAAAATAATCAAGAATATGCGTTCTTTTTTAAAGAGGAAGATTCCTTCACATACGGTTAGCAACTTTGCGTTTATTCTTTAATTTAATGATTTTTTTTCGTGTGCGTTTACAATGATTATTTTATTCAACTCAGCCTGAAGCATGAGTAAAATATTCGTACAAGGAAGAAGTATTTTTTATGGATCTCCCATTCATAAAAAACGCGATTTGAACGCTTCTTCGTTAGATTTCAAGACGCGTGACGCTTAGTTGTTAGTCGGGGAATCTTATAAGATGGTTGCAATTGTAGGGATCACAGTTCGGAATAAATTATCATGCGACTTATAAAAACTTTCCACAGGAGAATTTGGCCACGTTACAGACGCGTAAAAATGCGTGTGCGTTTCGCACTCAAATGCTATTTTTAACATTTTTTCTGCCATCGCTTGTGCTTCCTTTTGAAATTAAATTTGAAGCTAAAGAACTTCAGAAAAACATTTTTTTCTCTATTCAAATGTTTTACTAGTGTGTTGATTATTGAAGAAAAAATAAAATTCATAACTTTTCAATTTCAGTTTTTATACGCACCTTTATCAAAATGTGTGTGACAATTCGTCGTGTAAAATTTCGCTTATCAA